TTTTGAAAGCCTATACACTCTTTTCAAGACTAGTCCCAATTGGCTCTTTTCCCTCCTCTCCTGCCTTTGCCAGCCCACGCGTAATCCTGTCCCCCTACCCCAGTGCTGGGGATCCCCAGCCCCGGGTCTTGGGAATGGCGAGCAAGCATTCTACAGCTGAGTTGCAGCCCCAGCCACTTACAATAGTAGGCAGGAGAGGGAGAAACTGGGGATCCTGACACCGTGATGTGGTTCTATTTCCAGTTCCACATTACCTTAGACATTATTCTTCAGGTCAGTGAGAGACTGTAAAATTCCCAGCCATAGATGCATGAGCATGAAGTCATACTTTCAGAAGAGATACTGAGGTTTTTTAAATATGAGTCACGTGGAAGTGCAACTCAATAAAAAGTGAGTGACTTCTGTGTGCCAGCTAAGAGCCAAGGAGTCAGGCAAGTTGTTTGAGGAATAGGAACTGTTTGACTGAGCCCCAGACATGGAAGGTTTGCTTATTCACTGTGCTATGTGCCAGGCCCTACGTCACTGGGACTGTGTAAATGAAGAAGGATATTCCATGTCCAAAAATCATTTGTATGAATTGTGACTAAGTATTACCAAAGAAACTGATATGCTCAGAGTGTGTTCCCCAAAGTTCACAAGCTGGAAGCTTAATCCTCAAGGCACCAGCCTTGGGAGATGAGGTCTGGGAAGAGATATTTAAGTGATGGGCTCTGATGAATGGATTCATGCCACTGTGAAAAGGGCTTTTGAAAGTGGGCTCTCTCTCTTCCATTCTTGCCCACGTGAGGAGGGGGTTTCTTCCCCTCCAGAGGGCACAGCGTTCAAGCAGAGAAACTGGGCCCACCCTGCCGGTGTGCTGATCCTAGACTTCCCAGCCTCCAGAACTGTGAGAGATAAACCTCTGTTGTTTATAAAATACCTAGTCAGTGATACTCTGTGATAGCAGTACAATGAACTAAAACAGATACTCACAGGGATTGGGAGCAAATCAAAATCAAGGCTAGGGAAGGCTATCTGGAGAAGTGATATAAGATCTGAAGACTGCAGAAAGAATAGAATAGAATAGAATAGACCTCAGCTACAAGACTGGGGTGAAGACAAGCCTAGGAAGGGAATTCTTGGCATGGAGAGCTGGGAAAAGGCCAAAGATGTGAGAAAGAAGGGGACCTGGAGGACTCTGTGGCAGGAGCCCAGAGACCGAGGGGAGTGTCAATGGGTAGATAAAAGCCTGTGATTGCTGAGAAGTGATCTCAAACCTCACTGTGGACCAGAACCTTTCAACATGAGCCCCACAGGCCAGGGTTTAGGATGTGGTTTGTTCTAAAGCTCAGCCACGGTATCACAGATGTGGCTTTTCTGACAGTGACAGAAGTGTCTTCTCCACCTGGTGGTGTGCTGGGGTCAGAGGATTGCTTGTGTTCAGCGCCAGTGAGTGCTGCTGTCAGCTATGTGGTGGCACTCACGTCCCCAACCCCAGCCAGCTAAACACTTCTCAACACCATTGCTTCTACCTAATATCCCTTCCCAAATGGGAACTGAACTCTAGCATCCACTGTGCCACTCATGACCGTTTAGTGCTGCAACCTTTGCAAACCAGGAAGCGATTGAGATTGGGGAGTTTTCTTCTGGTTTGTCCTTAACTATCTGGAGACTCAGTAGCAGAAGTCTTAAAACCACAAACTTTGAGGACAGACAGACCAGGGTTCAAATGTCAGCTGTCATTATAATTAGCTATGTTACATAAGTAAACGACATAACCTCCCTAGGTTTCATCTACTAAATGGAAATATGAACAATACCTTCTGCACAGAGCGGTTGTGGGATTAAATCCTGTAAGATATGGGCTGAATCACACTGCAGGATCACTACATACCAAGGATTCAACATCAGTGCTACTGGCACATTGGACTCAATAGCTCACGCCTGTAATCCCAGCTACTCAGAAAGCAGAGATCAGAAGGATGGTGATTTGAGGCCAGCCCTAGGCAAAAAGTTAGCAAGACCTTATCTCAACAAATAATGCTGGGCATGGTGGCTGTCATCCCAGCTATTTATACTTGGGAGGTATAAATAGACGAATCTAAAACCAGACTGGTCTGGGCCTATGTGGTGGCCCTGAGTTCAAACCCCAGTACCGCCAAAAAAAAAAAAAAAACCAAAAAAAAAAAAACCCCAAGCCAAGGACCAACACACCTAAATCCACACTTTCTAAGCTGAAATTATGAGGTGGGGAGGGGAATGAGAAAGAATAAATGTGTGGCAGATTTTGTGGAAAAGAGACAGATTCCGAGGCAGGGCATAGCAGGTGACAAATGAAGACATGCCCTGTCCTCACTACCAAGTAATCCCAGCTCAGTGGGGTTCTGGGTCTGAAAGAGCTGCCATTGCCTGATGGAAATAAAGTCAGAATTTTCTAGGAGATCCCAAGATGCTGACAGCTCTTCCCATCTGAGGCCTCCTTCTTCCCTGGCCTCCGTGAGCCCCTGGGAAGAGGCACTGGTTGATCTGACAGCACAATGAAAATTCTGGAACCACCCTGAAATCTCCAAATGTCTGCTACCCTGGTCAAACTCAGAGCAACTTTTGGATCTACCAAAACTGTGAAAATGCTTCTTCCCTCGCAAGAACAGGGATCTAAGCTAAGAGCCAGCAGCTGCAAGGGTCAAGGCCCAGAATTCCTTCTGCTGTGTGTTGGCTCCTGCTTCACGGGCTTGATGACACCTGACCACTGTCACCAATACCCAGAGAGTGACCAGAGCAGTTATACAGAGACAATGTGGTCATGGAGCCAGACAGGCCTGGGATGGAGTGAGAATCCAGCACCTGCCAGCTGTGTCCCTTCTTTGGGTTTTCAGACAGCAGTGGCAGAATCTATAATGGGAACAGAAAATAACACATTTAATAAATGACAGGTAATAAGAGAAAAAGTCTGAGATGACTTAAGTTTAATTACAAGGACCATAGGCAGACAGGAGAAGAGGAAAAGGAAATTAGTCATAATGGCCTTGGGTGAAACTAACAAGACTGGTTCATCTCCTTGAATGTCTAAGGAGGACTGTGCCTGGTTAACACAGAAACTTTCTAGACTGTTAATCCTAAATAACCCAGAAGCAACACTTCCCCTTACAGACTGTCTTTTTGTCCCAAAACTTTCCCCACCCCTCTCATCTTTTTTGTTTGTTTTTTTGGTGGTACTGAAGTTTGAACTCAGGGCCTCACACTTGCTAGGCAGGCACTTTACTGCTTGAGTCACTCTACCAGCCTAAAATAAGAAACTTTAAAAAGAAAACCCTCATCACCCAGAGAGAACACCACTAATACATTGGTAGGTACCTCAGCCCCCTTCCCTGTGACTTTGCAAATAGACACAGACTCATGCTTTTTAAATGGGGCCATATTTGAGTACTTTTTTCCCTGCTCCTCAGCTTATTACAAACATCTCACTCTTGCTGAATATAAATTATACAAGGCCATTGTTGCATTGAACCTGAACACACCAGATGAAGAATCAAAGTAGAGTCACCCATGCTAAAGTTTCAGTCTCTCAGAATGAAACCATGCTGTGTATTTGACCTTGCAAGAAATCAAGAAAAATGAGAGAACACAGACTCATTTCCCAAACAAGCTAGTTTTTGTTTATTGTCTTTGTGGTGTTTTAAATTTGATTTTTGTTGGTATATAGTGCTTCTACATGTAAGGGATTTCATTATGACAAGTCCATACATGCATACAGGGTACTTTATTTCTGCAGTACTGGGGTTTGAACTCAGGGCCCACACCTTGAGCCACTCCACCAGCCCTTTTTTGTGAAGGGTTTTTTCAAGATAGGGTCTCATGAATTACTTGCCGGGCTTGACTTCAAACAGCAATCCTCCTGATCTCTGTCTCCTGAGTAGCTAGGATTACAGGCGTGAGTCACAGCACCTGGTAGCATACAATGTCCTTTCATCACATTTACCCCTTCATGGCTCTTTTATTCTCCTTCCTCTCCCCCCAAACAGGCCACTTTTGTTGTTTGGTGGCACTGGGATTTGAACTCAGGGCTTCGGTCTTATAGGGCAGGTGCACTAGCACTTGAGCCACTCCAACAGCCCATTAACAGGGCAGTTTTAATTGGCAAGATGACGACCTCCCCTCACCCTTAATTCTTAAGGTGACATTAACCAATTAGTTATTTTTCTATTCATTGTCCCTGTCTCCACTTTATAAGGAAAACAACTCTGAAACAACCCATTAGCTTCCTCCTTTCTGCCGTCTGTAAAACCAGCCTCCTCTAGGCGGTCATTGGAACACTTCGGTGTATGGAATGAAGTGTTCCCCATTCTCAAGTAGAAAATAAAGCCAATGTTGATCTTCAAACTAAGAGCATAGGTTTTGCTTTGTGACTCTACTCAGCCCTTGATAGCATCCCTTCTAATGACTGTAGGAGATTCTACCTTGTGGGGTGGTTTCTTATTTGGAAGATTTGGCAGCTCAGTGACAGAAGAGTCTTCACGGAACAACTCCCAGAGCTTCAAGCTCTGCTACTTGGGGGGGGGGGGGAGGCGGCGGGGGGAGCGAAAAATGTGGGAGACCACAGGACGGATCCCGGGATTCTTGCAGGAATTGAGACCGAAAACGTGTGTGACGCGCTGGGCTCTGTCCCCCCCACACACAGAAAGCTCCTGGACAGCGCCGAGGGTGTCGTGTCACAGGGACTGGCCTTGACCTTTGCTCTTGGTCCTGCTCTTAGTCCACACTGGAGCCCCTAACTGTGCTTATTCATAGCCGTTTCCTCCCCTGATTGCCGAAAATGTTACTGATCCTCCCCAGCTCGCTACACCGGCCCGGAACACGGCGAGCGACGGCTGCGGGACCGGGGCGCGCGCGGCCCCTCCCTCCCCGCGGGGCGGCCCCGGGTGAATCCCGGCAGGTGGCCCGCGGCTCCGCCTCCTGCTGGCCGCCGCCAGCGCCACCTGCCCGGGCGGCGGGGACCTGCGCCGGGGCCACACGGCCCCCGAGGGGCCGAGATGTCGGGGGCCGGCCGGTGGGCGCCCCTGATCCTGTGTCTGTTGCAGGCCGCCCCAGGTAAGGGACGCGGGGACGCGGGGCGCGGGGCGCGCGGGGGGCGCGGGGCTCCCTCGGACCCGGGCTCCCGGAGCGCCGAGGGCCCAGCGGCGGCCAGCGGACCCTGCCACCCGCCGCGGGTTTGCCGCGTCCCAGCCCCGAGCTGCCCCGAGGGAGAAACTCCCTTCCGGGAACCGGAACGAGGGGGTCCAGTTTCCTAATTCCCGTTGTGCGGTGCCAGGTGGCGGTTGAGAAGGCTCGCATTGCATTGATTGATAAAGTGCTTTTTAAGGTTTCCCAAAGCGCTGTGTCCGCGCAGGACCCTCACGGGTAGGTGACATGCCCTGCCACCCCCCTGCTATGGATGTGGGTGTCACAGGCCCCACCTAGGCCCGGGGATGGAGTTCTGGCTGAGCCCAAGCCTTGCTCTGTGACAAGCTGCCTTTTGTCTGAGCCCCCTGGGAAACGAGGCACAGAATAGCTTGGGCTATTGGACTCTCCATCTCCTCTCAGTTAATGTAACATTTGTCTTTGAGGGTGGTGTCCCTTCTGTGAAGGGGAATGAATGACACCTGCCCCATGGGGTGGTTTGTCCTAAAGATTGAATGAGCTTCTGCATAGAAAAATGCTGAATCAGGGCCCAGCACCCTTTGGCTTTACTAGCTGTGACTTTTCCAGTGTGGCCAAGTGCAAACTTGGGCTTGCCCTCTCCTGGGTTACCTCACAAGTAAGTGGCTTGTGGACAGACTGGCTTCCTGTTGGATACCTCCCAGGCAGTCCAGGGATTGGGAGTGGTGACCACATCTTGATGATACAGTTCAGGCTCAAGGACACAGAGCAGTGGAAGCAGGTGCCCCCACTTGGGTACAAAATGTCAGGGATGGCAGCCCTGGCTGGGGGCTGAGCTGAAAGCCAGCAGCAGAATTGGGCCCTCCCTCCCTGGTGACATTCTGCTAAGTGTGTGGACGTCTTGACTTCATTTTAACCCTTGCCGTCACACACTGTGACCTGTGTGACACTTCAAGGCTCAACATTCTCCATGGGCCCATGTGCTCCTATGGGTGGGAAATGGACCTAGGTTTCCTTTTGAGTCCTCTGGCACACCATGGTCCTCGGGTACTGAGGACAATAGTGATAAGTAGACAGAAGAATCAGGCCACAAGAGAGCCAAGTAGGGTCAAGACCTCACATAGTGCAGCTGAGTAGGCCTGGGTTCAAATCCTGATTCTAGGACTTATTAGCCGAGAGCACCTTGGTTTTCCCACCTACAATGGGATGATCGTAATTAGAACAATGAGGTGGTGGGGACTAAAAGAGAAAATGCAGATAACATGTTGGGTACAGCCTGGCTCATAGTTAGAACACAGTTCCTATAGCTACTATTATTCTTTCCACCGTCATCATAACCACTACTTCCTCTTAGAGATGTCAAGGAGGACTTCCTGGAGGAAGTGACATTTGAATCAAGTCTTTCAAATGTTGTATGGTAAACACCAGGTAATCTATGATACCTGTTGTCCAAAGGCATCAGAATACAGCAGTCTGACAAGCCTGTGAAGGAGCTGTTAGGGAGATGCCTGCCACTGGGCAGGCCCTCGTACCCCGATAAGGAGAGTGGACTTTACTCTGAGGACAAGGGAAGGGCGTGAAACTAGAGAATGGTGTAATCTGATGCATTTTAGAAGATGAGGGTTTGCAGTGAGAAGGAAGGGAAGGTAGGCAGAAACCAGTAAAGATGATCAGAGAAAGTCTTACCAAGAGAACTTAAAGGAATGTGACAGCATGTGCAAAGGCCCCGAGTGGGTGGCAGGGCAGGGGGGCCCCAAGAAAAGCCAAAGTCCGCATGGCTGGGAGAGGAGCGAGGTGGGGAGAGGAGTGGGTGGCATTGGGTAATTCCTTGGAGGTGACAGTGAAGACTTCAGAGATTAGCCAGAGTGAGATGGCTGGAAGCTTCGAGAAAATTTTAAATAGAAGAAAGATGCACTCTTTCATTTTAGCCCTTGCTGTTGTGTGGAGGTGGACTTGGGGACAAGGTGTTATGAGAGCCCCCAGACAAACTAGAGTTCAGTAGGAGACCACTAGCAGCCCCATCCCCTCAGGTCCTGCAGAGGAGGTGGCTGTGGGTGATGACAGTGTGTCTTGCATGGAATATTTCTTTTACCTGGTGGACAGCCTAAGGTCTAATTGTCCAGCCCTTAGCCAGAGGTCCCTCATGGAGGAAATTTGTTTATATTGGCAGGCATCCTTGTGGCTCTTGTCTGACCCATGTCCAGTTTATGCCCTCCTGACCATCGTCCTGGCACTGAGCTCTGGCCTTGTGTTCTCTACAGTGTCGTGGGGAGAATCCAGCCAGGGGCAGCCCCTGGATCTTCGATGGAAAGCATGAACTCAGTTCACCACTACAGTGGGAAATAAGATCCAGGATTCATTACTCACAGATCCTGGACAGAAAGGGTGCAGCAAGGTAGGAGGGCAGTCCTCAAAGCCCAGGCCAGGCGAGGCAGGAGTGCAGAGCCGGGCAGAGAGAGAGAAGCAATACACCTATATCTAGGGTGCTACTCGGCTAGGGGCCACTAAGGGTCATGGACAAATACCTGAATGGTAGTTAAGTGGTTAAATAAGAAATCCCCAAGCAAGCAGGAGCCTGTCTGGTAGGTGGAAAGATGCCTCGAAGGTCTTATCCCTGGGGCCATTTGGGTCAGTTCTGCTTTTAGTGCCTGGGCAGCAACCTTTGCTGCGTCCTTCCTGTTCTTCTACACTGGCGGCAGAGAGACCAGTTAGGAAGCCTTTAAGTAATCCAACAAATATTCACTCAACAAATATTTATTGTACATCTACTGTGTGCCAGAGGCCATCCCACACTAGCGCTAGGGACATGCTGAGAGCCCCTCCTCCTTGAGACCCTCTGGGCCACTGCCTCCTGGTATCCAGGGGAGGAAGCAAGGCCATTAAGTTGCTCCCGTTCCTTAGGGTGACCTGCTTGAAGCTTCAGGTGCCAGAGCGGACAGAGCCTCCTCTCATGGCACAGATGGGAAGCCGAGGCTAGTATAGGGGAAGGAGTCACAGCACAGCCAGTCAGTGGTTGCTGTTTTGGCGGATGTGGCGTGCAACTGGTGCCTGTTGTGCCGTTCTTTAGTTCTGAATGCCAAGACCAGCTGAAGACTTCATGACCTCTTTCTCTCCACAGGAAGTCCCCATCTTGCTCCTCCCCTGAATGTGACACTGCTGTCTCAGAACTTCAGTGTGTACCTGACGTGGCTCCCTGGGCTTGGCAGCCTCCAGAATGTGACCTATTTCGTGTCCTATCAAGGGTAAACGGGGAGCCTCTGGGCTGGTGGGGTGGAGACAGGTCTCCCTGGCCAGCATATAGAGAAGGCATGTGGCAGCGAAGTGGAGAGTGGCTTTTGATATAGGTTGGAGGTGGTGGGAACATGTTGAAGACTGCCAGGGATGGGACGGATCTTTGGGAAAGTTGGAGTGGGCTTGGGGGGAGTTGTGAGGGCCAGGGGATGCAGAGCTTGAGTGCCCAGATGAGGTACTGAGCGTTGCTCCAGCTGGTTAGTGAGGGCGAATGTATGGCCAACGGGCTGATCCCGCCTCCTGCAGAGCCTGGGAGTTGAGGCATCCTTAGATAACCACACTTCCCCATGGAGCTAGGCAGAGCCCTGGGGGTCCTTCCCATGTTGGAAGCCCAGGCAGTCATAATCCAGAGGAGTCTGAGCACTGAAGCAGACACTATCTGTGGACATCGATGGCAATGGCGAGGAGTTCTTGAGTAGAACAGCAAGAGGGTAGAGGCCTTTTCAGTGAATGGTGACGCATATCACATAGCTGCACATGTCTGCATCATTTTTAACATACATAAAACATCAGCAAGTTCATACTTCCACTCCAATCCAGTTCCTTAGGACTTCTACTTCATCTCGTCTATGTTACATCTGTATTTTCTTTCTTTTACAATGAAAACGCTAGTTCTCAAAGACTGGGATGATAGAATTACAGTAACATCATTACACATTTTCATTATCCCAAAATATGCATAATAGCCTCTTATAGATTAGTTGTTCTTATGCCAGAGGAGTTTTTCTTTTTTATTCAAAATCCAGTAATTTTACTAGATTATGTGTTAGTTGTTATCAGAACCACTGAAGCTCCAGGAAGGAGCTCTCCAAAAGGAAGGAGGCTTCCACCTGGCCTTTGGGTACTGAGTTCATGATGGTGTTGCAAAAAAAAGAATTTTAGGACATATTCAGGTAGAGACCAAGAAAGCTTATTAATAAGGCAAAGCAAAGAAAGGACAGTTGCCAGCCCAAACCTGGGTGTGTGCAATAGGGGTACCCACATTGGAAATATTTATGAGAAAAAGTGGGTTGGAGATTTGGCTCAGCTTCACTCTAGGACAAGTGCTTCCCTTTGTTTTTATACTTGATTTATTTAGTCATTCTTGGGCCAAGGGATATCAAGGTTGGTCTGTTTACTAAATTGGGGGCATTTCAACACTGACGTTTGAGCATCCTTTTAAACAAAGGATGGGTCCCTTCAAGACAGGTGTCCATCCCAGAGATAAATATTTTCCTTTTTAAACACTTTTTTGAGCCCAGAGGAGTCATTCTTCCAGGTGTTTTTCTTTAAGAAGGACAAGTGTCTTTCTTTAAGATATCCTGTGCAGTTTTTACACCACATTTAATACTTGGGCAAGTGGACAAGGTCAGAGGGAAAGAGCTGCTCTTTTTTTTTCCCCTAAATATTGCAGTTTATTGGGAGAGTGTAAGGTTTTTAAAGCAAAGACGAGAGTGCCTGTGTGCTTTTAATCCAGCTATTCATGAATACAGCACTGCTCTCTGAATTCCTGGCTCCCGTTTCCCATGCCTTGTCTTCCCTGATCCATTGATGTTGGTCACTTTTTCTGGGTTGATATTTTGTATTCTCTCGTAGATGTGGGTATAGCTCAGTGATAAAGCACTTTCCTAACATGTGCAAGAGTCTAGGTTCGATTCTCAGCACCACAAACAAACCGAAGGGGAAAAAAGCTTCAAAGCAAACACTCTTAATACATATTTCCAAGTCTTCTTGATTTCGGTGTTTATTCTGTTCCCTTGCTCTGACTTTCTTCTTCAGGGACTCATAGCCATGTGTTGGATTTTCTTGTTTCAGTATTTGTCTTTTTCTCTCAAATCCCATATATTTTTGTTTGTTGTTTGCTTTGCCATTCTCTAAATGGAAAAGATTTCACTGTTGATTTTTTAAAATTCTGTGTCTTCCATGGTGAAGATTGTTCTGCACCTCATTTATAGTTCCTCCTGTTTACTTTAATGGTTGGAATATGAAATGTCCCCCTCAGGCTTGTGTGGTAAACACTTGGCCCCTGTCTGATGGCACTATTTAAGAAGCTTCTGGAAATTTCAGGAGGTGGGGCATAGCTGAAGGAAATAAGCCCCTGGGAGCAGACCCTTGGGAATATCTTGTCCCTGGCTCCTTCCTGTCCCCTCCCTGCTTTCTGTCTTCAATAACAGTAAAGAAGCTTCTTAGCACACACTCCTGCCACCACGATCCTTTGCCTCACAATGCACCGAACCCTCTGAAAATGGGGACTGCAATAAATCCTTCCTCCCGTTTGTTTGTGTGGGGGATTTCATCATAGCAATGTTGAGCTCATTAACCAACAGTTATGGTTCTTTTTCCTCAATATTTAGTCCATTCTAGTTTGTAACTGAGAATGGCTATTTTTTATATCCTTTCCAAATTCATTTTTCTGTTAAAATTAACTTGAATTAAAATTTACATGGACCAAAATGCTCCCATTTTCGTCTTGTGTGATGAGTTTTGACAAGTGTATATACCCCTGGAACCGCCACCACAGTCAAGACATAAGACATTTCCATTACCCCCCAAAGTCTCTTGGGCCACTTTGCATTTGCACCTCCCCCATCTGCTTTCTGACACTACAGACTGACTTCAAGTGTTCCAGAAGCTCACATAAATGGATTTGCATGGTATACACTCTCTTTGTGTCTGGCTTCTTTTGCTCAGCGCATTTCTGGAATACACCCACATGGTTACATACATTTGTAGTGCATTTCTTTTTCTTACTGAATGGCATCCATTGTATGGCAACACTACTACGTGTTTATCTGCTTCCTGTCAGTGGACTGTTCTGTGTGTGGTGTGTGCATTCGTTTGCTAAGGCTGCCATAAGCTCTATCCTCTAGACGCTGAAGAATCATGTCCCTCTAATATGCAAAATACATTCACCCCCAACCCCAACAGCCCATTCCAGTGTCTACTCAGAGTCCAAAGTCCCATGTAAATATTATCTAAAGGAAATGTAGGTGTGACTTGAGGCAATGACTCATCCCAAGGCAAAAATTACTCTCTGCCAGTGGACCTATTGAAATAAGTTATGTGGTTCTAAAATAAAATGGTGTAGGATAGACAATTCCCATTCCAAAAGGGAAAAGTAGGAAAGAGTGATAGGTCCCAGGCAAATCCAAAGTCTGGCAAGTCAAATTCTACTAATCCTTGTGCCTGGTGTGGTGGTCCAGTCCTGAAATGCCAGTACTTTGGGAGGCTGAGGCTGAGGATTGCAAGTTTGAGGCCAGCCTGGGCAATGTAGTGAGACCCTGTCTCTCAAACAAACAAACAAATGAACAAAAAGGAATAGTCCTCTTTTGCTCAATGCTCTGCTTCCTGGGCCCATTTGGTGACCACCTTTGCCCTGCAGGGCAGCCCTGTCCCTGAGATCCTGGGTAGCCGCAGGGCCTCTGGAACTGAGAGGAGACAGCCTTGCCCCAGGCCTTGGGCGGCAGTGATAGCCCTGCTGATCTACGCATCACCTTCGGGTCCTTACCTTTTCTTGAAGGATAATGCGTGTGCACAGCCATGTTGTGCCCTCTGGCAGCCTTGCTTCCTTTTTTCTAGTCTGTGTCTCTTCAGTCAACACTGGCAGCATCTCTGCTGTGTAACCCCATCTTCATTCCTCATTTCTGCTGAGGTGGCCAGTCAGCAGAAATCACCTCTTTATCAGACGATCGCACAGCCACAACTTAGGCATTCCCTCCAGAACACATTCTCATTCCTTCTCTCTGTCCTCCTTCTCTAGCTCTCAGATCTTCAAGTTCTGAAGACAATTCCTTCAATGCACCTCTTCTCTTGCATTTTACTGTAAGGAGTAAAGACAATCCAGGCCACACTTGCAACACTTTGCTTAGAAATCTCGAGCTAAATAGAAAAGTTCTCTCGTTTAACTTCTGCTTTCTACAAATGCTAGAACCCAGTTCAGCCAAGTTTGTTGCTATTTGTAACAAGGATTGCCTTTCCTCCAGTTGGCATAAGAAGTTCCCCTTTCCTCTGAGACTTTACCAGAACCATCTTTAACGTCTTCACTCCATCCAACAGGCTCTTTAATGCAATCTGGACTTTTCTAACCCGCACTTCAAAATTCTCCCAGCCTCTACCCACTACCTAGTTCCAAAGCCACACAGACATTTTTACACATTCATTACATTAGCACCTCACTTCTGGAACCAAAATCAGCAGTAGTTTTCTAGGGCTCCCAGAACAATACTAGGTGGCTTAAACAGTAGAAATTTGTTTCATTGGCTTGCAGATGGATTTTTTTTTTTTGGTCCTGGGGTTTGAATTCAGGCCCTTGCCATTGCTAGGCAAGCACCCTAGCACTTAAGCCACACTCCTCAGTCCTTTTTGCTTTTCTGATATGGTCTCACTTCTGCCTGGAGCTGGACTTGGACGGTGATTCTCCCATCTTCACCTTCCATGTAGCTGGTATTACAGGTACATATCACCATGCTCAGCCAGATGACCATCTTCTTTTTTTTGTCGGTACTGGGATTTGACCTCAGAGCCTTATGCTTGCTAGACAGGTGTTCTACCACTTGAGCCACTCTGCCAGCCCTTTTTTTAAGTTGGGTATTTTTGAGATAGGGTCTCACAAGTTATTTGCCTGGGTAGGCTTGTGCCATCCTCCTGATCTCTGCCTCCGGCTTGATGGCTGTGCTCTTGATGTGTCCTTGCATGGCCTTTTCTCAGTGTGTGTCCTCCTGGTCTCCCATCCTCTCTTATAATGACACCAGTCTTACTGGATTAGGGTCCCATCCTTATGCCTTTATTTAACTTTAATTAAAGGTTCTGTCTCCATAGATGGTCACACTGGGAATTAGAACGTCAACATATGACTTAGGGGGACTCACCTCAGTCTAAACCAGGCCTACTATGAGTTAAGCTGATATGAAGACTCATGTGTAAGTCTGTGGGACTGGGGTTTGAACTCAGGGCTTTGCACTTGCAAAGCATGTGTTTTACAGCTTCAGCCACACCTCCAGTCCATTTTGCTCTGGTTATTTTTGGAGATGGGGGGGTGAGGGGTCTCACAAACTATTTGTCAGGGTTGGCCTCAAACCTTGATCCTCTCAGTCTCAGCCTCCCAAGTAGGTAGGATTACAGGTATGTGCCACAGGTACCCAGCTGTCATTTTTCTTGATTAAAGATATAGCAGTAGAATCTAGTCAATTTGGTAATTGAAAGAGTAAGGTTACAGGAAACAATGGAGCTTTTTTCCCATATCCCTGTGCCATTATTCATTCTCACCAACAACAAATGAGTGTTCTAGTTATCCCTGAGCTCATCAACACTCAGCATTGCCCGTCTTTTTCATTTCAACCACTCTGGTGAGTATGCAGTAGTATTTCCTCACTCATGGCTTTAGTTTGCATTCTCCAAACCATCGATGGTGTTGGGTGTCTTTATTTATTCGCCACTCATATATCTTCTTTTGCGAGGTGGCTTTCATATGTTGCCCATTTTGATTAGATAGTTTGTTTTCTTATCACTGATTTGTAAGAATTCTTTATCAATTCCAGATACCAGTCCTTTGTCAGTGGATACATTGCTTAATCTTGAGAAACACCTGGGAAGTGAGTAAAGCACACCTCTGGGTGTGTCTGTGAGGGTGTTTTCAGAGAGGACAAACTAAGGTGGGGGGGACCGCTCTGAATGGGGTGGCATCATCCCATAGGTGGAGGGCCCATTTGGAATAAAAGAAGAGGAAGGAGGAAGCCTGCTAGCACAGGCATTCTCTCTTTCTCCTCTCTCTCTCTCTCTCTCTCTCTCTCATTGCTTCCTGGTTTCTCTGCTCACACTCCCCACTGTGATGGCCTGACACCTTGAGCCACAACAAATCCTTTCTCCTTTCAATTGTTTCTCTTAGGTATTTATTTGGCCACAACAACAAAAAAAATCTGACTAACACAATTATGTATAATTTTTTCATAGTGGGTAGCCTTTTCATTTTCATCAGCCTTTTTCTGGGATTTTTTTTAAGAGAAAAAGTTTTACATTTGATAAAATCCAGTTTATTCATTATTATAGACCGAATCATAAGTTCCTGTGTTGAGATACTAACTCCCAATGTGCCTGTAATTTGGAGATAGGACCTTTAAAGAGGTAACTAAGGTTAAGTAAGGTCATAAGGATGGGGCCCTAATCCAGTAGGACTAGTGTCTTTATAAGAAAAGGAAGAACTACCAGGAGTGCACACCACACACACACACACACACACACACACACACACAGAGCAAGAAGACAGCCACCTTCTCCTTGAGAGAGGCCTCAGAAGAAACCAAACCTGCCAGTGCTCAGTCTTGGCCCCAGATTCCTGCTATTTGAGCTCTGGAAGATATTAACACATTGGACTGTTTTTCTTTCCACAAATAGTGCCTAAGGACTATTTGTCTGACACAAGGTCATAAGGATTTTCTTCTATGCTTTTATAAAAGAAAAAAATTTTTAGTTTTTATGTTTCTGCTCCTTTTTTTTGAGGCACTGGGATTTGAACTCAGGGCCTCACACTTGCTAAGCAGGCACTCTACCAGTTGAGCCACTCCACCAGCACTTTCTGTTGCTATTTGATTTTTAAACTTTGCTTCCTTTCACCTTCAGTTTCTTTTCAGGCACTATCTCTTGTGTTCATTTGCTCTTGTATTCCTTCTAGTTTATTTTTCATTTCTGAAATTAGTTTTGGTTTGTTATTTTTGATTCTTCCCTATGTTCTGTCCCTTCTTTCTGACTTTCTCCAACTCTGTTTTCTGTTGGTTTTTCATGTCTTATATCATTTTAAATGTCATTTAGCCTAGTTTTGTTATAGCAGTAAGCAGTAAGTTATAGTTCTGATTTGTTTGTGGGTGTGTTTTTATGGTCTGCCTTTTTTCTGACTTTCTTAAGTTGACCACTAGTGTATTAACTTTTCTGGCCTTATTGTGTTTTTCTGGACAGGTCAAGCTCCTTCCCACTGCAGGACTTTTTTATTGCTCTTCCTTCCCCTGCACCTTCACCTGGCTCCCTCTTCCTCCCCCTCCTTGAGCAGGGGGGTGTCTCAGTTTCAACACCATCTTCCTGGCCTTTTTGGAGTCACCTTTTGAAAGCAGTCACTCTTGGGTTACCCCATTTTACCACTGAGCTTGCCAGCTCCTGGTTTTACCATGTTGGTGTGACTATTGTCTCTTGTCCCCTCCCATCAGATAGAAGTCTGGGGGTGGGGCCTTTGCCTGTCATGCGCTGCTGATCCACGAGTGCCTGGAATGATTCCTCCTTTGGCTTCAGTGTTCTCAAGGGGTTGGACTCATGGTCCTTCATGTTTTCCTCTGATGTCCACACAGGGCTGAACATGTTGCCTGGCATACAGTAGGTGGCCCACAAATGCCTGAATGAATAAACATATGGAAATGTTCACTAGTACTAGTGATAACAGCTACTACACAGCCCCATGAGGAAGGTATTGCAGATGGGAGACAGAGGCTGAGGGACAGTGACCTGCCTAAGGACCGGATCTAGTAGGAGACAGAGCCAGGACTCCAACCACATCTGTGTGGCTTCAGAGTTGTGCTCCAGGCCACACTGGTCTTATTCCATCTCAACCAGTGGCTTCCTGGCCACAAGTGCACAGATGGACCAATGGGCTGAATGGAGGCATGTGTGATCACGTGTTCTGAGAGGCTGAGTCCCTGGCCCACACTCTCCTGTCTTCCTCCTCAGCTCTTTCACCCCCAGACGGTGGCAAAAAGTGGAGAAGTGTGCAGGAACCAGGGCGCTGGTGTGTTCCCTGATGTGCCTGAAGAAACAGGACCTGTACAACAAATTCAAGGGACGTGTACAGGCAGTTTCTGGCAGTGCCAGGTCTCCTAAAGTGCAGTCCAAGTACTTCGATTACCTTTCTGAAGGTAGGTCTGTGGGGAAAGACTGAGTGGGAGGCTCTCCTTACCTGGGAAATTTAGTAGGGGGCACAGCCATCCTAATCATCTGTGTTAGTCAGGAGTCTCTAGAGAAACAGAACCAATAGACTCTTTGCAGTAATAACAGGAGACTTATTCAATTGGTTCACACTACCATAGAAGCTGGAAAGTTCCACACTGGCCAGGGAAACCAGTAGCTGCTCCCTCCAAGAAGCTGGAAGCTTCACAATGAGACAGGGACCAATTCAAGGCTGAAGGTCCCAAAAGTCCTCCAGAAGTCCACTGGTTCAAGTCCAAGTTCAAAGGCAGAGTTTGCAAAAAAATGCACCTGCTCAGAAAAGGAAAGTGAGAGCCAGAGAACATGTTTCCCTTTCTACTGTTTCATTACATCTGGGCTCAGCCTGCGGGATCTGCCACTACATTCAGGAGGGTCTCCCCGACACAGTGCACTGACTCACTCTGATCTCCGGAGACCACCCCACAGACACACCCAGAAGTGTGTCTCAGTGCAGTCAAGTTGACACTCAAAATTAGTCATCACCCCATCCGTCTCCCACTATCCCAAAGTAGGGCACAACTACCTGTCTGGGGAAACCCATCATGGGCCTTGGCTCTCCAACCAGCCTTGGTGAGGGCAAAATGTTTAAGAAGGGGAAGGGGAAAACTTGAATGGAAGATGGCAGGCAAAGTAGAGGAGGGAGAATTTGGGTGAGACGGGGCTGGATAGGTGGATGGATGGGCGAGGAGTATGGAGAAGGCATTGGAAGAAGCAATGAGAAATGGAGAGGAAGGAGGCTGGATGAAAGAAAGAAACGGGGCTGGGGTGTAGCTCAGTGGTACAGCATGTGCGTATCATATACGAGGCACTGGTTCAATCCCTAGGACCACAAAAAAGAAAAAATGAAAGGAAAGACAAAGTGTAGATGAGAGATGGGGGCAAGGAAGGTGGATTAGTCAAAGTTCTCCAAGGAAATCAAACCAACAGAATATGTGTAGTTATAATAAGAGGGGGTTTATTTGGGGAGGGGATCCCCCTGGCATCCACAGGAGCCCAGGGGTTCTTAGAAACTTTGTGTCCATGCACAGGGGTGGAGGATGAAATCAAAGAATGCTGTTAAACGTCTCCATGTGCGCTGGTGAGATGCAGGCTGATAAAACCAGTTAGCTACAAGGACCTGCTTCCTTTAGAGAAGGAAGGAAGTGACTCACAGGTGGAGCTAAGAAGCTCAAAGAGCAACACTGGGGCTGAGGAGTCTTCTGCCCAGGCCTTGAAACTAATGGAGTTGACTTGCTGGATTTTGAAACTGCTTTGGTTCATTTCACCTTCTATGGCCTTGTTTGAAGTAGAACGTCCATCACTGTATCCTGTGACAGTCCCGCAGCTTTATATAGGGAGTGCTTCAGTTTCACTGGACCATAAATTTGTGTCCCCCAGAGTCTGATTGGATTTTATCCAGAGTCTCACCTGAATCTGATTTAGATATTGTCGATGTGATGAGATTTGGAATTTGAGCTGTAATGAGATGATCTTGGGGAACCTTGGGATGGGTGGATGCAGTTTGCATTTGAGAGCTTGTTTGGAGGTTCTAGGAGGAGAGCGCAGCTACTCGTATACCCTTGACCGAAGAACGGTCCTCCTCTATCGGGGATGGTCGTCCTCCTCCACCAAGCGCGCAGCTTCGGGAGGGACGTACATGGAGTGGTGAGGGAGGAAGGGGACACCCGCCTGGCCAGCCAGATCAGCTGAATCAACCCTGGTGATCAGTGGGGTGACAGATGTCGCAGCCAGATCGCCCTCACATCTTGTAGTTTGCATTTGAAAGGGACATGAATTTGAGGCCAGGGCAGGAAAGACCATGGTAGGCAGAATGACTCTCCAAAGATATTCTGCCCTCATCTCTGGGACCTGTGAATATGTCAGATGTCTGAACTCCATGGCCAGGGGAATTTTAATGAAGGTTCTGGGCCTTAGAATAGTGAGAGTATTCTGGATTCACCAGATAGGCCTAAGCCAGTCCCAAAATCCTTGGAGGCGAGAACTTCCTGCAGCTGCAGGCAGAAGAGATGCAGAAGGGATTTGGGAAGACTTACAGTGTGAAGAGGATTTGATGGTGCCATTTGTGCTTTGAACATATGGCAGCACAAAGAGAAATACAGCAACTGAGAGGATCCTAGCTAACAAGACAAGCAGCAAGGAAACAGGGACCTCAGCCCAACAACGCAAGCCAGGTTGGAAGCATATTCTGTCCAGAAGGTCCAAGACAAGAGGCCCACTTGAGCCCATTGAACTTGTGACATAGAGGACTGTGAGATAGCTCATATGTACTGGTTTGTTTGTGTGAGCCCAGATTAGCCTGGAACTCGAGATCTTCCTGCCTCAACCTCCCAGGTGCTGGGATTGCAGGCATGCATCACCACACCTGGCCTCATTTGTACCATTTTAAGCCACTGTTTGTGGTCATTTGTTACAGCAACGACAGGAAACTAATTCAGATGGGTAAGATTCTGATAGGCCAGTGTCATGTGAAGGATATCCAAGTGGAAGGGACAGTGCCACAGGTCACCTGTGAGCTTAGCCAGGGCATTTCAGCCCTCTATGCCTCAGATTTCCTTTCTATAAAATGAGAATTTCAATCCCTTCCTCCCAGGGTCAGTATGAGACTTCAACAAAATAGCTGTAAGATTCTCGGGGCACAACAGGTGTTTGGAAAATGCTAGTGTTGCTTTTCCCTTTCCAAGAGAGCTCTCTGGGCTGGATGGTGGCTGTCCTCAACCCCCAGGGTGCTGACAGGTCCCATTCTGTTTCTGCCAGTGGAGCCAGCTCCACCCATCCTCGTGGTCACCCAGATGGAGAAGATCCTTGGTGTCAATCCCACCTATCAGCTGCCCCCATGCATGCCCCCGCTGGACCTGAAGTATGAGGTGGAATTCTGGAAGGAGGGCACTGGAAACAAGGTGACAAGTCTCTTTCCTGCCCCCAGGCTCCTCCCCTCCTCCCTACAACTCCACCAAACCCCAGCACTCTTCACCTTCCCCCTGCACTCTGCATACCTCCTCCTGGAAGCCTGCTGCAGACCCAACACCAGGCAGTCAGCGCCTGATGGTGTGCAGTGCGATTGCCTGTGGCTCATCCCTGCACTCCACCAGAGACCAAGCACAGGGCACCCTGCCTTTCGTGGGACAGTTGGCAGTCACACCATGGCTTTCTACCTATTTTTTTTAATTATTGTGAGCCCCTCCTTTTTTTCCAATAAAATTCGATTGGCGTATAATGGGCTGCAAGTGGCCGACTTGCCAGATCACCAGATTCATTACAGAATCCCCCAGAGCACAGATGAGCTTGAAAAAGCAAATGGAAAGAACCTAGAGATGACCACAAATGAGTCTTTGATGTTTGTCCTGTTTTCACTGTAGACCTGTGTATACCTGTATTTATCTACTTAGGGCAAAGGTTGGCAAAGTTTTTCTCTGCAGTGCCAGAAAAAGATATGTTTCGTTTTATGGACCATAGGATGTCAAGTGACTCGACTCTACAGCTGTGACACAAAAGGAACCACAGACAATATGGAAACGAGCGGGCACCACCAGTGAAATCAGGCCAGATTCCACCCAGGGCTGAAGCTTTCTGACCTGTGCTCCTGCTCAGTCTTCCATGAAAGCAGCATTCACACCCCTGATCCTAGGGATATCGGTCTAAATCCAGTGGGGCTCCTGCCTTCCAGAACCTCACAGATATATCAAAGCATCAGATATCCCATAAATATGTATAATCTTTATAAGTCAATTAAAAATCAATTTAAAAATAACTTTAGAAAGTACCTCACCAACATTCTAGACCAGTTTGGTCCAATAGAATTAAAATGTGAGCACGTAATTTAAACAACCCACATTAAATTACTTAAAAGGAACAGGGGACTTTAACTTTGATGATGTTTCATTCCAAACATTGTCATTTCAACATGGAACTCATATAAAAATTATTCAGATGTTTACCTCCTTTTTTCACTCAGTCTTTGGAAGGTAGCAAGCATTTTGTTCTAGTGCACAGCTCCACTTGGACCAGGAGCCACCTGTGGCCACCACCTGCTGTGTCACACAGGGTGCTGGACAGGTGACAGGTGACTAAGCCTGTAAGGACTCAATGGCCCTCATCCCCAATAGACTGGAGGCCCCCAAGTGGGAGGCCTGAGATTCTCCCTTCAAAGTGGGGACAATAGGCCATGGTAGGGCACATGCAAGAGTGACCCCCAAGTGGCAGGCTGCTTTTGGACCCTGGTCATCCCTCTTTCCAGATGTAGCCTAGAGGAAACCTGGTAGTGCTGGAAGGCACCACCTTGATGCTTGACCTCTGAAGTCAGAAAAGGAAAGAAAGTTCAGGGATCCCTGCCTACCCAGCCTGCCAGCCCTCCCCATCCTGGCCATGCAGGGTTCCACTCACCGCTGCTTCTTTCTCCAAACAGACCCTATTTCCTGCCACCCCCCATGGCCAGCCAGTCTACATCCCACTCCAGCTGACCACCAGTGGACGCCACTGCCTCAGAGCCAGGACTGTCTACACTTTCATTTCCCCCAAGTACAGTGACTTCTCTAAGTCCAGCTGCCTGGTCCTGGAGGTCCCAGGTAGGTACAAAGTGGTGCTGCAGTGGTGACTTCCCTAGGGGCCTCAGGAGTTCTATGATGCAGTGATTAGAAGTATGAATTAGAGACAGGCTCACCTAGATGAAAACTCCAGCTCTGCCACACCACATTCACTGTGTGTCTTTGGGCAGCTTACATAACCTCTCTGAGTCTTGTTTTCCATAGTCTGCAAGATGGGCTTATTCTTCAAGGACTGACGAGGTGCCATTGTTATAGCTGTAGTCATCATTATCTTTCCTCCCTAGGGGCCAGCTGGGTGGTCCTGGTGCTGCCCTTGCTTCTGCCACTATTAGTAGTTGCCATGGGAGGTATGATCTGGAAGCGCCTCCAGGGGAACCCCTGGTTTCAGCCAGCGAGGATACCTCTGGCCCTGGTATGGCAAGTCCTGCAGTGGGGTGTGCGGCAGGGGAGAGGGTGGGGTATCGGGAGGCAGGCAGTGGGGCTGAGTTTCAAGCTGATTGTGGAGACTGAAACACAGCTTATCTTTGTATCTGGATTTCCACCATTCACAATGCATTCTTTAGCAGGAATGAAATAGCAGTCCCATCAGAAGGACAGTGTCCTAAGTCCCTTCAGTTAAATCACTTCATCTCTGCTAAGGATTTATCACTTGCCCAGCCCTGGGGCCCTGGAGAGATGGCCAAGAAGGAGGAAGGCGGAAAGAGCCACATGGGGATCTTTGAAGGATGTCACATTTTAACACCTCTGGAGTGAGGGCCTGGCCACAGGGGAGCTCCCTAGCTACTGGGGGGGCGGTGGTTAGAGGCTTTGAAGATGGATTACCAGTATCCCCATATTTGTTGTGTCAGTGTGACAAGAGTACTTTCAAAGTTCCTGGTTCCAGGACCTGGGGGAGGGGGGAGGCGGTGAAATCCAGCTGGTTGCCTGGGCAACAACCTTAGGTTGCCTGTTCATCCACACCAGCTGTGGCTGCCACACCCAGTGCCTACACTCTGGGGCTTTGCTCTCTTGGTGCCAAGTGCTAGCTGAGTATGACAGAGAGTTACATCCTTCAGCCATTTGGCAGAGGAGCTGGTGGAGGTGTGGCCCTCCTGGGTGGGGTAGCTTTAAAGTTTGTGTGTGCTCAGTGGCCCTCTGTGTCCCCAGTAGGATTAAGGTCCAGCTACCCTCATGTCATCTTGCTGGATTATACCCCATCACTGGCTACCCCCACTGCCATCTGCTTGCCCACTCCCTTCCCTGTGTTTTCTGGGAACACCTCCAAAAGAAACAAGTTACACTTGAACCCTGAGTCAGGTCTTTTTCCAGGGGGCCCCAGACTCAAACAGTCAAGCTCAGCAATACTGAAACATCTGTTCTTCCCTCCCCAAATCAGGACTTTTCTGGATACAGACATCCTTTGGCAACCTTTCGGCCCAGTAGACCACAGATCCTGGATGACTTGTTCCTCCATCCCCAAAAGAAACTGACCAGAAGAGTCAGGCCGGCCCCTCAAGTCAGGGCCCCCACCACCTTAGCAGCAGAATCAGAGGACAGTCTTGAAGACGAGGATGAGGACACAGATGACAGTGGCAGCTTCCAGCCCTACATTTTCCAGCCCCGCTTCCATGGACAGGAGCACCACTTAGCTGAGCACTCTGAGGCAGAAGAGTCTGGGGTCCACTCAGGGGGGATCTGGATGCCAACAGTCCCTGGAAAAGGCTCCTCTGCTTGGGATTCTTCAGATAGGAGCTGGCCCAACACTGTGGACTCCTCACCCTGGGATCAGGCCAGACCCTCCAGCTATTTGACCAAGACGAGACCAGACCAAGGACCTGGTAGGGACAGGCATCAGAAGCCCTTCCCACAACTAGAGTCCTCTGAGGACTCAGACTCCCTGGAAGAGCCCCTGAAGGGTGACCTCTCCTGGTGGGCCACCTGGGGCTCCCCATCCCCGGGGCGGAATCTGGTTCCTGGGGAGCCCCCAGTTTCTCTTCAGACGTTTACCTTCTGCTGGGACAGTGGCCCAGAGGAAGAGGAAGGAGAAGAAGAGGAAGGACAGGAGGAGGAGGGGGAGGAGGAGGAGGGGGAGGAGGAAGAGGAAAATGAGGGTGAGAGAGGACCTGAGGACAGCCGTGCCACCAGCTGCCGAGCTGAGTACTTGCCAAGGACAGGGGTCAAGGGCAGGTTACTGGAGCATTACTTGGCCAGGTGAGCTGGCCCCACCTTCTCACCCCATCTGGTGCTGTCTGCCACCTGCCAGGCTTCCCAGGTACTCATGACACCATGGAGACTTGAGAGCCACACCCCTCACAGAGGTGGCAGAGGGTTCTGTGATCCCACCCAGAGGCCGTTTGTCATTTGGGTTGAGCAGCAAGGTGACACTGCCTCCTTTGACCCACCTGCTTTAGTGAACTGCAAGAAAGACATAGACAAGCCTGGGCCAAAGCAGAGGTTAGTTGAGTGTCCCCAGGATGACAGGTGAGGTCAGGTCCCTGCAGATGTGGAGCCTGATGCCCCCAAGGGGCCATCTGGGGAAGGGGGTCCCACAGAAGGTACATCCAGTGTGTCAAGGCCTCATACCTGCTGAACTCTCAGCCTCCTAATTGAGTGGTTGGAGGGGGTCCCTTGTGTGGCCCCCTATGAAGAAAGATCCAGTTGGCTGAGGGAGTTGGAGGGGAAGAGAAGGGAAGTTGTCCTTCAGATTCTGGTCTTCAAGGGTCATGGCATTGCAGTTTTTAAATACCAGACAGACCTGGGTTCAAATCCCAGCTCTGCCGTTTACTAGTTAAGCCATCCTTCCTCTCTGCCCCTTGGTTTCCTCACCTGTGGCTGCTACCTGGGTGTGATGAGATCCAAAGAGGTCTCAAGTGTGTGCGTGACACAGGGCCTGCCATGTCATTGGTGCTATCTGTGTGGTGACTGACAGGATCCCCCATCCACCCAGACTCCAAGGGCATCTCCCACCTGTTACTTGTTACTGGAAGCACCCATCTTTCAACCTTTCATCTTGGGGCTACCCCTTTCCTTCCACCCTCGCTGCCCCCACATCTCCTAGTCAGGGGACTGAGTTCAGATGACAGAGCCCAAACCAAAAGCACCTTGGTTCCTCTCCCTTGCTCAGCAGTGGGAGCTCTGCTTCTCACCCCCACATAGTTCACCCTCTCAGGGGCTGACTTATTGGGGTGGAGCCCCATAGGACAGGGATGACTTCCAGGCCTGGAATCCCTTTTGGATGATGCTTGGGATGCTTTGTTGACTGTTGTGGTCTTCAAGAAGTCCCAGTTTCCTCCCAGTTATAAGAAATCAGTGTCTTTTGGGAACAGGTGACTGTCCTTCCCTGGGTAGGGAGTGACACATCCTCAGTCCACCTGTACTGCCTGTACGCTGGTGACCAAGGTTTTGTCTGTTTCATGGTGAGGAGCTGCACAAAGTTGGCTGTGTGGCCTGGGCCCTGCCCTGTCACCTGCCAGGATTTCACTCAACACTGTCACAGCCATTTTCCTTGGAGTCCTATGGGGTTTTTATTTTTTATTCTTTTTGAACTCAGGTCTTTGAGCTCCCAGAGGAGCCTCACTGTGCTCTGGTCTACATGCACTGGCCTTGCACGTGACACATATCAGGTGCTTCCACTGCTAAAGGAGTTAGGAGTCCTTTTTTATTTGAACACCTATCTTGTTTCAGATAAAGAGGCTGAGGTCCAGAGTAGCAAAACATTTGCCCAAGGCCACCCAGCAGTGCTACCTAATGACTTACTGTGTGTTCACCCGAGGGTGAACTTTGGTGTCTGCTCTGCCAGGCCAACCTCTGACCCCTTGGCCATGTCAACAAAGTCTGTAGGTCTCAGCCAGGATTTCCAAGGGTCACTAAGCTAGCAGGAGGTCTTGTCACTACCTCTGGGGCACACACACATTCATGCACAAGCATCTCCCCAAGGGTTTTTCCTGCAATGAGGTGTGCCCACATTGCTGAGCACAGAAGAACAAACTAAAACATGGCGCAGGGGAGGGGGTAGCTCAGGGAAGCTCCGGGAAGCGCCCTGACCAAAGCGAATCTCATTTCTGGGACCCAGCTGCTTCATAGAATTACTTTTAAAAAAACTCAAGGCTATGGTCACCACAATGTTGACTTCTGCATGAGTGAAATACTTTATTTCTCTTCTTCAACCTTGGTATTTTTTACAAGAATTTTTCCCAAAGTTTAATTTTCAACATAGCCTGAACTTTTTAGTAATTTTAAATTTTTTTAAAAAGTGAGAAGTATGAAGAAAGGCAGGGAAATCAATACAATAATTTGTCTTTGTGTGTGCTGGGCCCTTAACTGTTTTAAACCTCAGTATACAGCAGCTGGGAACTGTGGTGTGGGTGGGGCCACACCGGAAGGACACCTGGGGAAAGGGATCAGTGCTTTAGGCAATGGTCGCATGTGTAATTCTTTAGAGTACTCAGATTATATATTATTCTTATATATTTGTATTTACATCTAATTTTGCTCTATGTTTTATATCATATTTAAATAACACCCTAACCTCTGTTGGTATATTACCCCAAGCTTTAAATAAAGAGCTCTATTTTTACAGAAAAAGGTAAAATTGAACGCAAATGTGTACGTACATCTCTTTCAAAGACCCCTCACCGCTCTGCTATTAAGACTACAGGGGTCTTGGTTTGGGTCCACAGAAGCAGACCTAGAGAGGTTTTGGGGTGTAACATGTCATATGATTCAGGTGACTGTGCAGGGGAGTGGGGGAAGTGAAGTAGGGAAGGGAAGGCAGCCAGTCAAGGTGTGAAATCACACAGGTCCCTCTCTGATATAGGGCACCGGGGCCTTGCATCCCCGGGGACCTTTGGAAACAAGTGTTGTACCCACTTCAAATTTCTTCCTCTGCCAGGGGCATTTGTCCCCGGAGAGGTGTCAGTGCTGTGTAGGAGTCACCCACTGAGGCAGAGTTACAGATGCTTTCAATTAGAAGCTACCCTGTACCAGAAAGTTGGATGCAATGGGGCTGGGCTCGGGTCCCCAGTGTCGCCTGCTGCAGTGAGGCCGGGGTTTGCTCCCCACCCTGGCAGCTTACCCAGTGATGACCACAGTTCATGGAAACACACAGACCCACCTCTGTGTGGCTGGCCATGCAAACCTAAACCCTTTCCACCAGCTCTCTGTTGAGGAGCAACTTCCAGGGGACCCACACTGATATCCAGAACTGTGCCTGCTGTTGTCACCATTTACTGCTGCCAGGGTCTAGAGCAAGGTCCTAGACCAAAGCTGAGCTGATCCGACAAGTCCCTTTCCCTGGAATCCAGAAGTCTTCCTGGCTGGCTGGCTCCAACCTTCCCACCTGCTACAGCATGTACGTATTTCCCACCCTGAGGACAGAAGAGACCAGGGCAGGGCTGCCACACGAGCTGCCAAGATGAAAAATGATAAGCCCTGGTTTGGATCCATTCCTGAGGTCCAGCCTGGCCCTGGCTTTCCTGCATCCGAGTTTAAAGCCAGGACTTCGATAACTTTTAACCAACTAGCCTTCCAATTCACAAAGAGATGGTGAATGCTGCCGCGTGTGGCCAGGTTCAGGTGTCTGTCCGCTTAACTGGATGTGAAGTAGTGCCTTTCCTGAAAGCAAGGCAGACCTTCCTTTCCTGCTGGCTTCCCCCTGCCCTCCTTTGCCAGATCACCTTCACAGCCAGTCTGCCTGTGTGCTGCCACCTTCTGGACAGCGGTGGGATGGCAGGGCTGCCTGTGTTACCCCGTGCTCAGGACTGGGGAAGGAAGGAGAGGGACTGGGTGGGTGGTACATCCAGACAACTCCTAGAGGAGGGACTGTTTTCCCTCCCGGCTCCAGCACCTGGCACAAGGTGGAAGTTTGGCACTGAATAAATGAGTGAAAGAAATAATGAGTGAATTGATGTCTGAGTCAGCGTCAGTAGGCGGCTGTCTGGCTGCCTTACACATAGTGTGACTGGAGATCCCAAATTCCTGTTGTAGGTGTGTGACTGTCCTCTGTCACCCAGCATCTGCTCTGAGGGGGATCAGTGTGCTCAGTGGAGCAGGGGAAGAAGTGGGACACAAAGCAGGACTTTAATCTCCTGACTGTGACTTGCTGTTCTGTAGTGTCTCATTGTCAAGGTTGTCTAGGATTTGGTCAATGGCTGTTTTTTGTCCCATTCTTCCTTGATCTCAGTCCTGTATGCACAAAGTGAGGCTACCGGGATGAGGGGTGGGGAGGGATTTTTTAGAAAAACAGAGAAGTTCTATCTACATTTAAGTAAGTGAGGCAGTTCCATGAGTCCATTACTCAAAGATACTGATTGGTGCCAGGACCCAGTCCAGCCCAGGGAGCCCCACCCTTTGGCATGGGATGACACAGACATGGAGGTGTGACAGCATTTCATAAATTATCAGGAATTTTTTTTCCCTTACTACCTCTTTAGGTGAATTAGGAGGAGAAGTTGGGGTCCTTAAGTTAGAACCCTGTCTTGGTGAGCAAAACCATTAGTAGGTGATGGACCCCCCTCTCTGGGTGTTGGTGCCTCCAGGGTGAGGATAGTCCACTTGCTCCAAGCCTCAGTTTTCGTTGGCCATTAAATGGGCCAATTGGGAAGCCAGATTCCAGCAGGGGCTTGGAGTCCCCACACTCCATCTCTGAGCCCCAGGACACTTCATGGACTCCCCCCACCATCACAATAACTCTAACTTATCTGATCTGCATGAGGCAATGCAGTACTTCTACCCCTGAATTTGCCCTTGAAAACCACTGCCAAGTTCAGCTTCTAAGTGAACAAGTGGCACTGTTCTCATTGCGCCCCCCCCATCTGCACGCCCAGGGGTAGGTTTTTGCAAAGGTTCTTCATTTTATAACAGAGGGTGGTGCCTGCTGCATGAGACCTCCTCCTTAGAAACTGTCCAGAGATAGCAATGCAGCAACAGAGGGGTGGAGACTGTTATTTCCAATCGTGGAGGAGGAAGCGGGGGTGTGAGGGAGTTGAATGACCTACCCACAGTGGGGAAGTGCTGGAGCTAGGATTTGAACCTGGACTATCAGCCCAAAGTTCATGTTCCATTCACTTCCCCTGGCTCCAGTGGGTATATGGAGCTTCCCCAATCCTGGCCTGTGACACAATGTTCTCAGTGCTCTTCTGAAAGTGTGTCCTTACAAGCATTTACAATAAGCTTCTGCAACTCCAAACTGGAGAGCTAGAATTCTAAACTCCATCAGTAAGTCCTGCCTGGCATGAAATTGTGCTTGTATCAGTAACAATAGCCATGAAGGGAATTCTGGGATATCAGGGGAGGTTTCTGACTCCAAAGCAGTAAGAAAGCCCAGGCTATTCAAACTCCAAGGTTCTTGGAGGACTTCTAGACCATGCCTCCCCCCAACCCAGATCTCTTAACTTTGAGTGTGTAACGTTGTCAAGTGTGGGGCAGACCACAGAGTGGGAAGAGTTTTAAAGAGAGACTTGCCAGGCACCCATGCCTCACGCCTGCAATCCTAGCTACTCAGGAGGCAGAGATCAGGAGGATCAGAGTTCGAAGCCAGCCCGGGCAAATAGTTTTCAAGATCTTGAAAAATTCTTCACAAAAATAGGGCTGGTGGAGTGGCTCAAGGTGAAGGCCCTGAGTTCAAGCCCTAGTACCACAAAAAAAATTAATAATAATAAAAATAAAAATAAAAAGTGAGACTCCGTTGTCTGAAGCTGTCAAGAGCATGGTTATCGTGGGAGGAGAACCATCCCAGCAGTCTCTGAAGAAGAGTTTGGAAAGGGACAGGAAAGGTGTTCCAGGAGGGGGTACAGCCCAGGGAAAGGTCCTTCTTGAAGTCCTAATTGTCCAGTAACCTTGAACTTCTTTAGTATAAATTAACATAGTTCCATAAAACTCTTTTAAATGGAAGAAAATAAAAATCACCTATAATTCCACTACTACCCAGAGACAGCACCGTTAGTGTGTTCATATAACCCTTCAAGATTTTCTCCATGTGTGTAGGTATATGCTTTTGGGAGTTTGTTTTGTTTTGGTTTGGTTTTTGTAGAACTCAGGGCTTCACGCTTGCCAGGCAGCTATTTGAGCCATGCTCCCAGCCCTTTTTGCTTTTGCCTGCGGCTGGCCTAGACTACATAGTTGGGATCACAGGTATGTACTACACTCAGTTTATTGATTGAGATGGGGTCTCATTAACTTTTTGCTCAGGCCTCAAACCGCAATTTTCCCAATGTCTGCCTCCCAAGAAGCTGGGATTACAGGTCTAAGCCATTGCACCTAGCTAGGTCTTTTCTTTCTTTCTTTCTTTCTTTTGTGGCACTGGGGATTAAATGCAGGACCTTGAGCAAGATAAGCAAATGCTGTACCACTCAAGCTATGTCCCCAGCCCCCCATGCTTCCTTTCATTTGACAATATTCAGTGAATCTTCACCAGACCACAAGTCATTGTTCACCATCATTCTTTTGAAGGCTACATTTGTCTTGCTAAACCCTGTTGCTGGACATGAAGGGGGACCTTTCGCTCCTTTTCGCTCCCTCTCTCCCTCTCTCTTGGCTGTTAGGAAAGAATCTGGATGTTCCCAAGTTTAACAATCCAGGCTTCTTATTTCTCTAATGTCTACATAACCCCAGACTCTCATAGCTGATAGAAGTGAAGCTCTTCTGTCAGGTTCCTTCCTGCAGTGAGAACCCCCAGGAAGGCTTTCCTGTGTAGTCTGACAGGGTCGTAGCTCGTCCTCTTGGCCAACCACCTTGATCCAGAGCTGGGCTCCTTCTTAGCACTTTGTAACCTATATCTCCAGAGGTAGTCTCCCCTTACCACCTGGACTCAAACACCTATACCCCTCATGGTCCACTCAGGAGTCTTCCCAACCAAGGGACTTTAATATCAAGGAGTTGGTTATCCTGCTGATGGGAGAACTGAGAAGCCAGTCAGGTCTGGGAGGCAGCCAGAGATTCCCCACTGCAGGAAGCTGCTCTGTCCTTCCGCTACAGGAATGGGGGAGATGTAATCTGAGTCCAGGACTCCTCACCCAGGACCTGGAATTCAAAGCCCAGGGACAGAATAAGGAAGATGACAGAGCTTCCTGGCCGGAGGGGCCTCTAATAGGCGCGATGGCCCCAGAAGAGGCTCAATCACTGCCACAGGAAGTGATAAGGTGTTAAATACCTGATTCTCCAGCTCCCCAACCTCCCACGGGCTCAACCTATCAGGAAGCAGCTGACAAAGGAGTCTGGGAAATGTAGTTTCGTGCTATTACAGGAAATGACTGGCACTGGCCCTGCCTCAATTCCCCAAAGCATAGATTCAACCATCTGGTCAAATAAACTCTAGCAAAGGCTCAGAGCTGATAATAAACTATTACGATGCAGAAAGGGAAAACTTAAACATATATCATTGACTATCATACCTCGTTATGTACAAAAAGCCAACCCCAGGGCTGGGGACACAGATGGCTCATCCTGCAGGAGCCCCTGGGTTTGATCCCTGGCAGTCCCCTGCTATAGGTCTTGGCCTGCCCTTGTGCAATGGGGCCAGCCAAACTTGCTCCAGGGGCGCCAGGGCCCTTTGATTATGTCTACCCTGACTAGAGTCCAGCTGCCTTCAACCTTCTCTGCAGCCCAATGAGAAGGAGAAAATTGCTTCCTAAATACCCCTTTATTGCCATGAAGTTAGTTCATCTCTATAACTATTACTCTTCATGGCAGGATAATAGCTTAGGGCGCATCTCAATCTTCCTTGCCCCAAACCAAAGACCCATTCCTGAATTTTGATCACTGTCTAGCACAGCAGAAAGAATCCCTGAGGTTTGAGGTCTGTTTTGTTTTTTGTTTTTTTTTAATAACCTTGTGCAGATCCCAGCTATAAGGCACAAGGTAAGAGTGCCCAGGCTTTCCATCCAGCAGCCTCACCAGGAGGAAGCTGTTCCTAAGCCACTGTCCAGCCTGGTGGATAAGATATGGGCATGAGGAAGGACATCAGACAGCCTGTGTGTCCTCCCGCCAGAACCAAGCCAAGGTGTGTTCTGGATTTTTTTCTCCTCCCTTGTCCCGTTATGTTCCTCAGGGTAAATCCCCTGAGAATAGAATTATTCGGGGAAAAGACATGCACCTGGTGTAGGCTTTGATACAGTGCCAGCTGCTCCCTGATAAGACTGTGTACCATGAATTATTTTTGCCTTTTCTGCCTCTCAGCGAGCGCCCTGATAAGCCACTGGAGAGTCTTGGGATGAATCAGTCACCAGACCAGATAAACAAGCCAGCCGGCTGCTGCGCTGTTTCTGCACCCAGGAAGGGAACTCCCTTGGATCCCACCCAGGATCTGGAATTCAGAGCACAGGGCCAGGCACCTTTGTACCCCTGCCCCCACGGGCCTAGGTCCTCTCCTCTCCTCCTGTCTCCGCCCTGTACCGGGTGGAGCCAGCTGCCAAGGCGGCAAGACTTCCAGCCCTACGTGCAGGGCCCAGGATAGTGGCCCAAAGGGGCCCTGGACTGGGCTGATGAGGACACTACTGACCATCCTGGCTGTGGGATCCCTGGCTGGTGAGTGCCCCTACCCCGTGGTCAGGTCACTGCTACCTCAGGAGCCAGTGATCAGGGCCGTCTCCCTGCTCCATGCAGTCCTGGTTTCATTTTCTTGCTTAGTTGTGCTGAACTGTGTGCTGGGTTTTCCTGAAGACATAGATGGGCAGCTCAGGTGGCAGGGAAGCACGAGAGGGTGACACAGACCCTGGCCTCTTGCAGGGACTCAATTGACCTTCAAGCTTGGAGGCATGTGTCCAGCTGTCTGCACTAGGGGTTCTGGGTCCCCACATTCCAATGGGTGGAAGGTTGACTAGGAGAGGTGGACATACTTTGACCCCTCTGAGGGTTCTGGCAGAAGCTGTGCCACCTCTTTCTTTGCTTTTGATGGGGAGGAGTGGGGACAGGTTGGACAAAGCTCAAGTTCAGCCCCTGCCTCTCTCCACGCCCCTGTGGGGTCTCTTTGAGCCCTTCTAGCTGCATCAGAAAAGCATTTCCTTGCAGGGCACCCAGGCAGGAACTAGTGGGTCTTAGGGTCAGGACCTCCTGCAAAGGAGACTAACAAGCATCGTGGGGAATTCAGTAAGGTGTATTCATCACTGCCAAGAACTGTACATGAGTCCTGGGCTGGGTCTCTGTTGTCATGAGATGAAGCTTGTGGAGCTCCCTCAGGAAGTCAGAGCTCAGCCTAATGGAAGAGGGGGAGGCCCGGCCTCCACAAAGCTCTGATCAGATGCAGATGAAGCCCATGAAAGGGACAGAGCTGCCCCTTCACAACTGTCCCCTACCAATGCTGCCTGGATCACTCCCTACGCTCTGGGTCTGTGACAGGCTAGAGAGGTGTAATGCAGCCCCAGGACATGCCAACGTTCCTCCAGATGCCCACCCATTCTGGTGGAAAACCCTGGAGCTCCTGGTCCTTTAAGATGGCAACCCCAGGGAGCAGCCCTGGGGAGGTGGCTAAGGGTGGTAACATCACTTATATCTAGGCCCTGGGCAGCGCTCAGGCTGATTGCCCAGCTCGTTGAACTGTTGTTTGTTTGTGTTTTAACTTAGCTTAACCATGGGTTGATACATGGTTTTTCCACACAAATGTGAAAACTTACGTTGTGCGATTTATGAAGTCGGTGGCCAGCCAGCCAGGCTGCACAGTCTCCTGGGTTTCACAATGTAGACTTTCAACCAGGAAGTGCAGAAGTGGCGTGGGCCAGGAAAGCAGGATGGATTTGGGGAGGGAAAGGAGTGAGTAAGGCCAGAAGAGAGGGGAGGCTTCCTTAGCCCCTAATACCCTCCTAAAAGAGGGTGACCAGCCAAGGTCCCCTTGCCCCACTGCAGAAGGCCAGCTTCAACGCCTTCTTGCCTACTTTGATTCCTTTACCAGCCAGCCCGAACCGCAGCCCCCAGCCTTCCCCCTCCCCGCCCCACGTCCAGACAGCCTGCCCAGGCCACCAATCCCAACCAGCAACCTGTCCTGCAGCCTCCAGCCCACCCTGATGAGAGCCCAAGCCCACCCCAAACAGATCCCTCCTCTCAACTCTCTCCTGACTCTCCTGCTCTTGATGCCCCAGATCCTCCCCACAAGCCACTTTCAGGTCTGCCTTCCACTGTGCTCCATTTCTCAGCTTCAGACCCACCCAGAATGCAGGACCCCTCCCCCCAGCTCTGGCCCCAATCCTGCCCAGCAGCACAGCTGTCACATTGGGGTAGAAGTAGTGAGACATCCCCACACTGACCCCAAGGCCCCACTCTGGGGGCTCCTGGAAGCCTGGAGATTAAGATTTCACAGCTGCTAGGTCAGACCCACCCAGATTCAGAGAGGAGGGTAGCTTGTGGTGTAGCCAGGGGACATGCAGCAGGACTGAACTGTCTCCACATAATTCACATTGCCGTGATAGTGCCCCTCCCCAGGCCTATGGACCCCTCTTGCAGAAGCACTGTTTGTAGGTTTGGAGGGTGAAGATAAAAGCTATCCACTTCTCACCCTGGGCCTGCCAGTGGTCAGGGCCTGTCAGGGGAGGGAAGCACACACACGAGACACACTTGTACACACGAGGCCTCGAGGCCTTCACTCAGCTGCATCTGCACCTGTTCTTTTCCCATTGGCCAGCTGGGCTGTTTTGCGTATGCTCAGAGCTGCCATGTTCCTCCACCCTCCTCCTTTCCACGGGCCAAGCAGGGAGGGTTCTGCAGGGCTCTTTACTTACAGTGACGATTGCTTCAGAGGTAGCAGAACCTCCCCCCGCCCCCCGCCAGTCTCCCTAGGACTGGGGTCTTTGCTCCCTGTTCCTGTCATAAGCTTCAGTAGGCTGGGCAAAGGCCTGTGCTGGAAGACACAACCATAGGCTGGGTGTTTTGTTTGTATTTGGTGCTGGGCGTTGAACCCAGGACCACAAGAATGCTAAGCACCCCAGCCTCCACTGTGAACTGATAAAGGGCCATGTTCTCTCTTCCTCTCTCCTCCCGTCCTCCCTAAACTGGTCCCTTTTTTAAGGATCGCTAAAGGCCCCACCCACAAAAAAAAAAAGGGTGAACAGGACAACCCCTTCCCTATACCACAAATCTCTTGCTTTCCCAGTCCCCTCCCCTCAGACCCAACGCAGACCCCGCCCCACTGTTCAACCCCACAATGCAGCTAGCACTGTGAAGACTCTTGCACATCCTGTCCCGTGTCTAGCGTGACACCAGGTGACAGCCCTCTGTGAGCCTCAGTTCTTCTCATCCATAAAATGGAGACAGCAATTATCAGTCATCAGGTCATCATGAGTAGCCAATGAAGGGAGAGGTTGAGGCTGGTATGTGGCACCTGTCATTCCCATCGTAAGTGCCAGTTGCCACTATTGTTCTTACTGTCTGTTGCTGGGTAAATCAAATCATTCCCATTTTAGAAGTGAGGAAATTAAAGACCCAATGGCGTGAACAACTTCCCCAAGGTCACGTTGCCCATATGTCAGCATCCTGCCCCATGACCAAGTCTGTGTGCAGAAGGCTCCTTGGCCTCTTAAGAAGGTGGTATGGCGGGTGGGCAGGGATTGGCTTGGAGAGGACTCAGAGGTGCCTCCTGCACCAATGCGCACAGTCATTGACCTTGGACAACTTGCTTCTCGGTTGTTTTAGTGGAAGAGCTCGAAAATATGAATCAGGACACCAACCTAAGCACTCAAAAGTGAACAAAAGATAACAAGTGTTGATAGGATGTGGAGGAAATTGGACCACTTCCCAAACACTGCTGGGGAGAATTGAAGACAGTGCAGCTACTTTGGAAAACAGCTCCACACTTCTTCAAGAATTTGAGCATAGAGTTGGGGCTGTAGCTCAGTGGTCAAGTCCTCACTTGTCACATGTGAGGCCCTGGGACCAATCTCCAGTACTTGAAAAAAATAAACAAATGTTAAACACAGAGCTACCCAGCAATTTCATTCTGGAGCTATAGCCAAGGGAATTGGAAACATATGCCCACTGAAAACTTTTTGCACAATGTTTGCAGCAGCAATATTCACAATAGCCAAAAAGTGCAAAGAACCCAACTGTTCATCAACTGAGGAATGGATAAACAAAATACGATATATCTATTCAGTGGAACATTATTCAGCCATGAAAATGAAACAAGTACATATTCATGCTGCCATATGGATGAATATTGAAAACTATTTATACTGAGTGAAAGAAGCGAGGCACAGAAAGGAGCCAAGACTCTAAGCAAATGAAAAGTCCAGGCTATGTAAATTTACAGAGGCAGAAGATAGATTTGTGGTTGCCAGGGGGCAGGAGGAATAGGGAGTGACTGCTAACAGCTATGTAGTTTCTTTTGAGGGAGATGGATGTGTTCCAGAATTAGACAGGAGTGATGGCTGACAGGGTCATAAATATGGTAAGAAGGCATTGAATGGACCACTTTGAAATGGTGACCTTTGAAATACAAAGGAAGGGAGGAGCAGTGAGGGGTCAGGTGGCTGTCTGGAGAGTGGGATGCTAGTCTTGTCCCTCTTGCTGACAGCTGGGGGGCCAGGGTGCACGAGTGTCCCTGCTGAACGTGCTCCTCCCTCCCGCAGCCCACATCACCGAGGACAGCCCCAAGCTTCTTCAACACGTGAAATTCCACTCCAGCAACTTTGAAAACATCCTGACGTGGGAGAGCGGGCCTGATGGCACCCCAGACACAGTCTACAGCGTGGAGTATAAGACGTAGGCTTCCTGTCCAACCAGAGCCCTGCGACTCTGCTCTGAGGCTAGCCCCCCCCCGCCCCCGCTAATAAATGTCCCCAAAGTCCTACCCAGACCAGGATTCACAGTCCCTTGCAAATAAAACTTTGCTCCTCTGTTTCTTTTGCAGGGGGACGATAAAGTAAGGGTCCCTACTACCAGCTTATACACTTGTATAAACCAGTTCCCCACCTCCATAACCTTGGGCAGTCAGGGAACCTCGCCAAGCCTCAGTCTACCCACCTATAACTTGAGAGTAATGCTAGCACTTTCTTCATAAGGTTGTCAGCTAAATTACATGAGATGAAGTCATTAACACTTGTGCCTGACAAATAATAAGCTAGTGACAATTGTTTTATTATTATTGGTGAGACTCAGTCAACAAGTCATGCCGGGGGCCCCTCCAGTCAAGTTCCTCTGAGGCAGAGAGGAGGTGACAATGGGCCAGGTAGTCCACAAACCTGGAGCCCATCTCTGCTCCTGTCACTTGGCCATGTGGAAAGTCACTTCCCCTCTTTGAGCCTCAGTTCCCTGTCTGGAGATAATGGGCTTGCCTCAAAGGGCAGTGGTAACGATGAACCCAGAGTGTGGCCCCAAGATGGCTGAGTTCAAATCTAGCTGACCATATGCCCTTTGGGCACATGTTATTCCTTTGAGCCTCAGCTTCCTTATTTGAGAATAATAAAGTCAAATCAAGCAGCCTTTGTGAGAGCTGGCGAGATCATTACGACAGGCTTGGGAAGCAGGACGTGCTAAGTAAATATTAGACACCGTTATTGTAATTAATAAACCACAGGCCTGGCAAGGGCCCTCATTTAATGGCGTGCCCGCCCTCCCCGCCTCACCTGCAGATACGGAGAGAGAGAGTGGCTGGCAAAGATGGGCTGCCAGCGGATCACCCGCAAATCCTGCAACCTGACCATGGAGACCGGCAACCTCACCGAGCTCTACTATGCCAGGATCACGGCCATCGACCCAGGAGGCCGGTCAGCCACCAAGATGACGGACCGGTTCAGCTCTCTGCAGCACAGTGAGTAGGAGCTGCTACTGAGGAAACAGGATGTGTTGGGGTGAGGGAGTGGCCTTGGGTCCTCTGGACTAGATGGGGGGCCCAGAAGGGTTCTGCTCCCCAGGGTGCAGTTAGAAATGGGGCGAAGTTAGAAATGTGACTTTCAGGACACACCCTCTGGGAGGGGGGGTGTTCTTTTTTCTCTACCCTCACCCCAACTGCCCCAGTTTCAACCACTCTCTTCTGGTTCCTGTTCCACAGCCTAGGTCCCCTAACTCATTTCCCTCTCAGCCCCCCATGCCCACTGTCCACAGGCCACTCCAAGGAGCCCTGAACCTTCTCTTCCCCTGCCTAAAACTCTCCAGCACTCGCTCCTGAGTCCTCAAATTGGATCCAAACCTCGGCTGTGGCCTAGAGGTCCTGCCTATTCCAGGCCTCCTGTGGACCGGTTCTTCCTACTGTACCACCCTGCCAGACAGGACCTGCCTCAGGGCCCCTGCTCCTCACAGGATGGGCTTTGTCCCAGTCCTTAGGATTCAGCTCAGCATGGACTCCCAAGAGAGTGCCCCCGTGCCCGGGATGACCACCTGGCTTCAGTAGGCCACAGGCTGCTATTCTCTTTCACAGCACAGTCAGCCCTCAGTATCCTCAGGAGCCACAACCACAGACTCGACCAAACACAGGTGGAAAATATTTGAAAATAAAACCAATAACCTGTGTGTGTCTGTACTGAATGTGGATACGTTTTTCTTGTCATCATTCCCTAAACTGTGCAGTGTCACAACTGTTCCCAGAGTTCTTCCATTGCAGTTTAAGAAGGAAGGAGGGGAGAAAGGACCCAAGCCTTGTATGCACATATGAATAATAAAACAATACAAAAAACAGGGCACTAGAAGTGATTCTGCATTTTCCCTTGAAAAAAAAAAAGAGGGAAGGAGGGAGGGAGGGAGGAAAGAAGGAAAGAGAGAGAGAGAGAGAGAGAGAGAAAGGAAGGAAGGAAGAGCCTAAGCATCCTAAGCATGTGGTGATGTTCACCAACTGACTTTATGGCCACACATGACCTTTTTTTTCTCTGTACTGACACTTGAACTCAGGGCCTTGTACTTTAATTTAAAAAAAAAACTAAGTAAATGATTGGGTTTCTTCATGACTTATTTAATTAGTCCATGCTAGTTATAGGAAATTTGGAAAATGTAAAAACATGCCTGATCATTCAGACACAACCTCAGTTACTCGCAATTGTATCTCCTTTATTGCTTTTCAGCTCTTTTCCCCATATAATTGTGTCTTGAACTTTCGCTCACATTACTAAATGTTTTTTTTTTTTACTATGTGGCATTTCACAGATGCAAAATGGCCCCTTGTGCAGAGGCACTTGAATTTGCTTAACCTAATCCCCCTTTTGAGGAATTTGCTCCATCTTTCATTCTTGTTGGCAGCACTGAAGGGGACATTTTTTTTGGCTGAGTTGTTTTGAATCTTGGAGGGCAGTGGACCCTTGAGGAACTTTTATAAATCAGAATCAGGTGGAGGCTCAGAGCGAGTGCCCTCATCCGGGGTGCTTCCCACCCCCTGGCGAGCCTACACACAGACACCAATAGCTCTCCCTTTTTTTTTCCAGCAGCACTGGGTTTGAACTCAGGGCCTCACACTTGCTAGGAAGGCACTCTACCTCTTGAGCCACTCCGCCAGCCCTAGACTCAGCCTCTTTCAGGAGCTTTTCCTTTTCACCGGATGGCTTAGCGGAAGCTTTCAGAGGCAGCCCAGGCTTGGAGCGGGGCCTCACACGCCAATTCCAACTTTCACTTTTCCTTCTCTGTTTCTAGCTACCATCAAACCACCTGATGTGACCTGTGTCCCCAGAGTGAGATCCATTCAGATGATCATCCATCCTATCCCCATCCCCATCCACGCCGGAGACGGCCACCAGCTGACCCTGGAGGAGATCTTCCACGACCTGTTCTACCGCCTAGAGCTCCGTGTCAACCACACCTATCAAATGGTAAATGTATGTTGCACCCTGGTCCTTCCTTGCCTGGGAAATCCCTTCCCTCTCCATCAAACCTGTCTTGCTTTAACTAGAAAGGGGATGTGCTACACCAAATAGCATTTGTCCCTTGTGGGACTCTTTGAAGCTGTCATGATCCACAACTTCCCTCTTGTAGGGAAACTGCAGTACAATAGTATAACAAGTCCTGAGAGGCCAAGGCTCCAGTTTGATTTGTTTAATACAACTTTCTGAAAACCAAAAAACCCTTTTCTGCATAACAGAGACTTAAAATATTTTGCCTGATATCCTGAAGCATAGCCTCTTTTAACATCCTCAGGCGTTCACTTTAGAAAAGCTAAAATCGGTTTCTATAACTGCGATTCTTTTTGCTGGTTCTCCACTATTTGCAGGAGCTATAGACAAGAGAATGCCTTAGATATAGTAATGACAAGTATGACAAGTGGAAGGCAAGAGCATAAATTGTCCAATGATATGCAAATTATGTCTCCCGTCTTCAGAAAATTCACCGTATCTCCCCCCCCCCCCCCCACCCCCCCACCCCCCCACCCCCCCCCCCCCCCCCCACCCCCCGCCCCGGGGTGGACCATTCAGCCCTAATTCGGTTGGATGAATATTTACTTCCTTCTCTCAAGAGCTTCTAATCCAGGGGTGGGGAGGGAGTGAAGCAAGAATTGGAACAGCTATAGGTAAAGAAAAATAAGGACATTGTGAGGTGGGGCAGGATGAGCAAGAGTTAAAAGACTTCCTTCCAAAGGGCTGGCGGAGAGGTTCAAATGGTGGAGCGCCTGCCTAGCAAGTGTGAGGCTCTGAGTTCAAACCCCAGTACCACCAAAAAAGGTTAAAAGATTTTCAGAAAACTTTCAGGTGCCAAGGGCACTTAGTGAGGCCTGCCAGGCAGTATGTACAAGTGATGTCATGTCACTTGATCTTCCCCGCAGCCCTGGGGACTACTGTCTCCATTTTCCAGATGAGAAAACTTACACCCAAAGAGGTTACATCAAATCACTTGCTGGAGATTATTCAGCAAACACTAGCAAAGACAGGATTCAAATCCAGTTCTGTTCAGATCCCACATTTCTTCTCCCACAGACCTATACTGCTGCACCATGATCAGAGAGAGAGGCAAGAAGATTTAGGGTGTTTTGGGAAAAATGCAAAGCTGCCCAATTTTGTTGGTGCATGGAGCCATGTAAGCAGTTTTTCAACACAGGGTCCCCGCCAAATGGCATCACTATCTCCTCAGGTCATTGGGCCTCATCACTGTGACCAAATGCCTGGCAGAAACACCTCAGAGGAGGAAAGGTTTATTTTGGCTCATGATTTCAAAGCTTCCCATCCATCATGGTGCGGAGGGCATGACAGAGCAGAGAAATTTGCATCACGTCAGTCAGGAAGTAGAGAAAGCAAGTAGAGGAAGGGGCCAGAGCAAGAGATGGCTCCCAAGGACATGGCTCCATGACTGACTTCCTCCAGCCAGGCCTCACCAGGGGATTACAACTTCGTCAAGGGATTCCTATTCAGTCAGAGCCCTCGGGATCTGATTGTCTCAGGAAACACCATCACAGACCCACACAGAGGCCCACTTCTCTCACTTCCTAGGTGTTTCTCAATCCAGTCAACTTGACAGTGAAAATTTACCATCACGGGCCCTTTCCCATCTACCCAAACATTTGCACTTGCATCCCTGGGGCCTGAATTTTAGTGAACAACTCCAGGGCTTCTCTCTCCCCATGAAGTGTGGAAACCTCCAGGAAAGGGACTAGAACCCTGTTGTAGAGGCCTGGGGTGGTGAACAGAGGAATTTTTATCTAGTTCTGTAGTCAAGGGGAATGCCGAGAGATTACTGAACAGGAAGAGCACTTAGGGCAGCTGCTTTTGGTAAATATTTTGGTTTTGACTAAATATTTTATTATTATTGATTTTTAATTTAGTTCACTTTGTGGTCAGAGAACACGCTCTATATGATATCAGTCTTTTTAAATTTATTGAGGTTTGTTTTATGGCCCACACCACATGGCCTACCTTGGTGAATGATCCACGTGTACTTGAAAGCCTGGGTATTTGTAGCTGTTTGGTGGAGTTGGTGGAGAGGCAAGGAGGTTAACAGACTTATCCTGACTTTCTGTGTCCCTCCTGATTTGGGGGAAGAGATCTATTCTTTTAGCTGATGAGAGCATCAAACCCTCCAACTACAATCATGAATTTGTCTGTTTTTCCCTTAATTCTGTGCATTTTTCTTTCATGCATTTTGTATCCTTTTGTTTTGTTTTGTTTTGTTTTAGCCGTACTGAGGTTTGAACTCAGGGACTCATGCTGGCTAGGCAGGCACTCTAGCACTTGAGCCACTCCACCAGCCCTCTTTCATGCGAAACTCTTATTAGAAGCAATTATGACTGATATCTTTCCCTAATCAGTTGGCCTTTGCTCGCCATGAAATACCCTTTTATCTCTAGTAATATTCTTTGTGTTGAGATCTACGTGTCTGATATCAATATAGCCACTCTTACAATTTACATGGCCTCTATCATATATGCTTCTTTAATATCAGAAAGGACCAAGTAGGGACACATAGTATATTTTTATATCCATTTCTTTTCAACTTGTATCTTTATATTTCAAGTGCATCTATGCAGACAATATTCTGACAGAATCTGCCCTTTCCACACAGGTACAACTCATCTAGCGTGAAATCCATGCTTGTTTTTGTTTTCTTTGTTTTTGTGTTGCTGGGGATCAACCCCAGGGCCTCATGTGCTAGGCTGGCAAGTGCACAGTGCGGAGGTTTTCAGCATAGCCTCACAGTTGTGTGACCGTCACCACTATCTGGTGCTCCCCGCAAGTTTTCTGACTGTTTCTTTGACATTTTCAGTCTGTGGCTGAGCTCATTCAGTGCACTTTTTATTTCAGATATTGTGTTGTTCATTTCTGAAGTTTGCAATTTTTATAGTTCATGTATGCTGTCGGGATTTCTTAGTCATTAGTGCATTACGGGAGTATTTTCTTTTACTTCCTTGAGCATTGTTTTACAATTGCTTCAAAATTGTTATCTGCTAAATCCACCATTTTGGTTATCTTGGGTCAGTCACTACTAATTATCTTTTCTCTGTGTCTGGGTCTCAGTTTTCTCTCTTTGTATGCTTGACAAGTTTTCAGTGTGTCTTGGACATTATGAATGATCTATTGAAAATGACAGGATTCTCTTACAACCTCTGAAGAGTATGAATTTTTTGTGTGATGTTTTAGTAGGCAATTAACTTGGCAAAACTCCAAACTTAAATATCAGTTCTTTTGTTTTGTTTGTTTGTTTGTTTGGTTGGTTGGTTGGTTAGTTGGTTGGTTGGTTGGTTTCTGACAGGTTTTTGCTATGTAGTAGCCCAGGTTAGCCTTGAACTCATGAATGTTCTGCCTAAGCCAAGTGCTGGGATTACAGGTGTGAACCACCATACCTGGCTTCTTCTCTTCCTTCTTCTCCTCTTCCTCCTTCTTTTTCTTAATTTTACACAGGTTGTTTGGAGGCTGCCCAACTCATACATACTTTAGGAGCCAGCCAGGGTTGTGGGTAGAGCTTATACACAGAGCATGGGCCTCTCTCTTCCTCCCCTTCTCTCTCTCTCTCTCTCCCCATTTGTGGGTCACGCTAGCTCATTTCCTAGCTGCTGTGATCACCCCAAACCCTGCTCTCTGTTTATCTAATCCATTGAGACTATAGGGCTTCTGCTTAGTCTCCCGCAAAGTATGACCCAAGGTTTGCTTTCAGGAAGAAAGACATAAAAATACCTGTTGCCTGCCCTCTTTCTTCTGTGACCGCAGCTGCCCAGTGCCTCTAGGCAGTTGCTTTTCATTTGGTCACACTTATAGTCCTTATTTCCAGGAGGGCTGGTCTGCTAGAAGGTATAAGTGACTGGAATTGGAAGGAAGAACACAGTGGAAGTCCCACAAGTTGCTGGGTGGAAATCACAGGATGGAGGGAGGGAAGAACTTGGGGAAAGAGAGCTCCTGATGCCTTGGCAACTCTCCCAGACTCTTCTCACAGGACATTTACTGTACGCAATTTCAACACGTGAGTCCCACAAAACAATAAGTTGTAAAATCTATTTATGTATTTCACCCACTTTCAACACACATCCTCTTCCCCAAACAGCAAATTACCCCAAACCCTGGCCTCTGTGTACCTGGAAAAGGGAAGGAAGGGCTAAAATGCAAAGAACCAAAAAAGAAAAGGCTTGGCGTTTGAACTCCCAAGAACACAGCTCTCGGCCCTTCGATGGCAGATGTGTGGATCATTTCAGAACAGTTAGGTACAAAGGATATGAGAGGGGGTTTGTCAAAAATGGTTTTAAGGTTTGAAGATTAGAAAAAGAATAATACTAATAAGAGAATTAGAGAATCGGGCCGAGCATAGTGGCTCACCACTATAATCCCAGCTACTTGGTAGGCAGAGGTAGGAAGACTGTAGTGAGGGCAGCCCAGGCAGGAGCTAGCTTGAGACCCTATCTGAAAAACAAACTAAAAGCAAAGAGGCTGGGAGTGTGGCTCAAGTGGTAGAACACTTGCCTAACAAGCTCATGGCCCTGAGTTCAAACCACAGTACTGAAAAAAAAAAAGAAAAAAGGAGAGAGAATGGAATGAGGAGCTGCAGGCTGACCCACCAGGCTCTGGGCTGGTGGCTGGTGGTTGGGTGATGACTGGTGGCTGGTGGGATCATTGTCCTAGGTGTAGTAAGTCAGGAGGAGGAGAGTGGCTCGCCAGGGCTCCAAGAGCGCAGTGTAAGAGCAATCTCTCTGGGTTCTCTGTCCAATCAGCACCTTGGAGGGAAGCAGAGAGAATATGAGTTCTTTGGCCTGACCCCGGACACCGAGTACCTTGGGACCATCATGATTTTGGTTCCAACCTGGTCCAAGGAGAGCTCCCCCTACGTGTGCGGAGTGAAGACGCTGTCAGGTGAGCTATAGGCAGAGGGAATGGGACTCCCCAGGCCCCATCTTAACCCCACTCCTCCCTCCCTGTAACCAAAGTGACACTTGGCGACTTTCTGAAAAAACACGGAAGGGTCATTGGTGTATTATCAAGGTCGATCTGTGTTTATTCATCACTGAGTTATCAGGTCAGTTGTCATAGCAAATGTTTGGTTCCCATCCTCCAGCCCATGTGTGAATTTCCCCTCTGTGGCCAGTGTGGTGTCTGATCTATCACCTAAGTGATACAGGGGATGGACCCTGCAGGGGTGGGGACATCACAGACGATAAAAGTATCCCCCGATACCTTGTGAAGCCAAAGAATGATAACGACAGTGAGGCCAACTGGCATTTTCTGCAGTGCTAACCAGGGAAGAGGCACGTTTACCCACAATCCTCCAGAGCAGTCCTGAGGCAGGTGCTATTATTCCCCTCCTTTTACAGAAGAAGAAACTGAGGTTCAGAGTGGTTCAGTTACTTGCCCCACATCACACAGGAGGTGAGGGACAGAAGGAGACCCAGTTCTAAGGAACATGTTCTCAGACTGAGTACTGCAGCAATAGTTTTGAGCCATCTATCTGCTCAGGGGACAGTGTCCATGCCCCCTTTCTCCAACGGGTTAAAACTGGACACCCGGCACCAGCATCTTTTTGCGAGGGTTTATCTTCCTAGGCAGGTAGAAATGAGCTGATGGTCAGAGCAGGAGGCTGACAGCAGTGGGTGGGAAGGACTGGGAAAAACGGTCCCCACCTGTACTATCCTGTGCAGAGTCACATCAGTAGGTGACATCTGTGTCTTCCTTCAGAGCAGAGCTAGGGGTGAGAGCAGGACATGGCATGTAGCCCTTGGCTTTGTTCAGAAACTCATCTGTCTCCCTCAGACCCCACAGGAGCCTGGGTTCTCTGCCCCAATCCCAGTGCATTGTTTGGCAAAGGAGACCTGCCTGGGTGGGGGGCAGCCCTGGCCACTGGCACGGGGCATGTCTTCCCCACGCCAGGGCCCCCGAGAGCAGAATAGAACTCAGCAGGAGAGGAGCCAAGAAAAGGAAACCGGCTCTATGAGCTCCAAGCAGGGACCCTACAGGGTCTGTGGCCCTGTCCTCTGCACAGTGCTACCTGAACCTCACCTGTCCCTGCCACTCCAGCCCAGCACTGTGGTTTACAACCAGATCACTCACACTCGCCCTTCTGGCCCTCTGTCTCTTGTCCTCACACCATCTTGCTCAGGATGGGACACCACTTTTTCCTTTCTTTTTTTTTTTTTTTTTGGCGATGTTGGGATTTGAACTCAGGGTCTCATGCTTGCTAGGCAGGCGCTCTACCACTTCCTCTAGTCCGGCTTTTTTTTTTTTTTTTTTTGAGTCAGGTTCTCACTTTGTAGCCCAAGTTGTCCTCAAACTCATGATCCTCCTGCCTCAGCCTCCCAAATGCTGGGATTATAGACATGTGCTACTAGGTGCCTGGCAAGATGCTGTTTTTGTTTTTGTTTTTATTTTCTAAGAGTGCTTTTCTTTGAAGAACACTTCTTAGTGAGTGTTTGTTGCTGGTATATAAGGTACTTTATTTGTAAGAGCAAAGTACATTAAAGACAATTCCCACCGTATATTAAGTACTGTTCTACTGCCAATTATGCATCAAGTGCTCTAATGTATTATTTAAGCTCTATTATTACAAATATGACTTAGTCTTTACAACAATCCTGCAAGTAGGTAGCCTCATCTCCATTGTACAGAGGAGGAACTCTGGCTCAGAGAGGTTAAGTAACTTGTCCATGACTACACAGCTTGTCGGTGAGCCCGGTTAGATCTATCTAAATCTGAAGCGAGGCTCTAACTAACCACCACCTTTCAACTTGGTTTATAGTTAGTCCCATCTACTGCACACTTATTTGTCACTTCCATGTCAGAGTGATGAATCCTACCCTTGACCCTGTATCCTGGAGTCGGCCCACCCCAAAACCCAGAATTTCACATTATTTCCTCTCAAGATGTCTGGCAGGGGCACAGAGAATCATCTTAGCATCTTGGTGCTAGACAGGGGTCTTAGGGTCACCTCACCCCATATCTTAGTCTTACAGGACCCTGAGAATCATTGCATAATGACTTGAGGACTGGAGTTATACTCATCAATCTTGGCTTCTCCACTGAGGGGCTGTGTGATCTTAGGCAAGTCACTTAACCTCTCTGAGACTCAGCTTTGTAAGAAGGGAGCATCACTAATCCTGTGTGTTATTTTGATGATTTTTCTGGGACAGCATAGGTACAGCACCCAGCACACTGAATAGCATATAGGATCAGTTCAACAACCACGGGTGCCTGGTGTAAGTAAATGGTAGACCAGAGAGAGTCGTGTAGCAGGGAGGACACCCAGCACCTCAGTGGCTGAGCCAGACCGCTAATACCCCACAGTCTACTCTCCCACTGGCGTTTTTATTGCTCCACCTCTTCTCCCATGGGTGAAATGGTATGTGGAAAGTCTCTTAGGCCAAGGAATATCCAAGTCTGTATCCTGTGCCAGTACAAGGAACACAGTTTTTCCGCTAACAGTAGACCTGTGTGTAGGGCCATCCAGGTCATGTCTTCTCCCCAGGTACCATGTGACAGGGAACAGGCATCACTGCAGCAGGAAGCAGACCCATGGGCTAGGGGAGGAGTGAGGAGCGGGCTTAAGGTCAAGGTCCAAGATCCCCAGGGCTGAGGGAGCTTTGGTGGTGATTAACTCCCCATGCTAAGGCCAAGGAGAGGCGATGTCGTGAGTCAGGACCCTGGACAACACAAACTAGGTTTTACCAAAGCCTCCAACCACCAATTCCCAGTCTCACTCTGACAAGTGTGTCACATGGAGAACCAACTGTGCTGGTCCCAAAGACAACTGACCACAGAGAGCGCCCTGGGGACTACAGCACCGACTGGTCCCCGCCCTCCCTGTTAGGAAGGGCAGCACTCTCCCAGGCATACTTCCTGAGCAAGAGCCTCCCAACACTCAGCCCCTTGCCAAGGTGGGGAGGCATAAGGATCAAGCCCTTACACTGTCACTTCCCTCCCTGCCTCTGTCTCCTGACCCCCTGCTAGGAAGGCAGAGCCACACTTATGCCCAGGCAAGAGGCACCCTGCCTTCTAGAAGGCCCTGCTCTGGTGCTCCCCTCCCCACAAGATGGAGAGGCCATACAGCAAAGGGGACAGGTCCATCTGTCTATGGTCCCCCTGCTAGACCCTCTTCTGAATGCCCGGGACCCTGAAATTCCCTGGACATGTGGCCAGACACACACACACACACTCCATCATTGGCCCCCATTGGCAGCAAGCCTGCCTCTCTGCTGAGGTAGCAGGGCTCACTACACAGTCCAGCTGAGCCATTCAGGTGCCTCATCCCACCAAGGCAGCCCTCTTCCTTCCTTGCTAGGATGACACTGGCTAATGTGCAGACTCTTGGCCCAAAGGGTGACCCACAGGTGGCTATTTGTTGACACCCGAATGAGCTCTGGGCTGAGCCATCACGAGGGCCCTGGCTGTGTGGGATGGAGCCCGCCAGGCTGGGGGTCAGGGGGGTTTCCCTGAACCTGCACATCTGAGGGTAGCAGAGGCCCTCCTCACCTGGCCCAAGAGTGTCCACAGCGCCCTCCTTGGGACAGGCCCAGCCGATCCCAGCCTCACTCGTGCTTCTGTGGCCCCTCCTCTCCCCAGACCGGACCTGGACCTACTCCTTCTCAGGTGCCATCCTCTTCTCCATGGGCTTCCTCGTTGCCGTGCTCTGCTACCTCAGTTACAGATACATCACCAAGCCGCCTGCGCCTCCCAACTCCCTGGTAAGTCATCCCACCCAGGCAGGGTCCCAGAGCTCCAGAGGACCTGGGACCCCTGCTTCTCCCTAAAGTACAGGGATATATGCACAAAGCAGATTGGGCCCTACTTTGTCCCCAGCCTGCTCACAGCGCAGCCTGACATTGACAAAGTCGGACCTAGCAGGGCCTGGAACATATGAAGAGGGGTAGGTGATCAGGTGTGGTGGAATGGGAAGCCTGTGTGACTGTGAGGACTATTGAACTCATGCCTGTTGAATGGGTTGCCACATGGGATCACAAGCCAGGATTACCCCAGCCTCACATTTTTTCAAGAGCAGTCAGAATTTCAGATTGTAATGTGAAATCTCCCAATTTTCAAATATTGGCAACTCATTTTAAAACTGCAAAGTCCTCAGGAGGTGGAGGTTTAACCACAGTACAGGGCCAGCCCAGGTAAAAAGTTAGCAAGACCCCATCTCAAAAAATAAGTCAGGCATCGTGGTGCACACCTGTCATCCCAGCTGTACAGAAGGCGTATAGGCTAATTGCTATCTGAGGCCAGCCCTGGCAAAAATGCAAGACTGTATCCAAAAAAGGGCTAGAGCTCTGAGGGCCCTTTGTTCTATGTCAAAGTCCGGATGAGTCACTGGGAGCACGGGGTGATGGGGCAGGGGAGAGCGACATCTGGAAAGGACCTCTCCTCCTCCCCATGGGGGAGCTTGCCCACCTGTGTCACCGTCAGAGCATGCCCTAAGGGCTGGACTGTTCCCACAGAATGTCCAGCGAGTCCTGACCTTCCAGCCTCTGCGCTTCATCCAGGAGCACGTGCTGACCCCTGTGTTTGACCTCAGTGGCCCCAGCAGCCTGGCCCAGCCTGTCCAGTACTCCCAGGTCATGGTCTCCAGGCCCAGGGAGCCCCCGGGAGCCACACAGCTGCACAGCCTGCCTGAGATCACGTACCTGGGACAGCCAGATGTCTCCGTCCTTCGGCCCTCCACCCTGCCACCTCGCCAGACACTCCCTCCGCCTGCATATGCCCCAAATGGTACCCCTGAAGTCACGCCCCTATCCTATGCCCCTCAGGTCGTACCTGAAACTAAAGCCCCATTCTACACCCCACAGCCGGTCTGTAAGGCCCAGCCTCCCTCCTATGCCCCCCAGACCACTCTGGACAGCTGGCCTGCTTCCTATGGGGTGTGCATGGATGGTTCTGGCAAAGACTCCCCCTCTGGGACTCCCAAACAGCTCAGACTGAAAGGTCAGCTCCAAAAAGAGGCACCAGCTGGCTGCTGCCTCCCAGGTGACTTTTCTCTACAGGAAGTGACTTCATTGGCCATGGGGGAACCTCAAGAAGCAAAATTACTCCCCCAGCCTCTGGAGGTTTGCATGGACAGAGCACCTGACCTGGATGTGCTATGCAGTGGGGACCTAGGGACACCACAGTACCTAAAGGGTCCACTCTCCCTCCTCTCCTCTGTCCAGATTGAGGGCCACCCGGTCTCCCTCCCTTTGCACTCTCCTTCCCTTTTGTGTTCCCCCTCAGACCAGGAGCCAAGTCCCTGGGGCCTGCTGGACTCCCTTGTGTGTTCCAAGGACGAAGGTCCAGTGGCTGAGGCTGAGGCCAAGTGCCCTGGGGCCTCAGAGCTGGAGCAGCCCATGGAGCTGGACTCACTTTTCAAAGGCCTGGCCTTGACAGTACAATGGGAATCCTGAGAGGAGAATGGGGGCAGGCCTGGGCTTCCTCTGGGCCCACCCGGTATCATCTCCTTGGCCACCAACCCCATGCCCAATCATGGCACATACACTGCAACCCAGCCCAGATGGGCACCCAGCAGAAAGCCAGAGGAAGGAAGATGCAGGGTCCTGCCAGGGATGAAGGAGCAAAAAGTGGATGGAGGACTCCAGTGGAGGAGCTATGAGTGTGCAGCATGTGCAAATGGCCTGTGCCACAGAGCCTGGCAGGTGGGGCAGACAGAGAGCAGGGAGGAACGCAGGGAACCCTCCTGGAGACCCAGGACCTCACATCCTAGGATGCTGGGCTCAAGGCTCATGTGAAACCTGCCTTCCTTCACCCTATTCCTGGCCAGTGTTACAATCTAGCCTAACCAAGAATGAGACATCTGCCTCCTCCAGAAGAAGGAGCCTGGACTGGTGGGTGGGACAGAACCAGGCCAACCTGTACTTTTGCCAAGGCCAAAGGCAGAGCAATGGCTGAACTGTAAGGAGCAGTGCAGCCTGGGGCTCACCCTCTATCAGGGCTTCTCTCCTGTGCAAGAGGCTTTGTCCCCACAACCCACAGATGCCTGTCCACCAGGGTGGGAGCCACACAAACCTATTCTGAAAGCAGGACAGGAGTTTCAGACCCTAACCAGAAGAGGGATTTGAAAGGAGCGCCAGGGCCATGGGCCCCAAAGGGAGGAAGTTCTTACTTCAGAACTCTGGAACAACCTTGATTGGGTTCATCCCATCTGGGTTCAAATTCCAGCCTCACAACTTATCAGTTGTGCGACTTCAAGCAAGTGAGTCACTGCTCAGAGTCTCATTTGTGAGACAGGGGTAGTCATACTTACCTCACAGGACATGGGGAGGATTAACGTGTTATCTGCAAAGTACTTATGGTGGGCAGGACCCAATAAATGGTAGCTGTTTTCCTTTTGGGATTTTTTAAGCTCTGATGGCACAAGGAGTGACTCCTTCTGGCTTCTGACTCATTGGAATTTTCTCACAGTGTCAAATGGCCCAGGTTTTCCAGGAGGCTCCAGGCTGAGCCTGGGGACTAGACTGTCTCCCAAGGACTCAGGGAGGGACCGTAGTAGGGTCTTCTGGAAATGACCCAGAGACAGTGATGTGACCCTCCTCCCTAAGGTGGCAATCAGGAGCTGTTTTGGCAGGGCGTCATTTTCTGGGCGCCCCAGACCTCTGTCCTGGGCCTCTGACACCACCACAGGTGGCATAGCACCTACATCCGGAAGGGAAAGTACCTTGGGCTCCCCTGTCAGAAAACTGCCACACCCTGTATGACAGTCTCATCTCACAGTGCCCTGAAAAGGAGGAAATGGAGGCCCTGAGAGGGGAAGGGACTCGCCAAGGCCTCACTGTAGAGCCTGTGACAGAGGTGGCTCTCAAACACAGGGCTTTTGGTTCTCAGCAAGAGGAGGAGCTCTGCACATCTGTTGAGAGTCTTGGAGTGTGACTGGAAGACATTAGGAGGGGACAACTCCTAACAGGCCCCTGAGAGACAGGTGCTCTCCTGGCCACCCTCTTGCCCCAAATTTCTGAGACACAGGATCATATTCTAGTTGCTTCTGTGTGACCCTTCCTAGTGCACGCACTAGTCCTTTCTCTATACCCAGCTGTCTCCCTTCTCTTCCCTGCCCTGTCCCCTTCCTCCACCTGGGTGACAGGTGTTAAGGTTTTATCTATAATTAATATTTAACATTTCTTCAGGGTCACTCACCCAGACTCTCTGGGGAGGGGGGGTCCGCAGCCCTGAGCACCCCGGCCCCTGCATTGCAAACAAGTCTACTTCCTGCACCTCGGGGCACCCTTGGCCAAAGGTTAACTGCCCCACTTTACTTATTAGTGAAGAACAACTGATAACAACAGCCAGCTAGATTGTTCTTGCCAGGCCTGTGGGAACATGGACTGCAGAGGTGGCTTTATTCAGGGCAGTAAACATCTCTTCCAACTTATGAGGTGAAAAAACAATCCTTGGAGACAGGAGTTTGAGTGTCTGAGGTCAGATGTGATGGCTCTGAGCCTGGGGCCCTCTTCATACTGGCCCTGTCCCCTCCAAGGGTGAGTACCAGGCTCCATACCCCCTGAAGTCTTCATCTCCCCCCACCCCAGGCAGCCTAGGCCTGTAAACAAGCAGGATCCAGCTAGAGGGCAGGTGTCCAAGTCCCTCAAGAGCTGGCTAGGAGCCTTGGAATTCCTGACCCCATTACCAGGAAGATCTCCAGCCCTACTCCACCTCACCCCACCCAGAGAAAGGTGAGTCTCCAAGGTGTCACCTGTCTACATGGAGGTGTGGCAGGACCAAGGCTGGGAGTAAATGAATACAATACAGGGTCCCCTTATTCTTGGGAGAAACATGACAAGACCCCTAGTGCATGCCTAAATCCACAGGTATGCAAAACCCTACAGATATCATGATTTTTCCTATACATACATGCTTATGCTAAGATTTAATTATAAATTAGGCACAGGAAAGCCAGGTGTGTTGGTGCATGCCTGTAATCCCAGCTACTCTGGAGGTAGAAGCAGGAGGATCATGAGTTTGAGGCCAAACTGGGCAAAGTTAGTGAGATCCTATCTCAAAAACAAAAATATAAGCAAAAGGGCAGGGGGCATGGCACAAGTAGTAGAGTGCTTGCCTAGCATACACAAGGCCCTGGGTTCAATCCACAGTAACGTAAAACAAATGGATAAATAAGGCACACGAGGAGACTAACAATTACTAATACTAAAATAGAATGGTTACTGAATTAAGTAAAATGAGAATTGCTTGAACACAAGCACTGAGATAATCATGATAGTCAATTTGATAACCCACAGCTACTTGGTGAGTAATGGGAGGGTAGTGTATAGAGCATGGAGACGCTGGACAGTGTGATGACTCATGTCTGGAACTGGATGGCGAAAGATGGCATGAGATTTTATCACACTGCTGAGAGCAGCACGCAACTTAAAACTTATGAAATGTTTGTTACTGGAAAACTCCACTTAATAGTTTTGGAGCCATGAATGGAGGGGGAGCGGTACTACGGCAACAGCCACCGTGGTACTAAGGCAAGCTAGAATTAGGGAAAGTTTGGGACTCATATAAAAATACTACATTTCAGATTGACCACGCTCTGGCTCAGGGACCGCCCTCACCTGGCCCAGGAACTGCCCATGCCACTCCCCACTCATTGATAATCGGATGGAAATCACCCTGCCCGTGGGTTTTAAAAGCACCTGGAAAGGAGAAGTTCCAGATTCCACTTGTGCCTACCATGCTGCCTTTGCATTCCCCTTCTCTAACTTTTAATACTCTCCATTTACACCCATGTGTCCTGCGATGGATTCTTCCCACGGGGCACAAAGAATTTGGAAGTCTTCTGATCACAGACTGCACCGTCAGCCAACAGCAGTACTAGTAAGAAAGAGGAGGAGCCCAGTCATATCACTTGGCAGCTCAGGCCTGATCACTCACCTTCCTGTTACCCTTCCTTCCGTGATAAGTCACAGTATTGATATTTTTCAAAGTAGGAAAATGGATTTTGGAGAAGTGATTTACCCTTGTCATGAAACTTGTCCCATCATGAAAATCCCCTGGGGAACTTCCTGAAACTATACCTTCCTCCCCTCGCCCCGCCAGTCCTGCTAGATCCAAAACTCCTGGAGAGTCCAGGTTAACACACTCCTCTAACGAACAGTGTCCTCATACCAGGTGTCTCTGTTTGTGCCTCAGCTCACGTTTCTAGCATCACCCTATGGATGGCGAGGCTGGGATGCCTGGGACCCCTGACCTCCCAAAGCCCTGGCTTCAGGAACACAGAGGGTTGGGATTTAAGCCATGGTTTTGTAACTCCAAGTCGTCTCACCTCTGCTCGGCCCCATGACCAAGGATTGGCTGTACTGAGAGTTCCCAGTGATGAGTGGCCTCACCATTGATGTGGTCAGCCGAGGGACTCAGGGAAGCCCCATGTCCAGGAGGGTGGGGTGAGAGGAAGCCCTTGGCATTCCCAGAGTTGAAAAATGACTGATAGAGCCCTCGTCTAGCAAACATTTTCTTTTTTTATTTTTGATGGTACTGGGGTTTGAACTCAGGGCCTCATGCAAGCACTCTACCACTTGAGTCATACTTCCAGCCCTTTTAGCTTTTAGTTTGCTTTTCAGGTAGGGTCTTTCATTTTTCTTTGGGCCAGCCTTGGGCAGAGAACCTCCTACTTCTGCCTCCCAAGTAACTGAGTTTATAGGCGAGCACCACCATGCCTGGCCTGAGAGGCTGCATGTTTCTTTGTTGGGTCTTGTCAATCAGATTGTGAGGCAGTAAAGATACTCAAACCAGAGTGGTTAAGTGACATACAGCTAGGAAATGGTGGCACAGGTCGGGAGTCCGGGATAGTCAGACTTGAGGGTGCCCCTGACTCTGGCGTGCCCCTTGGGCTGCCTTGGAGGGGAGGATTATAGGACCTATTTAAATGGCTGCGTGTGACTGGAGTGCCCCTTTGCCCCTTTGCTGTGTGCACAGGTTCACACTCAGTCCTGACAGCAAGTATGTGAGTCCTGGGAATTCCTTCCTGCACGGGGCAGGGAGCGGGCGGAACACGCTGAGCCTTCTGCCCTAAGGTATAATCACTGTGGCTGGGGGAGGAGACGAATCCTGGAGCTTGGGAAGGGCTTTGCACATAGGGCAGGAGCTCATTGACGCTCACTTCCCCTCTCCAGCAAGTAGTCCCCAAGGCACTAGGAAGAGCAACACCCAGAAGGGTGCCACCTATGGTCAGCCAACAAAGCAGCTATGCTCTCTGGACTGGAGTTGACACAGCCTGACACAGACCCACTCGCGCTCTGAGATGAAGACCAGTATACCTTCCCAATGGCGCCCCCACTCCTCTCCCCCTCCCCAACACACATGACTGGGGGTTATGCCAGTAACTCCTGGAAAAAGCCAAGTATCCCAGCTCAGCCAGCAATGTCACCCTCCCTCCACCATCTCCCTGAAGTCCGGGTGCCTGGGCCACTGTCTCTTTTCAGAAGGGGAAGCAAATCAGGGAAGCTGAGTGCCTACCCAGGGGCATCTAGCAGCTGGAGGGAGACTTCAGATCAGAACTCAGATCAGAACAGCACGCAGCTGGGAGAACCAGAGCGTTGCTCTCCCGCTGGAACAGGGGCTGGAGTCAGTGGAAAGAGTAGAGCTGGGGGAGGAGCCGCACGTGGGGGCCGCTCCACCTGTCACCGCTGCCCAGCAGGCTGGAAGGACAGACAGCCCCCCCTCGGCCCCCACCCCTGCCATAGTTACCGTCCATTGTCACCACACTGTCTCAGCGCTGCTATATTTAAGACGGTGCAGGCTCCAGGATCACGTTCTTCCCTGTGCTCACTGGGCCAAGGGCACACAAAGACCCAGGACCCTCTCGCGCTAGGATCTTCTCCCCAGAGACACCTGAGTGAATACAGCTGCTTCTGTGAGTTGCCTCTAGGGATCGGCGGGGGGGTGGCCCCCCAGAAAGGGAGACCTCAGCTTCCCATTGGGGCGGAATTTCTGTGTGTCTGTGTGTCTATGTGGTAGGGAAGGGACCGAGGAGATTCAATGCTTAGGTGGCATCCCATGTGAAAATGGGAGGGGATCCCAGAGCCCCTCTTCTGTACAGACTTGTGTCTTCTGAAATGATCCTCCATGATATGAAAGCAAAAAAAAAGAAAAACCACAAAACGCCTTGGGAATGTCCTAGAACCGGGAGTCTCTGTCACCACAGAGCAATCATCAGACCATCAGCAGGGACCAGGGTGAGCTGGCAAGTCCAGCAAAATTGGGGCGTGCTAGCTGAGCTCTGCTTGGCCAACCCCACAGGCAGGGAAAACAAGCCCTGGCATGCTGAATCCCAGAGCTGGAGGATTTCATCCAGCACAGCAGGAAACTGAGGCTCAGCTGGGAAAGCAGTTGCCTCCGCTTACCAGGGCCAGGTCATTCTAGCCCCTCAGGAGTCCAGGAGCTACTTGTGTCCCCAGCCTGTACAGACCAACTGGGCAGGAAGTGTTTCTGGTCTGACCACCCAGCACAGCTCCTCTGCCATCAGCTCTTGACGGGCCTGGGCCATCAGTCTCCCAGTCCTGAGGAAGGGGAGAGGCCTCCTAGAGGGGTCTGAGCAAAGCCGGGACGCTGATGCCTCCCTGGCAGGCCCACATGGCACTCTGGTCCTGCTGGAAAAGGGCAAGCAGAGGCAGTACACTTGTCCCCACTTAATCCCGCGCATCAGTCAGTGCTTTAAAAAGCATCGTGCTCACCCGCTAAAGCAGGGGTCTGGTTGCTGCAGGCCCCAGAGGTCAGGGATGAATGCCAGGCAGCCCTGCTGTGCTAATGGGACAGAGCATCTAGGGGCAGGGAGCCAGCACTGATGCCAGCCAATGTCAACCTGTGCTGCTGGGGCCTCGGTCATGGTGCCCAGTAAAGCAGGAGCCTCACTCCACACAGGGAGTGAGGAGCAGAGGATGGATGAGTGGGGCTGACTGTCTCTTGAGGTGCAGAGAGAGCCTCTTCCATTGGGAGGAGGCAGAACCGAAGTCAAAGGGGGTGGCCATTGGTTAGTTCTGCTAGAGTCTCAGCTGGAGCCAAGGGAACTCCAGGGTCAGCTCTTGGTCACGGCTGACTCTGACATTCCTGATGTAGACACCCAAAAGGAGCAAACTTAGAAGCTGGAAGGAGCCCATGCCCAAAAGATTGACCCATTGCAGCCTGAGCCCCTGACACTCTACCACAGGCCCCTTCCAGGACAAGGGGTATCTGAGAAGGCCAGAGGGCTCACACCTACATCATGAGCGTACAGACAGGGCCCCCAGGTCCAGACCCCCATCAGAAGACAATCTACACACACGCACACACACGCACGTAGGCACACACCACCGCCACCATCCTCACACCCCTCTGGAGAAGCTGAGGTGGCCCCTCTCCCTTCTGTTCCATCCCAAGTCCAGGTAAGATCTTTCCGGGTCAGAGGCCTGCTGGCCATATCCCCAGCTACAGTATGTTTAAAAGTCACTCCAGGGAGTGTCCTGGAATGCCAGTTATCCTGTAGTCTTGGCATTAGAGGGTCCCCAGAGACACAGCATCGACACTGAGGCCCAGGTATGGGAAAGAACTTAGCACAAAACCTAGAAGCCAATGAGCCAGCAGCCTCCTATGCACCCCACTTGCCTCTATAGCCATGCACTCGCTCCCTCCCCTGTCAATGTGATCCAACCCTACTAGACACCATCTGGGACCCAGGCCTGAGCCTCAGAAATACAAAAGAGCTGTGTTGTGCTCCCCCGAGGAGAAGAAAGGCCATGTGGCCCTCTGGGTTCCCAGACATGTGACCTAGAAGCCAAAAGGGCTGGGAGCTGGGCATAACCGAGAGCCGGTTATGGCCTTACCACCAATCAGCCCTCTGCTCCCCCTCCTCATCAGTGCAATGAGGTAATGACAGCGCCCTCACCATTTGTGTCATTGTAAGGATGGGGGCATTCTTACATGTAAGAACTCCTAACCCAGGTCTGGCACACAGTCAGCTAATTTCCTTACAATCTTGTGGAAGAGTCACATATTTGGTCGGACACAGTGGTGCACACCTATAATCCCAGGTACTTGGGAGAGGGAGGCAGTAGGATTGAGAGTTTGAGGCCAGCCTACGCAAAATTAGTGAAACACTAATCTCTAAAATAAAATAAAAACAAAAGTGCTGGGAATGTGGTTCCAGTGGAAGAACACTTGCCTGGCATGCATGAAGCCCTGGGTTCGATTCCCAGCATAGGAAAAAATGTTTCATATTTGATATGCATAGATAGGAAATAACTAAATAATAAGGAGAAGCATTTTCTGAGTTGTGCAGTGCAGATAAGAAGCATGAAAGGGGTTTGAGGAGAGAACGTTCTAGGGATGCTTTCCAGCCTGGTTTCTTAGTAAAACAATGCTGGTGTCTGACTTTTGTGCAACGCTTAGTAAGCACCAGACACTCACCTACATTTTATGGCCACCCTGGGAGGATGGCAGACCCATTCTACAGATGAGGAAACCAAGTTGTAGAGTCCAGGGTAAGCTAGATGAGGATGGAGAATCATAGGTCACACCCAGCAGGCTGACCCCAGAGTCTCCACACTCAACCCTGCTGCTGCTGGGGCTTGGGAAATGGCTGGAAAGCAGCAGGCAGGAGGAGGGAAGGGCTGACGGAGGGAGAAACTCAGGGTGTAAAGGTTGGGAGGCATACACAGGAGAGAGGACACCTGGCCATTCTGAGTTCTAGATCCAGCTGGGACAGCACTGCTCAGTTCCTCCTGGTCTTGGAAACTGAGGCCCAGAGATGGGACCATCATGCCCCAGACAGCACAGTGAGGCAGGGCAGGCCGCAGCCAGCACCTACTCCCCAATGGGGGCTCTGCTCACTCAGGCTGGAGCACACAGCGTGCTGGAAAAGCCAGCTGCCTGTCACCATGGGCAGGTCCTCTCCCTTGCAGCCTCGGTTTCCATCTGCCGGCTAGAAAGACCCCCTCACCCCGAAAGTCTCCCACAGACGTGGGGAGGAGCAGGTAAGAGGGGACAGTAGACACCTACTGGGTTGACCTTGCACCTTGGCCTTGGCAGATTGTCACTGTCACAGCCATGACTCTGCCCCATGGCCCCAGCGGCGTGGGGGAGCCCCGGCAGCCCCAGGTCATGCAGGTCCACAAGTTGGAACATCGGCAGGAGGAGGAGCAGAAGGAGGAGAGACAGCAGAGCCTGCACATGGGCTCCTCGGTGCGGAGGCATACCTTCCGCAGCAGGTGGGAGCACCAGGGTCCCCCCTGGCATGGCCCCACCCCAGAGCCCCAGCGGGAGAGGGGAGGAACAGCCCAGCCTCCCAGACACCCTGTCTGAGGAAGGAGACTCCGCCTGCTTTCTAAGACCCCTGGCTGAGGAGGGAGGCTCAGCTCTGCCTGCTGGCACCCGAGGAGGAGCCCCCAGCTGGATGCCCAGTCAACCCCGTGGGAGCTGTGACCTCCCCTTGTCCTGGAACAGGGAGGAAGAGCACCAGTTCAGTGCCGCCGACTACGCCCTGGCCGCAGCCCTGGTCCTCACAGCCACCTCAGAGGTGTCCAGGTAAGTCACATGGCCATCTCAGGAGCCCTAACTAGAGAGGGGCCATCGGGTCCTGGCCCCTAACTTCAACTTGGCCCTCACCAGAGCTGAAGAATCTGCTGAAAGTCACGCATGAAGGAAGGGGGCCAGGCAAGAGTTTAAGCCCAGAACTGTGTCCCCCCAAAACCTACACACTACTTTCTGAAAGGGTCCCCAAGGGGTCCAACCCCAGCATCAAAGAGCTGGGAGTGGGAGAGAAGGAGCCGTGAAGCAGCCCCAAGTGTCACACAGTCATCCGGAGACACAGAAGTCCTCTGAGTGGGGTCCTGAGAGGCTGTGGCTGGCTGTGGGCAGGACCCTGGGCTGGGGGGCCTGGGTCATGGTCCTGCTGACTTGAAGCAAGTCACTAAGCCTCAGTTTCCTGCCCTGTAAAATGGGAGGCAAACACCAGTCCACTTGACTGTAGGCAAAAACGGGCCAACAAAGGTTTGAGGAGGAGCCTTGCAAACTCTACTGACAGCTGAGTATGTATTAAGCACCAGCTGTATGCAGAGCGCATTTAGGGTGTTTGGAGGCTAGAGAGGACACAAAACAATGTCCTCAGAAAGCACCAAGTGTCGCTGGCCCTGTTGGGCATGGGAACAGAACTAGCCCCATCTGAGCCCCCACGGCTTCTGTTGTGGCAGGGAAGCTCAGCTGAGGCGCCAGACCTCCACTGTGGAGCTGGAGGAGCGTGGGCAGAAGCGGGTGGGCTTTGGCAATGACCGGGAGAGGATGGAGGTGGCCTTCCTGCGGACCCAGAGGCTGCTGCGCCAGAGACGCAACTGGAAGGCGATGCGACAGCGGGTGAGAGTGGCTGGGGACCCTGGGCCTTGGACCTGTCACCCATCACATGCCCCATCCTCACCCTTGCCTCTGGGAGTCCAAGAAAAGGACCCCACCTTCCAGCTGCGTGACCTGGGGCAGGTGACTCACTATTATCTGTAACTCAGACATGGTTGTCACAGCTCTCAGGTGAGCAATTAAGTGGGCTTGGGTTTATAGAGTGACTTTCTAATGTCTACAGCACAGAAGACCCACAGGAAATGCTTTTCCTGACAACCCCACACGCTTCCGTGCTCCATATAAATATTTCCCACAAACTGACTCATTAATCCTCACCACAACCCCACAGGGGAGAACCAATATTACCATCATATCTATTTTACATATAAGATAACTGAGGCCCTGCCTATGGTCCTACAACTAGTAGGTGGCAGAGCCAGGTCTTGACCCTAGGCCAGCTGGTCCCACAGCCCATGTCTTGCCCACTTGGCCGCACTGCCTCTCAACTGGTGGGGATGGGGCTCAGCCCACATGGTGCTGACCCCCAAGTCTGGACCTCAGAGAAGGGCAGCGATTAAAAAGGTGGGGAGAAGCAGCCCCTGGCTCATAGGCTGCTCCCACCTGCAGACGGAGGAGAAGGTCTGGGAGGCCAAGGAGCTGAGGGAGCTGTGTTCTGGCCGGGGCCCCTGGTTCTGGATTCCGCTGCGCTCCCATGCTGTCTGGGAACACACCACGGTCCTGCTGACTTGCACCATCCAGGGCTCGCCGCCACCCCAGGTCACCTGGTAAGGAATGGTCCTCGCCCACCTCCATGCCTGTGAGTTCCTTACAGCACAACCTCCCCCCCTAGGAGTTCTGCCTTAGCAAAGCTACACGCCCACCCCCCAAATAGAACAACAGCTGCTAGGGAGCCTCAGACCCAGGTTATTCTTAGCTGCCTTCCTGCTAGCCTGGGGCTGGAAGACTGGGCCACTGAGGAGCCTGCACTTGTAAAAATATGAATCTGGTGGCAGAAGAAGGCAGCTGCTGCGAGCTGGGCATCTCCAGGGCTGGAGGATGACGGCAGAGGCAGGACTGGGGGCCAGGGAGGGTGGGGCCCTACTGGGACAAGGAAGTAGGCCTGGGGTTCTCGCTACTCAATATGTGATCTCAGGCAAGTGTCATAGGCCTTCTGGTCCTCCTCAGCTTCCTATTCTGTAAAATGGGTTGAAGACCTCCTATCCAGCTTGTGTGGGGGAGGATATAACACCACAACAATGAAAAAAAAGCCTTTAGAACTCAAGAGCTGGGTATGATGGCACCAGCCTGTAATCCCAGCACCAGGAGGCTGAGGCAGGAGGATCAAGAGTTCAAGACAGAGAGAGAGAGAGAGAGAGAGAGAGAGAGAGAGAGGGAGAGAGCTGGAAGAGCAAGCAGCACATTCCTGGGGGGTAACAGCAAAGTCCCAGAGGCTAGGCCTAGCTGGGGGAGGGTGAGGGGGGGATCCCTGAACAGAAGTGGTGTACAGGAGCATGGTCACATTGTTCTCACTGGAGCCACTGTTTACTGACCCACCCCTGGGCTGAAGGCCCATTGCCCAGCACCTTAGGGGATAAGGTATTTATAAAGAGTGTCACTGCCCCAAGCCCTGACTCTGGCACTGGGGACACAGAAATGATAGAGCCTCACCCTCAAGGAATGTTCTGGCCAGAGAGAACTGAGGACACAGAGAAGTGTCTTCATGGTCATATTTTCGATCAACAAGGAGGTGAAGGGAAGGAAGTGTCTGCCCCAGCCAGGAGAATCCAGGAAGGCTTCTCAGAGGAGGTGGCATAGGACCCGGATCTTGAGGGTGAACAGCCCATGATCTAATAGGAGCAAGAAGACAAGTGCACCAGTAGCAGAGAGCACTGAGGGGAAAGATGCATCTTGTACTAGGACCTCTTTGTATTGACCCTGCACTTTTTTCCCATCTGAGCCTCAGGGTCACTCAAGAAGAGACATTCTTACCCACATTTCACAGGTGAAGCTATCAAAGCCCAGAGAGGTAGCATAACTTTTCTGAGGTCACACAGCCAGTGGGATCCAGGATTCAAACTCAGGGCTTCTGCCTCCAAGCCCATCGTTCTTTCCACAGGCCCATAGAGCAGGAGCAAGATCATTCAGCTATTGTTCTTAAAACTCTGAAGTGCTCAGGAGTCAGGACTAGAAAGACTGGGGCTGGGAGGAACCAAGAGCAGCTTCTTAAGGAGTTGGCCCTGGGGCTGCTGTCACCTGCTGGTGCTTATTTACAGAAGCGTACTGGCACCGTGCTAGGCACCGGGGTTCCCGAAGGACCAAGGCAGTCCCTATGTGCAAGTGGCTGATCCCAACTTCCAACAAGAGCCTGGGCTAAACGGGGGTCAGAGCCTCAGCTGTCCTGCTTGCAGCCAAGTCCTGCCCACCCTGGCAGTGAGCTCACATCTAAGGCATCCGTGGAAACCTCTTGGGAGGGGGGCTGGTTTCCACTTCTGCCAACAAGGTCACCACAACAGAGCCAAGCATTCCCTAACGAGGTGGAAGCCAAGGCCTGGCCCTCTGCAGCCCCAGAGATGCGGGAGTCTTTGTGCTAGGGCTCTGGGAACTGCTTTTCTGTCATCCATCCCTAGAGCAGGATCACACATGGTTGTGGGATCAGCTCCAGAGATTCCTTCCAGTAGAGACACAGCCCAGGTCGGGAGGAACAGGCCTGCTTGCCAAGCAAGTCAGCAACTATTGGGCACTTCCTGGATGCAGAGGCCCTGACAGCCTCAAGAACACAGCCTCACTGCAGCTGGGCAAACACTCAGAGCGCTCAGCTGGACTTGCTGACTTGGTGTCCCTGACCAAGGCCAGGCGGGATTTACTCCAGGGAAGGCTTAGAGATGGAGCCCAGCATCTCAGCTCAGGGCTGTCTGTGAACAAAGGCAGGACACTCAGGGAACCCAATCCCCTGAGAGGTCTCAGGGGCCTGGGCCAGGGGGACAGGGGAAAAGGCAAGGAAGAGGAGGGCAAGAGCTGTACGTCAGGCTGGGATCATGCTGAAGGCACCAAACCCAGGAACCCTGGAGGTGGTGGAGAGTGAGGCAGGTGGCAGTACCCACTGTCCTGGCCTGCTTCCAGGATCAGGGACAAAGTGAGGCTTTCATTGCATGCCCAGGGAGGACCCTGGGAAATTGCCCCCAAACAGCCTATTAGAAACCTCAGGCTTCTGGGGCTCTGGCCAACAACAGGTCGGATTAAGGAGGCCCACTCAGGCATGTGCAGCTGCAGAATGGGCCTCGGCCTTCGCAGTGAGCATAACTGAGGCAGTTAGAATCATCTCGGACCAACACCCTTAAAAGCAAAATCTACCATCAAAATATGTGTGGGGGTGTAGATAAATAATTCTAAATTCTCATTTACAAGGCCTCTCTGAGCCTGGCTCTGGGCTGGGCTCTTCACCTCCGTTTTCTCATTGAACGCACTTCTATTATGGGATGCCACTCAGGGTCATCTATACAACCTACACATCCCACGCCTCCACAGGTCTGAGGTGCAGGTAGGAGATGAGGCCAGGAGATGGATGGGATGAAGCTGAGGTTCAGAACCCAAGGCTCTGCATCATGGGAGAAAGACAGAACCTGGCGGGTCTGAGGTGTCTGGAATGTTCCTGACAGGTGTGGGGCGGCGGCTGGGCCTGGGAGGGCTGAGAGATTGAGTGTCCAGATTAGGCACAGTCCTCCCCATGAGAGACTTAGTGGGGCCCTTTTCTAGGAAGGCACAACCTGAGAGCTGTGTGGGTGCGGCTGTTTGGTGGCCATGGAGATAAACAGGACACAGGGGAGTCAGATCCAAGGAAGGCAGCACCCTGGGGCTGGGGCGCCCTCTATGGGCAATGAGGGGCACCCCCGAACCCCAACCTTAACCACCAGCACTGGGCAGAGACATGTTCACCAAGTCATCTCCTGAAACAGTCCATTCAATGACTTCTGGGAGACAGAGGCCCAGAGAGAGCAATTGACCTGCCCAAGGTCACGTGGCAAGAACCCAGGCCTCATCTCTCTGACACTCCCCAGCCTTTGGTCTCCAGACAGCCAGGCAATCCCAGTGTTTAGTCCCCACATGGGGGAAAATGATACCCAGAGTTCACAGAAAACAAAAGGCCGTATCCAGGGCAGGTGATTCACTTGACCCTCAGAGAACTTAAAAAATACTGACATCCATGTCCCACCCCCAGGAATTCCAAGTTCATTAGTTTGGGTGCAGCCTGAACATGGAGTTTTGTTTTGTTTTGTTTTGTTTTGAACAGCTTAAATAAGACAGAAGTTTATTTTCTTCTCATGTAAGTGTGTGGACACAAACAACGCAGGTTGCCTGGTGGCTCTGCCCCTCAGCTTCTTCCAAATCTTGGAGGGAGATTCAAACTGGGCTTTCCCGTAACAGAGAGCCGGGTCTCGGCCTTATTCCTGACACAGGACAGAGGCAAGGCGGTGCAAAGCACAGCAGCAGTCAAATGACACCTGTCCTGCTTGCTGTTGACAATACCCAGCAGAAGGAGGGGCAAGGTCCCCTTGGGTACCAGGACCCAAGGGTAAATTCCTTCAGGATAAGGAGAGATGGCTATCAGATAGCAATTAGCCATTGCAGTCCTGAAAGGCCTCTGTTCCAACATGAGGCAGGCAGGTTTTGTCTGCTTGCTTTGCTGGTTTGTGTGTTTGTTTTTTTGCATTGCTGGTGCTGGGCTCGAACCCAGGACCTCCTGCATACTAGCCAAGCACCCTACCTCTGAGCTGTACTCAGCTCTACATGGAGATTTTTAAAGGCTCCACAGCTACCCTGAGGGGTTGGCAAGGCAGGACCTTCCCTGGTGAGGCCCCTCAGAGAGCAGGGACAGTCCAGGACCTGGTCCCGGGATGCACTCCGTCGGGGCAGCTCTCCTAATGAAGGTTTCCTTTCCTTTGCCTCCAGAAGGGAAATGAGTCTTTGCACATCTACAGTGTACAGGGCCAAGGAAGGCTTTATGTGCCTTATCCCAACTTGCGGTCATAGCAGCTCTGTCAGGCCAGCCCTCTGTGCACCCATCTCACAGATGAGGGTGGCCAAGGCTCACAGCAATGAACATGTCGCCCTGGGTGGCACAGGCGAGTGAGCCTGGTTGGAATCCAGGCCTGAGAGTCCCCACATCCTCCTGCTTGGAACCACACCGCCTGCTACAGCCACTGTGTCTCCACAGGTACAAGAATGATGTGCGGATCGATCCCCGCCTCTTTCCTGCAGGAAAGTACCGAATCACCAACAACTATGGGCTGCTGACACTGGAGATTAGGAGGTGAGGCTGTGAACTCTGCAGACCTGTGACCCCCCAGCCCAGCACCACCAGAGCAGGGCCCTGAACCTTTCCTCATGCTTTTTTTTTTTTTTTGGGTGGGACTGGGATTTGAACTCAGGGCTTTGCACTTGCAAGGCAGGTACTCTACCACTTGAGCCATGCCTCCAGTCTGAACTTTTCCTCAGAGTTGGCTCCCTGAGTTTGCCTCATCTTCAGAAGCTGGTGCTTGTTAAAATACTGATTCCCAGAATGTGTGGATTCCAGTTCAGTAGGTCTGAGGGGGGCCCAGGAATCGATGTGCACACACACGATGCCGATGCTTCGAATTCATGATGAGAAATGTGGACTCGGGGCAACAGGGAGCACTGACTGCTGGGAGGCATGCTGGGGAAACTCCTTGCTGGGGGAGAGAAGACACAGTGATATACACATCCACGTGCACACGCACCCATGCACACGCACACGCACACGCAAGGGGAAGCAGGAGGAGGGGAGTCAGGTCGCTCAGGAGACGCTGAGTCTTAAACAGGATTCTGAAGGAAGAGGCAGGCACATGGAGGAGGCCCCATGAGAACAGGCAAGGGTGATCGTCCCCAGCGTGGATCACTCAGATAAGCCACCCCATGTTCCCGGGGCCAAGCCCTGTGCCAGGTGCTTTACCCGCGAGCCCAGACTCCCCACCCCTGCACACTCACAAGAAAGCACGTTAGAAACAGGCTTGCTCAAGGCCGGGGATGTGGCTCCGTGGTAGAGCATTTGCCTGGCATGGCAGGGCCCTGGGTTTGATCCCTGGCACCACAATAAAAATTAAATGAAACAGTCTCAGGAAAGTTGTGGGCCTGGAACAGCTAGTGCAGGGTGGGGCCTGGGTTTGGCCAGTTCTGTCTTGGGTTTTTCCTCCATCCTCAGAGACACAAAGATGGGCACCGGGACACAAATACCCCGCGACAACAGGGAGGTGCTATAGGCTGCTCAGTCAGAGAAGGCAGGCAGGGCCGCAAGCCTCAAGGGGCTGACAAGAGTGGACCAGGAAGCAAGAGGGATTCCCACCCTGGGTGACCAGGGAAAAGAGGAGACAGCCAGGGGGCTCTTAGCTTGCTGATTCGGCTAGGTGAGCACTTCCTACCACCTACTTTGTTTTGTCACCAAGGTACTCGGGGATGGAGCTAGCCCACACTTCCCCTGGGCACGTGACAGGGTTGGCCTAGCTGGCGATGAGAAGACCCAGGCACATGGCATCAGGCCCAGTTCTGGCACAGACTGGCAACTGGCCCTGGAAAGTCTGTCTGCTGCTCTGTGTGGAAGGAGGAGGCCCTGCTCCAAGAATCTGATGTTCAGCTGTCAACGGGGCAGCAAAAGAGGGCTTGTCACCTTGAAACTGGGTTGAATTCCAGTTGCTGTATGACTCTGGGCAAGTCACTTTACCTCTCTGATCCTCCAGAGTCCATGATAACAATGCAGTAACAATGTAATGTGGCACATGGTATTTTCAAAGCACTTTCCCCTGAACTGGTTTAGGCTGGCGTTATGCCCCTGTTTTTCAGAGGACACTGAAGCATGGAGAAGTACAGTGGCTGAGTCCAAAGACACAGCTTTTCAAAGATAGCACTCAGGGTCTCCCCCTTACCCACGAAGCTTCCTTTCAGCCCAGATATCTTCATGCACAGAGGGGACCTGAGTTTCCCACACAGCCCAGTGGTCTTGTGCGAATGCCTCCATGTCTTTTTCAGATGCACCCTTGAGGACTCAGCCACCTACATGGTGAAGGTAAAGAACGCCTACGGCCAGGCCTCGTCCTTCGCCAAAGTCCTCGTCCGCAGTAAGTCCCACAGTCCCCAACAGACTGGACTGGGCACAGCAAGCCCCGATGAGGATGTGGATCTGTAATCAGGCTCGAGACCCTCTCTCAGAGGTGTTGAGCTGAGATTGGGACCGGGGCAGCCAAACAGACTCTTACTTCCATGGGAGCTTGGGAATGAGTGAGTCCCCTTCCTCAAATTGCTATGGGCACTAGGGCCAGCTTGGTGGGCTGATGGCATAAGACATGGTGAGACCGGAGCTTCACCCCCAGGGGTTGGTGGCAAGAGGAGAGGGAAGGGGATGGTCTTTCCTGAGCTCCTGCTATGCACCAAGTTCATCCACAGTGCCTCACTCCAACCTGAGCTGGGCTTGAACTCACCTGTCTACAGGGTCATCACAGATATGTACCCCTCCTATACCTTTAGGTGAACTGAGTAGACAAATTAGAAGAAGGGGACTTTCCTACAAGTGGACACGGGCCACAAAACAGACGGGAGCCGGGCACCATTGGTTCATGCCTGTAGTCCTAGCTACTCAAGAGGCAGAGATCAGGAGGATCATGGCTCGAAGCCAGCCCAGGCAAATAGTTCTTGAGACTCCATCTCGAAAAATCCCATCACAAAAAAGGACTGGTATAGTGGTTCATCTGCCCAGCTGGTCTCATCCTGGCTCAGCCCAACTGACTGTGTGAGCCTGGGCAGGCCGCACCGTGTCTCTGAGCTGCTGCTTCCTCACCTCTTCAAGAGGGGTCCTGTTACACTCCTCAGATATTCACGCTGATTAAATGAGATGGTGCAGATGAGGCTGGGCAAGCAGCATGCACCTCAGAGAGGTCACCCTTTTCTGTGACCAGAACAAAGTGCTGCTCGGGGGCCCAGGAAATGTGACCTCTCTCTCTTTCTTTCTGTCACACACACACACACACACACACACACATTCCCAAGCCAGCTGTCCTGGGCAGTGGACAGGCTGGGGTCCAGCCCCACCCTCTCCTCCTCCCATGGACCATATTAAACTGTCCTTTCCAGTCCTCACCACCCTCTGTCCTGTTCCCCAAATAGCTCTTGGGAGGCAGCTGTCCCACTGCCAGGCCAGGCTCTCAGTGTGGAAATTTGAGCTGCCGCATAGACTGTGCTCAGAGTCAAGCCTAAGGTCAGACATCAGGCTGCATCTCTCTATCCAGCCAGCCTTCCCCTCCCTTCATCCTGACCCTACCCTTCCTCCGTCAAAGCCAGCAACTAGGCCACTGATCAGCCTCCAGCTGACCCCCTGCTGAGGGTACCCCTCAGTACCACTTCCCTCTCTGCTTCCTCATCTCCATGGTGACTGAAGGAGTCAGTGTGAAAGGCCCTGGGCCAGGAGGCAGGAACCCTGTGTTCTAATGCTGAGATTCCCACTGGCTCCCTGTGCCACCTGGGGTGGCCTCCTGTTCCCTCAGGACCTCGCTCAACAAGAGTCTCTCCAGGGACCAGGGTCTTGTCATAGCTCAGGCTACTAGACTCTGCCTCAGTTTCCTCATCTGTATGAGAGGAAAACATGTCACTGACCAGCAGGGCCACTGTGCACTATCCAAGCTAACATATGGCATATGGTAAGCACTCCGTGTGTGACAGCTGCTCTTACCCCTGTCTGGGAGTCATGTCCATCTCATCCAGAAGCTTCCAGTCACCTCCATGAGCACCAACCCCTCCTGCAATCCCAGGGTCTCTGACTGGCCTCGACCTTTGTGAAGACAGTGTATGATCCTGGCAGCAAGTTGGGACTAAGGAGGGAAACCAGCATTTATTGAGCACCTACTGTGTGTGTCCAACTCTGGCTGAGGGCTTTATCCATGGGAGATCACTCATTTATAATCCACCACTATTAGGTAGAAATCACTTGTCCTCATTTTGCTGATGAAGAAACTGAGACACAGAGGGGTAAAGGAACTTTTCTTAGAGACACAGCAGAAGCCACTTGAAACTACACCCAAGGCCCATGCCCCCCAAATCTAGCAGGAGTGTGGGGTTTGAGCCCTCTCCAACTACATTTGCTTTGGGTTTTCAGCTTACCTGGGGAAGGAGGCTGGCTTTGATTCAGAGATCTTTAAAAGTAAGTGAACTTGGGGGAGGGATGGGACCCGAGGTGGGGGTGGGGCACCTGGGATCCTGTGTAGCAGTCTATGACTTCCCCATAGTCCTTTTCCGAATAGAGCTGTCCACTGCCCACAAAGGGCTGTCCACTTAGGAATGCCATTCACAAACTGCTAACACCTGCAGGCTGACACCAAAATGGCCCTGGTCCTGAGTGTCCTCAAACCAAAGCTGAGCTAGAAAGGCAAAGCTGAAGGACAATGCAGGTGGCCTCTGAATATTGGCCCTGGACAAGGCCCTTCTCCCTCTCAGGATCAGGACCCCCTTTCTTTGTCAATACCCTTTGGGGAATTATGACTCCTACCCCAGAGGAATGGAGACTCCCTAGGAGGGTCCACACTCCTATCTAGGCCCCAGGCCAGGCTGGATCTCAGACGACTCTGTCCCTGCCCCAGGAGCCATGTTTGGTCCCAGTGTGGAATTCACGTCGGTGCTGAAGCCAGTCTTTGCCCGTGAGAAGGAGCCCTTCTCCCTGTCCTGCTTGCTCTCAGAAGACGTGCTAGATCCTGAGCAGAACATCCAGTGGTTCCGAGACGGTGAGGACCCAGTCCCGGTCCCTGACCTTCAGAGGTACCCTACTTTGTAGTTGACTGAGGGCCAGAGAGTTGGGGAGCCAGGAGGCTCCTGGGACCCTCCCACCCCACAGGAGAGACTCAGCTATGCCCCTCCCCCCACCAATGGTGGAGAGGCAGAGGAGGAGCACACCTAAGTGGGGTCACCAGCCATTCACTGGGCTCCAGGGCCAGGGTGGGGGTGGTAGAAAGCAACATGAACTCAGGAAGACGTCCGTCAGAGTGGGGAGGAGGATGTCATCAGCATGATTGTAGCCGCTGCCCACGGAGCGTCTGCTCAGGTGGTCACGGTCAGGCTTAGTGTTCTGCATGCGTCACTACCACTACCCATTGGAGGCAACAGGACCAGCAGCCAAGTCCATGGGACCAGAGGCCAAAGGCCAGGAGGCAGGACAGCTCACAAGTGGTGGAACAGGCTGTGCGGCTTGCACAGGGCTTTTTGGGGTCAGTATGTGGGCAGGCAGGGCACAGGGTTAATACCTACCCAGAGGCCTTTGGGGGTGTCACAGGAAAGGGCTGGAATAGTCTGTTCAGCTAAGGCAGGAAGAGGTGGTCCAGCAAGGGAAGAGAGGGACAGCTGCTCCTGTCCCATACATGACTGGGCCTGCAGCCAAAGGACAAGGAACACAGCTCCCCCAGCCTCCCTCCCCCTGCTTTGAGCCCAGGGTGGTCACACCTGCTAGGGGCAGGCAGAGGCATGGGAGGCCAAAAGGAGCCCTGAGAAACAGCTGCAGGACTGGAGATCCTCAACCTGTAGATCTTCTAGAATAGAGTGCTGACAGGAGGGAGGAGCCTCCATGGGGACAGAGAGAAAGGGCAGACCCAGGGTGATCCAAGGCAAAGCCCAGCCTGAACCCCTCAGTGCCTTTCTGAGTCCTCATCACCTCACTGAGGTCCCACCCAAGGGACCCCAGTCTCTCTGTTAACCCCTCAGCCAGCCCTCCAACATTCTCACTGAGAGACCCTCAACTCTGTTAGCAAGGTGCCACCCCAACAAAACCCACTTCCTTCACTAAACTCCTAACTCCTATCCACCCAGCCCCTAAGCCCCTTCCCTAAGCCCTCCACCTACTATGAACCCCCAGACCCATTCAGGGCACTATCTCTCTTCCTCAATGAACAGGGGATTCCTCACCTCTCCAACCATTTCCCTGAACCCTTGCTCCATCCTTAAGCATTCTGCTCCCAGCTTTCTCTAAGGAGAGTTCAGCTGTCACCTTGGAGAAGCCCAGGAAGTCCCCCCAACCCCAGCCCACCTGAGGTGAGCCAGAGCTGAGCCTCAGATGGTGGCCACACCAGTCCCCTCTGCCTGGCCAGAACCTCCAGAGCCCCCAAGCTTCTACAGGCTCCCAGGTGAGACCAGGAGCTCCCAGGAGCTCACATTGAACTCCCTTTCCTCTTCAGGCCGGCTACTGAGGTCCTCAGCACTTCGGCAGATCCTCTATGCAGACTTCCAGGCGTCCCTGAAGGTGTCCTGTGCCTACAAGGAGGATGAGGGGCTCTACACAGTGCGAGTATCCTCCCCTTTTGGGCCCCAGGAACAGAGCACCTATGTGTTTGTGAGAGGTAAGGGGTACAGTGGGGACAGGGTGGGCTGCTGGACCCAGAGACCAGGGCTCTGCCTTGACTTGCTATGGTCTTGACTAAGTCTCTTGCACTCTCGAGACCTCAGTTCCTCTGCTATAAAATGAGAGTGTGGGATTTCGAGTCTCTTCAAGGATCTCCGTAGCATCCTATGACCCTCCAAAATGACATGGGCCAAGGGGCAGCCTTGGTAGAGACTGGGGAGGGGGAACAACACAGAGTTGGATGCTTCTGGTCACTGGTTGAGTTCTGCCTCCTGGTCTTTGAACCCCATCTGTGTCCAAATCCTGGCCTGGTCCTTTCACTAGCTGGGTGACCTTGGGCACATCTCGCTACCTCTGTGAGACTCAGTTTTCCCATCTACAAAGTGGAGGTTGCCCTGGGGCTCAAAGATGAGTTAAGCTAACTCTTCAGGTGCTTGGTGTAAAAAGGATCCCTAATAATGGAACCACTGCCGCCTCCCCAGATGCTGCTGTTGGGGGTGGAGTGTGAGGCCACTATTCAGACCTTAATCCTCAAAGTCAAAATTGAGGACCATGTGAAAAGGATATTGGGCAGAAGTTACCAAAGGGCCACAGGTTGAGGAAGACTCTCTCACACACGCACGCACACCCTGGGTTTCAGACGCTGCAGCTGAGAAGCCGGGAGCTCCAGGCTCCCCACTCAACGTCCAGTGCCTGGATGTGAATAGGGACTGCCTTGTCCTGACTTGGGTCCCACCCAGCGACAACCGGGGCAGCCCCATCATCGGCTACTCCATCGAGCGGTGAGTCGCGCTCTGAGGGGCAGAGCCCCTTGGGGTAGAATTCTGCCTGGTTGTGAGTATAGGAGGGTCAGCCACAGGGAAAAGGAGGGCCATGACTGGCCTGTGGGATGCTCATCCTGCTTCTCGGAACAGGGCAGGAGGTTGATGGCGTGGTATAATTTAGGGGTATCCATGCCTCCAGATCTGTCACATTGATGCCTGGAATTCTGGCACAAAAACAGTAACAGCCTACAACCCACACACATGTAAACTTGTTGGCTATCCCCCTATGTCAGACCCGGAGGGGGCGGCACACTGAGGGAGAGGAGGACGGGATGAGGACCCCAGCTGGGGAGAAAACCTAACTGGACCAGGCTGGTGACCACTGTGTGTATCGGGGGCTGCACAAAGTCCTCTTCATCTCTCTGAGGGTGATGCTCCATTGTGGAGTGACAGTAATCACACCTGACTCATGGGGCTGTCAGGAGAGAGGGAGCAGGCATGGCCCAGCCCCAGGGACAGCAAGCTCCAAGGGAGGCACTGGCCATTCATGACATGGAAGATGGTGAGCAGGCTTTCACATGGGACAGGAGGGTTTTAATTGGCAGAGAGCCACCGGGCAGCCTGTAATCCAGGTCAGGAGGAATGGCCATGTTAGAGACTCAAACTGGGAAGGTGTGAGGCATGGGCAGAGCTGAAAGCGGAACCTGTCTCCTGCAGGTGCCAGGGTGATTCCGAGGAATGGGTGCCCTGCCATGAAGCCCCTGGGGGGACCTGTCGGTGCCCAATCCAAGGCCTCATTGAAGGCCAGAGCTATCGGTTCAGAGTGAGAGCTATCAACAGGGCAGGCAGCAGCCTCCCCTCCAAGGCCTCAGAAGTGGTTGTCATGGGCGACCATGATGCAGTCCGGAGGAAGACAGGTGAGTACAGAGGCCCCAAAGGGATAACCTAGAGCACCACCAATCAGGGCATAGTCAGCACTACCTCACACAGGAAACAAGTGGCACAGCCCCCATTCTAAGCGGGACATAAGGCCTAGCCCTCAGGAAGCCCTAATGATGAAAGAGTCACAGTTTAATCCTTAGGAACCCCTAGTCTGCTGGAGGAGACACAGTCCTGTCCTTTGGCACCGTCCCCTGATTTGGAAGGCAAAGGTAGTCTAATGGAAGAAACCAGACCTATCCTTAGGCGATACCAGTCAGAGGGAGGACCACAGATGCCCTCAGCCTGATGGAAGAGGCCATCCTGCCCTCAGGGGGGAGTGTGGGAACAGCCCTCTCAGCCCTTAGTAATCACCCTGACTTGGGTGGATCCCCAGCTCTGTCAGGCCCATTAACTCTGTTCTCTCCTCTGTCCCACCTGCCCCAAGAGACAGAGCAGCAGGGCTCCATTTTGACCTCTGAGAAAGCTTGCTCAGAGAGCATGTGCCGGAGACCACACAGTGAGGACACCAGGCCAGGACGAGTTAGGCAGGATACAGAGTGGTGCCAGCCCTGACTGACTCTGTGGTCTGTCCCCCTCCTAGAGATCCCCTTTGACCTGGGCAGCAAGATCACAGTCAGCATGGACGATTTTGAAGGTACATGTGACCATCTCAAACATTGCCTTCCATGACAGCTCCTTTAAAGTCCTGGAACTCTGGGACGTGGGCCTGCAAAGCACAGAAGCATCCGTGTTCAGTGTGCAGGGGGTGAGGGTTCGGGAGGGTCCTGTAAGAGGGGTCTGACTTTGCCCCTCATGGAACAGGTGACCTGTAGGGAAAAGTCTTGGGCTGGTATCGGAGGGACCTAAGCTCTCGCACCAGCTCTGTCTGGCCTTGCTGGGAGACCTGGAGCAAGTCCCTGCATCTCTCTGGGCCCAAGTTCCCTCTCCTGTGGAATGTGAGGCTGAGATTAGGGGTCTCTGAGGACCCACCCATCTATACCCTGGACGACTCTGGTTCCAGATGTTGTGACCATCCCTTCGCCCCCGACCAACGTCCATGCCAGTGAGATCCGAGAGGCCTATGTGGTTCTGAGCTGGGAGGAGCCGAGCCCCAGGGGCAAAGCCCCCTTGACGTATTCCCTGGAGAAGGTATGAGACCCCCCAGGCCAGTCCCAGAGTAGTCTGAGAAACAGACACATTTGTGAGACCCAGGGTGTGGGAATTGCAGGGCACTGAGAAATCCAGACACTACCCTGGGGGCCTCAGAGATCAAAACTGTATTTATTACCTGCCTGGAAGGGCCTGAGCACAGCCACCCCCAGACAGGGGCGGGGGAGGCGTTGAGTTAAAGACAGTTACAAACACGAAAGTCCAAGAAAGAATAAAATTCAAAAGGGAATGGGTGAACTGAGTAAAACCAGGAAATTATCAAGCATGCCAAACTCAGCAAACCGGCCAAACCCAAAGAAGAACAATGGCAAAAGGAAAGAACAAGTGACACCAGAATTAACCTGGAAAAAACTAATATAACTATAGGAAACAGTCAAATTAGAGTAATACCAGCTCTGTAGAATGACTTTGGTAGTATCACTTCTTCACTACCAGGATTTGAACACTACCAAAGTCACTGCGCCAATCTTAACACCCATGCTGTCTCCTACTCTGCCATGAACCCACTCCACACGAGCGCTCCATCTCCATCACGACCCCCTGCCCCACGCTGTCCCAGTGAGGACCTCATTCTAGTGCTGGACATGCCCCACGTCCCTAGCTGGTGGGCACCAGCTTCACTCCCTCCCAATATGGCCTGCCAAGGAGTACTGTATCCAGTGTGTGACCAATGTCATGACCTGAGGTACCCAGGAAACAGCGGGTCTTACTGCACCTCTTAATTCTAAGTAAGTAACAGGGCTGTCAGGACTGAATGTCGCCACAGAAGGCTGTTTAATCCATCCCCCAATGTCCACGCAGCGAGATCCGAGAGGCCTAGTGATTCTGAGCTGGCCGAGTTCGAAGTATTCTCTTAAGCGTCTTCTGCAATCCAGGCTTGGTAGACATGAGTTGATTTAGCTGATTTGAAATTAAGTGATAGTTTTGCTTCACGTTTTACTGACCCAGCTTGTTTGTCTTGCCTCCTCACACCACATGTTCCCAAGACCAAGAACAGCTCTGGCAGGCAGAAGGAACAAAAGAATGAATGTGAATAAATTTTCACAGCCCCTGCCAGGTGGAGTTTATTTTCCCCATCAACAAGGAAACTCAGGTTCAAAGACTTTTTGGTAACCTGCCCAGAAGTCCTTCATGTAATAGCAGGATGATACGGTATTTAATCTCAGGTGTGACTGGCTTTAAACCAGCTCACGTGCCACAGCATCAGAGCCCCGAAGGAGAAAGACATAAAGTAGCAAGGCCTGCTGAGATTTTAGGCATGACCAGAAACAGCTCCCCTGCAGGCGAGTTCTGAGGAAAAACCAAAAGGAAATGAGGGGCCATTCAGGAGATTTCTGGGGGAGGAACATTCCAGGCAGCCCTAACTCTGTGGGATCTGTAAGCGCAAAGGCCCAGAGGTGGGGCCTGGGCCATCAGGAGGCACACACAGGGATATGATGGCGGACAAAGGGGAAGGGACCATGGCCAGATAGGTAGCAGATCATGGGAACACTGAGGGAGATGAGGCCTTGGAAGGGTTCCGAGCTAACGGGCCTGACCTGGCTTGTGCTGTGAAGGATCCCTCTGGTAGTCATTCGCAAAAGACTGGAAAGGGTTAAAGGTAGAACCTGGGAGGCCAGTGAGGAGACAACTCAAGTAATTCAGGTGACACATGATGCTGGCCTACGTCAGGGTTATGGTGACAGTATGAGTTGGTAGGTCATGGTTGGACTCTGGAGATATTTGGAAGGTACAGCCAATTGGATTTGTTGACAGAGCGTATTTGGAGAGGAAGAGCCAAGGATGGCTTCAGGGTTTTGGGGTGCTATAAACTCCATGTGGGCTGCCCAGGTGTGGGGAGTCCCAGAGTTAGGGCTGGGCGTGCTGCAGGTGAAGGGTGCAGCAGGCATCCAGGTGAGAGGTCAAGGAAGCAGATGGACCAGAGCTCAGGTGATCAGGGGTGCCTGGGTTGGGGAGAGATGGTCATGGGAACGCATGGGATAAGGGCTGCACAGCAGTCACTTAACCAAAGCCCGTTGCTCTTGCAGTCAGTCATAGGCAGTGGCACCTGGGAGGCCATCAGCTCAGAAACTCCCGTGAAGTCCCCGAGATTCGCCCTTCTGGACCTGGAGAAAGGGAAGTCGTATGTCTTCAGAGTGCGAGCCATGAACCAGTATGGCATGAGTGATCCCTCAGAGCCCAGCGAGCCCATCGCCCTGAGGGGCAAGCCAGGTGCCTCACAATGCTGTGGTGTGGGTAGGAGGCAGGCCAGGCTGTCGGCACCCAGGGCACAGGACCCACGGCTGTGGGAAAGGAGCCAGGTCCACCTCCCCTCCTGACCCCTCCGCCAGTCGTGAAGTCTCAGGCATGGGAATCCTGACATATGGGGAATCATTTCTCCACGCAGCAGGCTCAGGGAGGCATGCATGTTTTTCCCAGGTCAGCAATTCACAGGTGACATATCCCAATGGTCCAGCACAAAAGCTGAGTGCGAGCAAGTGTCTCTCAGTTCTAAAGGACTCAGACCCCCCCTAAATAAATCAGGAGTGGGCCTTCTAGCAGGCAGGAGGCTTTCCAGGCAGGACACCTTGTTAATTACAGTACCAACACAGGTGCGGTGGCTACAGGTGCCATCTGGGGACGATTTCAAAGTCCTGGATTTGCTCTGCTTCAGCAATTTATATGTGTGTGTATATATACATAAATTATATGTTTATGTATGTGAATACATGTATATACATGGCAGGTGTGAATGGATTGGTGGGTAATTAGAGTTTTTCTTTAATTCTGGTCGGGTTAACACTTGACTTTGATTTGGGGCCTTGCCAGTAAATGATTTGTGGTTGGATGTGAGCAATGTCCAGACCAGCCTCAGGGCAAGGCTCTGGTACAATTCAGAAAAAGGAGAGGAGTGGAGGGAAAAATAAAAAGGCATTTCTTTGTGTTATGAAAGTAGATTTATTGTATGGAAATAAGGGGGGAAACCAGAAAAGGCTAAAGAGGGAAATGAGGAAGAGAGGGAGGGAGAGAAGGAGAAAGACCTCCCCCCCCATACCCATGATTCCTTTCACAGGGATCACACAGTGAGCCAGCTAGATTTGGTGACTTGAGAGAGAGAGAGAGGGTTTGTGTGGATTAATGGACAAAGGCTTTAGTGTGAGGAGGCAGAGCTGCACAGAGGTCAGAGGAAAGAGGACTTTTAGGACAGGGGAGCCTCCAGCATCCTTCTGGACCAGGGCAGACCCAAAGCCCCCAGCAGGTCTAGAATCCACTGTCTCCCCCAACTGTTCCTCATCTCCAGCCGATTCTGATAAGAATCCTAACACAGTGTTGTCTCTCTGGCCACGTTTCTATTTTTCAGCTACTCTCCCTCCTCCGGCTCAAGTTCAAGCTTTCCGAGACACGCAGACCTCTGTGTCCCTGGCCTGGGAGCCTGTGGATGGCGGCACAGAGCTCCTGGGTTATTATATCTACTCCCGGGAGACAGGTTCATCCGAGTGGCAAACAGTGAACAACAAACCCATCCAGGGGACTAAGTAAGTCTGTCTCTACTCAGCCACCAGCCCTGGTGGGGCATCGGTACTAATGAATGAAACCCACCAAGTCACAGGGCGTACCCTGGGCCAGACCCCTTCTAAGTTCTCTCCTTTATCAGGTCCTCCAGCTCTCACTGCCATCCTGAGTTCAGGACAATTATTTCTGTCATCATTTTGCAGATGGCACACCGAGGCAGGGAGAGGTTTAAGTAACTTACCACACTCCCATGACTTCTAATTAGAGGCATTGGGACTTGAACCCAGGTGGTCTCTGTTTTGACAATTGCTGAGGGTACATTGTTTGCAGGAGTCCAGAGATAGAGGTGACCATGGGCCGACAGGAGCCCCTGGCAGAGCAGGATTTGCTATGGGAAAACGCAGATAAGGAAGAAGGGAAAGCAAGGTCCACAATTTGGGTTTTACCAAGAAAGGACAGGATAAGAAAGGTAATTTCAACGGGCTTGGTGGTACCTGCCTATAATCCCAGCTACTTGAGAGACCAAGGCGGAAGGACTGCACATTCAATTAGAAAAGCTAATGGGACCCTGTCTCAAAAAGAAAACACAAACAAAAGGGCTGGGATCATGGTTCAAGTGGCAGTGTGCTTACCTAGCGTGTGTGAGGCCCCCAGGACTACCAAAACTAACGAACTAAATAAATAACAAGACAACTTCCTCTAAGTCAGGGTGTCCTTGTACATGTCTGGACAGTCCCTTTGGGGGAGTCTTTAAAAGAACTTCGTGTTTTTGAATCACAGCGTAAGTGCAGATAATAACAGGCTTCTTTCCCAAGGTCAAGAAAGTCCTGAAGATATGCTGAGTAGTGTTGAGTCAGGGTGGGCTGCCTTGGTCTTAGATTGGCACCTTTTTGGCATAGTTGGACTTTGACAGTGATCTCTAGAACAGCAGACATCCTTTAACACCCTAAGAATGTCCTCCATGTGACATTCCAGGCTTCACTGTGGGACATATTTTTAGGGAAGAACTAGCCCAGAACCCTCCAATCCTATTGCACAAGTTTGCTCTAGAAGGTTTAGAAAGTTGCAGGCCACTGGAACCTCACTAAAAGCCACGTTTCTCTCTCTCAGGTTCACAGTTCCTGGGCTGAGAACAGGAAAGGAGTATGAGTTTTGTGTCCGGTCAGTCAGTGAGGCCGGGGTGGGTGAGAGCTCGGCCCCCACTGAGCCCATCAGAGTCAAACAGGCTCTGGGTGAGTCAAGGGCAGTCCAATTCATGATTTCCCAAAGGCGGTTTGGACTGGGTGGGACCAGGGCTCAGACGCCACATCTTGAAAGGACCAATTCCAGTACCAATGGGATGGAAGCCCTGTGAGGGGAACTGGAGCTGGCCTGACCACCTTTCCCTCTAGGGAGGAAGTAACAATGGCCCGGGACCATGGAAGGCCTGGTTCTGATCAGCACTGGGGGTGGGGAGGACCAGGTGCCCTCCAGAGGGGCAGCTGCTGCTGGCTCAGGCAGGTCCTACAGAGCAACATGGGCACTCACCAGGGATGTCCCCCCTTGGCCCAGTTGCATGGCCAGCCCCATGGAGCAGCTGTGTTCATGTCCTCCCCCTGCCCTGCATAGCCACCCCATCGGCCCCATATGACTTTGCCCTTCTGCACTGCGGGAAAAATGAAATGGTCATTGGGTGGAAGCCTCCCAGGCGTCGCGGAGGTGGCAAAATCCTGGGCTACTTTCTGGACCAGCGTGATTCCGAGGAGCTGGACTGGCACCCGGTCAGCCAGCAGCCTGTCCCAAGTCAGCTCTGCAAGGTGAGGCTGGAGTGTGGCTGAGGGGGGGAGGCAGGAAGAACTGATAGAGGCTCAGGGACTGAGGGAGGCCTTAAGTTCCCTGACGTCCACTGCCCAGCTAAGTTCAAGTGTAGAGTATTTAAACAGCCCTGCTTAAAGCTCCCCCTCTATGGCACTTCCCCTTTGCTTCCCCAGCCCCTGCCTCCTTCACAGCCTGTCCTTTGCCCCCCATCAGGTCAGCAATCTTCATGAAGGCCACTTCTATGAGTTCCGGGCCCGAGCTGTAAACTGGGCAGGGGTCGGTGAGCTGTCGGCACCCAGCAACCTGTTTGAGTGCAAGGAGTGGACGATGCCCCAGCCAGGTGAGGGGCCTGGAGGACTGTCGTCCAGCACCTGCCTCGCTGCCCACGAGGAAGAAACTGCCACACCCCATGAGCAGTCAGGCTTTTTCTGTTGGCCCCAGACCCCAGACCCCGACCCATCCACACACTGGCCTGTAGTCCTTGATGCAGATTGTCCTAGGCCTGACTTGGAGACCCCTGACCAGCCATCACCTGGGCTCCAGCACAAACTGTCCCGCTACTTGACACTCGACCTGAGTTCCAGTTCTGGCCATAGACCCACTGTGACCCCTAAGGCCGCAGTACCCGGGTGACTCTGTCTGCCCAACCCTTTCCCAGTTTACCAAAGTCCCACATCCCAGGAACCCTTGTGGCCCTGGACAATGTGGACTGCTGGCTACCCTGTGCACTGCTCCCAGAAGCTCATTGGCTTTCTCACAAATGAGCTCCTCGAGTCCCCAAAGAGGAACAGTGACAACCCCACCAGCTTGTCCAGCTCCGCTCCATTTTCTTTACTCAGCAGCAAGTAGTGACAATAGGGAAGGCTTCCAACAGCTATGGGCACTACTATTTATTGGATACTTACTATGTGGATACTTCCCATAAATTATCTCGCTATTGCTCCAAACAGCACTGTCATTTGTTCATTTATTTGTTTGTTTGTTTGTTTGTTTAGGCGGTACAGGGGAGTGAACTTGGGGCGTAGGCAAGTGCTCTACCACTTGAGTCACACTCCAGTCCTTGCTTTTAGTTTGTTTATACGATAGGGTCTTGAGCCTTTGCCCAGCCAGCCCTCAGACCATCATCCTCCTACCTCTGCCTCCCGTGTAGCTGGGCTTATAGGAGCACACCACCTCACCCGGCATGCAACATGTCTTACAGCAACTGCCATTATCCCCATTTTGCAGATGAGGAGACGGGAACATGAGTTAAGTGACTCACTCTGAGTCCCCGTTGCTGGCAAGGGTGGAGCTGGGACATGAGCCCTGAAAGTCTGGCTCCAGAGGTCACACCCTGAGCACTTACACTCAACGTAAAAATGGCAAAGACTGGAAAGATGCATGCTGTCTAGGGTGCAATGGGGAAGGTCAGGGAACCTTCCAGGAGTCATGCTAAGCACATTTTGAAGAGCTAACCCTATTTCAGACCCAGGGCCAAGCTTCACCATAAAATCAAGGCTGGCCAGGTCCCCGCCATACCTCGAGGAGGCACTTCTGGACTTGGTGGTGACTGAGAAATTGACCAGCTTGCTGACTGACCACTGGGCTCGCTGCTCCTCTATCCAGCTGTCCACCTTGGCTGGCTCGCTGTTGCCTGGCCACCAAATCCCATGTCTCTGCCCCTTCTCTCACTCCACAGGTCCCCCATATGACGTGCGGGTGTCCGAGGTCCGGGCCACCTCCCTGATGCTGCAGTGGGAGCCCCCGCTGTACATAGGCAGCGGGCCAGTCACAGGCTACCTTGTCAGTTGCCAGGAGGAGGGCTCTGAGGAGTGGAAACCAGTTACCCCAGACACCATCTCTGGCACCCACCTCAGGGTAAGTTCCTGTCCCTTTGCCATTCAACCAGGTGAGTCTTGCCACCACTGTATGTGGCAGAACCATAGGACATCTAAGCCCTCAGAGAACACTTCCCTAACTTAACAGCAGCAGAAGTCCAGAGAGGGAGAGTGAGTTACCAAGTGCCACACAGCAAGGTGGTAGTAGGTCTGGCTGGCTGGTAGCCTTACCCTGCTCTCTGCTAGACAGCCTCGTCCCTAAAAATTCAGCCAGTCATATCAGCATTTAAATACACAATCCCTTGACCCAGAAATTCTCCTTCTAGGATCAAACTGTAGAGACTAATGAGGCACGTGTGTGAAGACCTAAGGACAGTGATGACCACTCTAGCATCATTTATAATGGCAGAATGTGGGAGCAACCTAAGTGAACACTAGGAGGGGATGCTGAAATAAATTGCTGTGTGTCCTTAAAGCGCAATCCTGGGGCGGGGGTTGTATAAAGAATAGGATGGGCTGGAGGTGCGGCTAGGTAAAGAATGAACTAGATTGACACAGACATACACCAATCACATGTGACTAAAAGCAGGGCAGGACCCAGAACAGGCTGCTTACGTGCTCAGAGAGCATGTAACCTATCTACCTGTTATATATTGTCTATATAAGTGAACACATACGCAGATCTGTGTTTCTTCATTTAAATGAGACACTGACTCTAAACTCTGGATAAGTAAGAAATCTGTCAGCATCATTGCTCTCTGTGGCAGTAGCTGTTTAAACTTCCACATACACAGAAGGGAAGGAATGTCAAACACTCCTCTCCCCTCTCCCAGCAACAAAGATTCTCACAGTATTTATGTGTCAGAAAACAAAGGAGTTGCAAGGGTGTGGAGGTGTGGGCATGAGGATCAAGAGTTCAAGGCCAGCCCAGGCTACACAGTGAAACCCTGCCTTAAAAAAACAAAAAGAAAAAAATAGATAAGGAAAGAAAGGGGCCACAGAAGCATTTCTGGCAGACGCAAGTTGATTCTGACAACAGGTCAGAGCTACACACAGGTACTAGCGCTGCTTCCACAGGCACAGTGTCTGCACCCTGAAGCCAGCAGGTCTCAGGCCTCTCTATCTGAGGCCACATCTGTGATTCTGATGGGGTTTCCTTTTAGAGCTTTCTCTGTTGCTTTAAAATCTTCCCTAACAGCAGGTGTTTAATCTTGTATGAATGAAATTAAGACAGGACAGTCAAGCCTGAGCCAATGGGTCCTTAGAGAATCTGCAATTTCAATTCCACAGGGCCGGTCTCCCCACAGTAGTCAGTCAGTGCTGGATGGTGGCCCCAGAAAGCCAGCACAATGGATGGCCTCTCCACCTTCCCTCACTGGCTGGGCCAAGGCAGGACAACCTGGGTGACATGGCACCGGTGTCCTTGTGGGGATGATTGGGCTGCCATGCCCTCAGTTGTTCACTGACCACTTCTTTGGCACCATTTTGTGCCTGGTCTGGATCAGGTCCTAGATGTAAAAAGTTAAACTTGTCACAGTCATCAGTAACGGGCAATGATACTACTGTGTGATAAAAGCTACGATGAGAGAGATCTGAGGAATTCTGAGAGCCAAAGGTGGGAGGTCAGAGCTGCTTCCCAGGACCCTGGCATATGCCCAGGCTGAGTGGTGAGGCCTAAGTTGGAGTCAGATAGACCAAGAAGGAAGGGAGAGTGATCCAGGCAGAGGCCTTACAAGAGCACAGGCACTGGGGCATGAAAGGACATGATGACTGTGGGAACACTGGGGGAGCGGAGTGAAGATGGCCTGTACAGGAGTAAGAGGACAGAAGGTTAAGAAAGACTAGGGAGACTTTGAGTCCTAAACATCAAAATTTGAACTTGACCCTGAAGGCAACTGAAAAATCTACACTTCATCAGATTGGCAGAGGGTAGTCTGGAGAAGGGTCTAGGGACAGAGGTGGCATTTAAGAAAGTGTTGGACTAATCCAGGTGGGGAGACAGAAAGCTTTGATTGATGTGTGGCTGAGACACAGAGGAGGGCCATGTTCAAAAACATTAGGAAAACTAAATGGCAGGACCTGGCAATTGGAAGGGGAGGATGGGAAAAGATGATCCCAGGTCCAGCTCCTGGTCATGGAGGGCGGTAGCTATGGAAGAAGACAGAGACATGGGAAGGGAGAGGATTTCTCGCTGGGAGGAGGATGGGTTAAACTTTGAGCGGGTTCCAGGTGCCAGTACCCGAACGTAAGCCAGACGGAGAGCCCATTAAAAACATGGGACTCAGGAGAGGAATGTGCATCTTGCCTGCTGCTGTCCCAGGGCAACCTGTGCCCTCCCCAGACTCCACCAATGAGTGGCTCCCTGTACCCTGGCTAGGGTTCCAGGAGAAGCACCTTTGCTATCCTCAGGGTTTGCTCTTGCCCCCAGGTGTCTGACTTGCAGCCAGGAAAGAGGTATATGTTCCAAGTACAGGCCATGAATTCAGCTGGGCTGGGACAACCGTCCATGCCCACTGACCCCGTACTCCTGGAGGACAAGCCAGGTAGGGTGGCCGGAGGGTGCCAGGGCTCCACTGCTGGGCTCTGCCCTCGGGGCTGGATGGAGCTTGGGGGTGGGAGGGATGCATGAGGATCATAGCTGAAGGATGGGGTCTGGGGGCTCTTCCCCTCCCACTCCACCTTCCTCCCCTTCCACGCCCCCACTCATGCCTGTGGGGCCCAGATAGGAGTGTGCCTCTTTCTATGCCATTTGCATGAACTCATGCTACTCCTTATGGCTCCATCTCAGACACTACAAGTGACTTCGCCTGGCTTGTGATCACAAGCTCCTGGAGTCCCTCCTGCTATACATGCCAGAGGTTGTCCTAGGTCCTCACACTTTAGAATTAACTTTATTGAAGCTAGCATGTTTATCATAGCTAGCCATATGACAGGCCTGTTCAGCTCTCCTGACCATACAGCATGTTCTCTTTCCATTCTTTTCATTATTCATTCATCCAACAAATGTGTGAAGATGCCTACATTGAACTTGGGGATATAGCTAGTAATGAGGAAGCCAGCTCCTGCTCTCAAGTACAGGGGAGGAGGGTAGTAGGAATGGAAGGTAATTTAAGATAGACTTGAGCACTATAGAGGAAATACATGGCACAATGGGTGTGGTCACTTTAGCCACAGCAATCAGCATGGGCCTCTCAGAGGAAGTGATATTTGAGCTGAAGAGGACCATAACAAGGAGTCTGGGTTTTTTCAGGTGCAATAGTAGCTACTGGGGGGTCCAAACGGGAGGAGGTGTGTGGGCCTGGGATATGAATTATAAACGCCCAGGGCTTCTGCTGGATCTCATCCTCAGGTACCCGGGAGATTGAGGTTGGTGTGGATGAAGAGGGCCGTATTTACTTGGCTTTTGAAGCCCCGGAGGCCCCTGACTCCTCAGAGTTTCAGTGGTCCAAAGACTACAAGGGTCCACCAGACCCCCAGAGGGTGGAGATCGAGAATGAACTAAACAAGTAAGTGAGAGGAGAGGAGAGGAAGGACCAAGGACTGTCGGGTGCTGGCAGAGCTGGTGAGAGACGCCCGGCAGAATCACAGATAGTGGCCTTGCACTCAGGGGTGTGGCTGCCACCTCAGGGAGAAGCCGGGATAGGGAACACTTAAGAGGCAGAAATGGGTACATTCTTTTGAAGATTCTTCAGAACTGTGCATTCCTCTGCCTTGGAGTCTCAAGGAGACCTTTGGGACTTGGTTTTTAGCCTTGGTGCCAGTGACTTACCCTTGCAGTTTCTCTGAACCACCAGGCCCCTGTCAAATGCCCCCGTGTTGTGCCTCCTCTCCCATAAAGACAACACCTTAAGCCCTGGAGGAAGTCGGGGTGGTGTGACAGGTCTGTGCCAACTCTGTGGCCTTTGAAGGCCCCAGCCTAGAAGGGACCCCCGAGGAAGTGTAAAGAGGCATCTGTCCCTGCTTCCTGGTTGGCTGGGGTCTGGGATGGGGCTAAGGCAACCAGAGCCAAGATGCTCCACCAATCACGCCTGCAATGCACAAGGCCACCTTGCCCCTCTCAGAGCATCCTCTCTCCTCTCTTTGCCAGGTCCAAGGTCATCCTGAAAGAACCGGACCTTCAGCATTTGGGCACTTACTCCGTCATAGTCACTGATGCTGACGAAGACATCTCCGCAAGCCACACACTGACAGAGGAAGGTAATGCTGTCGCTCCTGCCTCCTAGCCAGAGAGACAGACTCTGATCCAGAGTCCAGGCACAAATACCCGTAGAGGTTGGCTAGGAGAAGCAGAGAGGAATGAGGCAGCTCTCGCCACCCCATTCACTCAGTCAGCTGATCAATAACTACCCACTAAGCACCAGGCACTGCCCTAAGCCCTGGGGATTACATCAGTGAACCCAACCAGCAAAGGTTCCTGCCTGGCAGAATTCACATTCTTTTTTTCTCTCTTTTGTTTTTAGTATTATTTTGCTTTGAACTTCTATAGCCTAGAAAAAATAAGAATGCAAGGATGATAAGGAATTGTCTTGTTTTGGTTTTCATTTTGGCAACACTGGGGTTTGAACTCAAGGCCTCATGCTTGCTAGGTAGGCATTTTTACTGCCCAACCACTCCTCTAGTCCAGGAAATATCAATTGCCAGTGGCTCTAAGGAATGAGGATGACAAATAGGGCATAGTAAGGACTGTGGCTAACCAGAGAGCGGATGTCACATCTAATGGATCAACCAGTGTTCTTGACAGATGAAGCTCGTACTCTGCTGTCTCCATAGCAACCAGGGCAGCCTATGCCCATTGTCTTCCCTGACCATTGCCCAGCAGCCCCTTTGATTTTGCTAAGAAGCAAAAGCCACAGAGACCCGGGTTCAATTCCAGTTCCTTAATTTGCTGGCTGTGAGGCATTGCCTTTCAACCTGAGTTTCCTCATCTGGACAGGGGAATTAGAATTTGGCTGTCCCATCTGAAACAATGTTCTAACACAGAACAATTAAATGATTCTGTGTGACCTGATGCCACCCATAAAACTGATGGGGTTTGACTGAGTACTTGCCATGAGTCCAGACTCAGCATGCTAAGGATTTAGGTTTGTAAAGCAAAATGAGGCATGGGTTCTGATTCTGCCAGTTCATCCCTGTGATATGTGTTTATTGAGTACTTACTGCATACCAGTCACTCATGTAGGTCCAGAGCTCAGCTTAGCTGGAGAGACAAACCTAGCACAAAAAAGCAGTCAGCATACAAGGCGGAAAAGAAGAGCCTGCAGACTTCCAGACTGAAGTGCTCAGTGCATGGTCCAGACCCTCGGGCACTAGGACAGCATGCTACAGTGGGTTAATAAGGGGCTCAGATGACCTGAGGTGGACGGTGATGCTGAGCTCACAGCAACCTGGAGGACTAGTGGGATCCTGCAGAGCCTGGTACACAGCAGGTGCTCCTCTGGGGAGTTTGATCCAACCTTGAGGAACAGGAAGAACATGTTATCTCGAGGGGGCCAGTGGCAGCCCCAGCTTCTCCCTTGGTCCCGGGACCACAGTGTTCATCATTAGCCCCTATGGAGAATGTGATCCAAGTTGGGTGGTGATGAGGGGGGTCTCTTGGGATGCCACAGTGTGGGACCCTAGGACAGCTCTAGCAGGTGCCTTTGGCCTGGCGTTTCATTTTGTTTTCTTCTTTGCGCCTCCCTGCCCCAGAACTGGCCAAGCTAAAGAAGTTGAGCCACGAGATCAGAAACCCAGGTAAGTAGCCAGGCTGCAGCCTCGTGCATGTGGCCCGTCCACATGAGACAGGCAGAGAGCCAGAAAGTAGCCGGGGCACTGGAGTTTGTGACCAAGGACAAGCACAGCCAGCAGGGGGCCAGGGAGGTGCAAGGGAAGGAAACACCATGACCCCTGATTACTATTACTGTCATTACTGGCTCTTTACTCATCTGGACTTCAGATCATTTAACCTCCCTGATTCTCTCATTGGCTCCTGGTGATGAACCCCCAGGAGCTTTTCAAAGTCCTTGTGCCCAGGCCACACCCCAGACAAATCAGAATCCCTGGGGGTAGAGGGGATCCCAGATCCCAGTGCCTAGCCAGATTGAGAACTACAGCCCTAGAGTCCTTGAAGGAGAAATGCTTTTCTGAGGTTAATTAAAATCGGAGTGAGCATACAGAAAGCTCTCCTCCTTGGGCTGGCAGCGTGGCTCAAACTGTAGAGCACCTGCCTCACTAGCATGAAGCCCAATCCAACCTTCTTCAGGTTCTCCAAGCCTTTCACACATCCAGTGTCAACTGTGGTCCAGCTGGGGCTGGCTGGGAGCGGGGATGGGGATGGAGAGGGTGGCCCACCCAGGCACATCCTTCCTCTCCTGTGCCTCCCAAACAGTGATCAAGCTGATCTCAGGCTGGAACGTGGACATCCTCGAGCAAGGAGAGGTGCGGCTCTGGCTAGAGGTGGAAAAGCTGTCACCGGCAGCAGAGCTGCACCTCATCTTCAACCAGCAGGAAATCTTCAGTTCACCGGTAATTGGTGCTCACTGGCTTGGCTTTCTCTCGGGCTGGCACCTCCCCACCAGTGATGATTGCAGAAATGGCTACGTGCTTTGGCTGGCCCTATGGTGATGTGGGGAAGCTGACACTTGACTTTCAGCACATGGAGTGCATGAGGGGGGTGGCAGGGATACTGGATACTGGCCAATGCAAAGGATATTTCTACAAATGAATTTTCCAAGCCCCCTACAACTTTCTAACAACCTACCAGACATCTGTAAGACGGAAAACCTACATTCGTGCTGACAATTATCCAAGCCTAGACCCTAACTCTGTTTTAGGTATAGAACAGGTTATACAGTGAATAGAGAGTTTTTATTCTGCTGGCCACTTGATTTGTGCTAGCTCACTCATTTTCCTGTACTCCTACTGAATACAGTGCAGTGTGGGTTTTTTTTTTTTTGCTTTTCTTCTTTTAATTCCAACCAACTCATTACAAATCAGTGCAGCATGAAGTTTGTGTGAGTATTTGCCTATTAAAATGAGTACTATTTTCATTTTAATGGTTTTTTTCTTTCTGCGACAGTGAGAGTACTCGTTTTTGTTTTAATTCATAGGTAGATAGGTTGGGTTAGATCAAGTTGTTGATATTCAATTGTTTTTACTTGCAAAAAATGGCAATTTCAGGGCTGGAGGCATGGCACAAGTGGCAGAGTGCCTGCCTACCAGATACAAGGCCCTGGGTTCAAACCCCAGTACTAAAAAGAACACAAAGTTAATTTCAGTCTCATGAAAAATTCAAGTTCAGGATGCACTCCCACATTATTTGTGAACTTAGTCTCCAGATGACAAAGTAGCCATCTGGCGATAACTACTCCATCATCTGGGGTGGAGCTCAGTGGTAGAGTACATGCTTAGTGTGGGCAGGACCCTGGGTTCAGTCTCCAGGGCAGAGGGAGGGAAGGAGGGAGGGAGGGAGGGAGGGAGGAAGCTGCACTACAGGGAAGGGACTGCTGGTTCTGACAGGAGCTCTGAGTAGATGTTAGGAATCCACGCCTACCCTTGGTTTGTCTGGCCTTGGCAGGTCTCCACCTCTGTCTTAGCTCTGTTTTCGCATCTGTACAATGGGATGAGTTTTCCCAGGATCAAGAAGAACAAATGAGAAAGCAGATTTGAAAGCTCTGTGTAAAGATTACATGCTGACCTTGCCACATGTTACCAGAAGTATTGTATTATGAAGTCTTGAGTTACAGTGTCTGGATAGTCACCTGCCTCTACAGAAGAACAAAACAAAACTAGATCACTCCCTTAAGCCATACATATAAATAAGTCCACGGGGAGAGTCTAAGAGTGGGAATTAAAACTTTTAAACTGTTAGAATGTGCAAAAGGAAAATGTGCTAATTCTGTGTTTTTATTATATGCTTTTATGGAGTTTCTTCCTATTAAATTATAAAAGAAGCAGAAAATAATCAGCAACGAGGCACAGTAAGAGGGAAGGGCTTATTATTAAGTGGTAATTAATTGAAGCATGGGGGTGTGCTCAGGCTTGGGTGCTGGGGAGCCCCAGTTTATGTGAGCAGGAAAGGGTTATGCAAGGTCCCCTCCCAGGTTTCTGTATGTTACAGCCACCACCCTAATTCCAACTACACCCTAAGGTGTACCCCACAGCAGTTACCAGAACAAGAAAAATGCAAAGAATCTGGGCGTTTGTTCTCCCCAGAACCGCAAAATCAATTTTGACCGTGAGAAGGGCCTAGTGGAAGTGATCATCCAGCACTTGACCGAGGATGACAAAGGGTCCTACACCGCTCAGCTACAAGATGGAAAAGCTAAAAACCAGATCACCCTGGCCCTGGTGGACGATGGTCAGCCCCGCCTCACCTGCCCACCTGCCCCACCTGCCATCCCCTGGGCTCTCAGCTCCCAGCTCTGGGACCTGCAGAGCACTTGCTAAGTGTGTGTCTCTCTCTCCTATCCACCCTGGTGTGTTCACAGATTTTGACAAACTTCTGAGGAAGGCAGATGCTAAGAGAAAAGACTGGAAGAGAAAGCAGGGTAAGAGTTGCTGAAGTGAAGTCCAAAATCCTCGGCCACTGGTCAGTGCAGAGAAGGCTGGCCTCGGGGTTAATAGGTTCCTTACCCCCAACCCAGGGAGGTCCACCTCAATTTAGTCCAGTCTGTCCCCATGTCAGAACAAAACAGCAGTGGAACAGAGGTGGCCCAAAAGAGAGAGAGTGTCTCCTTAAAGTCTGCACCCCAGTCCCCACCCTGGCAAAGACAGTGTCTTAGGAACCTGTGGTCGTCAACTGCCAATCTGGCCACCAGGTGGCACTGTGGCTGAGCCTGGCGCTCTGACCGGGGCATGTCTGTTTTGTACCTGCAGGTCCCTATTTCCAGGAGCCTTTGCAGTGGAAGGTCACAGAGGATTGCCAAGTGTTGCTGACATGCAAGGCATGTCCCCGCCCTACCCCCAGGCCTGCCTCCAGCACAGTGCAATGGGACCTGTGGCTTGTTCCCAAGCTCAGTGGCTGTCCCTGCTCACTGCATCCCCCAAATTCCTTCCCCTGCACTTGTTCCTGGGAGGTGCACTTAACCCCCAAAACAGGCCACCCTCCCAGAGCCCAGGCATCAGGATTAGTATGCAGTGGATCAGCCTTGAACTAGACCTTCCGCAGCTGTAGGAGGGTCTCATGAGGCCAGAGGGTCCAAGAGCCAGAGAGGGGTCCATACGTTGAGGGACTAATAGTGCTTTGTCAAACCCTGCTTGATACGTCAGTGTTATTTATTTCATCTGCCTCATAGTCATCTGAGATATAGGCACTATCATCCCCACTTAATGATAAGAACACTAGAAATAGCTCGAGACCACATGGTTAGAGGTAAAGCCCAGGTTTGAACCAAGTCCGCCTGACTCCCAAGCGCACATGCCCTGCAGCCCTTTTCAATGACTGGTAAAGGACAGCATGGGTGGTGCCTCCCCAGAGACATACTCAGCAAATAAAAGCATCTGCTATGGGCCAGACACGCCACAAAGTACTGGACTTACAAGGATGAAGGCATGGCCTCCTTAGGCCTGTGGGAGCCCACAGAGGCCAGCAGAAGAGACTCATGGTGTCAGAAAGGGATCCGCTGACCTTGGCCTGAGGGCCAGTGTACGTCTTAGCGGGTAGGACCTGGGGCAGGAAGTTGATTTATAAAAGAACTCTGCAAGCTTTTTTTTACTTAAGAAGAAAAAGCCTGCTGGAGTCCCCTTACACCCCCACCTTCCTCAGGTGACCAATACTAAGAAGGAGACTCGCTTTCAGTGGTTCTTCCGGAAGAGAGAGGCACCAGATGGTCAGTACGACCCGCAGACGGGAGCAGGACTTCTTCACATTGAAGATGTAAGTGTGGCTTAGGCTCCAAGGTACACACCCTCTGTCAGTTGCAAGCCAGGCAGCGCCAAGAGTACTGGGCTGGAGTCCTGAGCAGGATGGGGACTTCAGGGAAGCAAGGGAGGCACTCGCCCCAGGGTCAAAATGTAAGTGACTCCAGAAACTCGATCAAGGTAATAATTTATGCAGTATTTTTAAAAAATCAAAATTAACACCGAAAAATCAATGTCAAAAAAATATCAATAAAGACAGGTCTAGGATTACTGGTTTTTCCCTTTGTTTGGACTCCAGGCCCTGGCCCTGACCCTGACTTCACAGCCTTGGGCTAGTACCAGTCCGTATCTGATCTCGGCTTTCATTTACTCTCTCAGTGATCTTCCCTGCCCCATAGTCTAGGATTGAGGACAGGAAAGATGTCTCTGTGTGAGGCAGCCCAGAGGAGTGAATTGAGGCCCAGGGAGAGAAGAATCTTGCCTGAGGTCACACAGAGTCAAGAACAGGCTGGAGCCCAGGGCTCCTGACCTGCTCCCCATCTCTCCTTCTGGAAACCATGCCAGACACTGCTGTCTCTCATCCTTCTTTCCAGCTGTCCAAAGAGGACCAAGGAACTTACAGGGCAGTGGTTTCTGATGACCGAGGGGAAGACGACACCATACTGGACCTCACAAGTGAAGGTGGGAGCGGGCAAAGTCAGAGATGGGTCTGGAGCAAGAGACTGTGATATGATCTTTGTCCTGAGATTTATGGGATCCCAGGTCACTTGAGAAAATTGAGGCACAGAGAGGTTAAGTGAATACCCAAAGCTGTACAGGGGTATAGTGTATGTGACATCGACACCTGTGTTTACTGGACTATACCATAATAAACCCAGAACCCTGAGTTCCCCCCCTGCACAGGGCAGAGGGCCCAGGCTGCTTACAAGAACATTGTCAGGTTAGCCTCTGTCCTCCCTCCATGGTGTCCCTTCCACTCCACCATTCACTGACTACCCCAGACTCCCTCCTACTCCCAAGTCATCCTGCAGGGCTCCTTGGGCAGCTCTGAGCTCCACAAGCCTTTCCCAAGAATGTCCCCACCCTTGGCCACCCCTAGGGGAGCCCACCCAGCTGATCTTTCCTTTTTCCTTCTAGTCCTTGATGCTGTCTTCACTGAACTGGGCAGGATTGGTGGTAAGTGATCCTGCCTCTTTGCCCAGCCCTGCCCAGATGCCAAGGAACCTCCATGGGGTCTCCCACTGGCTTTGGTTGTGGGGTGAGTTTAGTGTCCAACCTCAAAGACTAGGAGAAAAGCCCATGTCCCCACCACACCCCCCCCCAAGAGCAGGAGCAAGCAGGCTGGCCCCAGAACACACAACCCACAATCTCAGGGGAAATTCACCCTTCTCCCCTGCCTTCCCAGCCCTCTCTGCAACACCACTGAAAATCCAGGGCACTGAAGAGGGGATCCGGCTCTTCAGCAAGGTCAAGTACTACAACGTGGACTACATGAAAACTGCCTGGTTCCACAAGTAGGTTGGCCTGACCAAGCTGGAGGGAGCCCAGCACCTGCCCTACAGGTGTCCTCCCAGCACAGCCCCCCATTCAAGGGAGGTGGCAGAGGCAGGCATCTTACATTGTTCTTGCCATCCACCGACAGGGTTGGGGATAGGGACCAGCAGTCAAAGAGTAGAAGGATTTTCCCAGGAAAACTCCCCCAGGAAAGATGAGAATTATGGTGGTAGGGCCATTTTTCTGGAATATTCATAGACACAGACATATCGTGGTCTCAGAGCAGTATCAGTATCTAGGAACTAGGGGATAAGGGATGCAGGAACCAGATGGCCATGTGGTAACAGTGTTCTATGAGCCTCTGCAGCCTTAACAAACTCAGGCAGCCAGGCCTAGGGGCAAGGAACAGACAGAGGGACATGTGGGGATAATGACAAACCTGAGGATCAGGGCTTGGAGACAAGATAGATCAGGGTTCCACAGAGACTCAGCCCAGGAGCCAAGTCACCTCAGACGGTTTCAGAGCAGAATTTCCTGTGTTGTTATCGTGCTCATGCCTCAGCCTCGTGGAGCAGACATTACGCAGCTATTCTATAGGGAAGTCTGGATTGGCTTGGTCAATTTGCCAAATGAGTGAGAGTCAAGGTCAGATGGAGCTTCAGGACCATGGGGTTCTTTCTGTAGCCAGGATTTCTGAGAGTATGGCAAGAGGCTTAGGCAACAGAACATTGGGGACATGAGCTAGGTGTCTTCAGGAATTAAATTTAAGTAAAGTAGAAGAAGCTGAATGCCGGTGGCTCACGCCTGTAATCCTAGCGACTCAAGAGGCAGAGATCAGGAGGATCGCAGTTCAAAGCCAGCACAGGCAAATAGTTCACGAGACCCTTTCTCGAAAAAAAACATCACAGAAAAGGACTGGTGGAGTGCTTCAAGGTACAGGCCTTGAGTTCAAACTCCAGTACCACAAAAACAAAAAGGAAGTGGAGGGCTTAACTTTATTTGATTTCCAAGGTTAGGAAAAGTGATCATGGAAAGAATCTCTGGAAGGGTTTAAGATGAGAAGGAAGAGGTGAGGAAGGGGCTCCTGAGGGTGGGGGATGTGGTAGTCAGCACCTCTGCAGTGCTATTTTCTCAGAGTCCCTCCAGCAGGACAAATCACAGATGTCAATCCCACATTTGCATATAGTTGGTACACCTTAAGACTTGCTAGATGGATGATGGAGGCTGAGTGATGAATGAATGGATGAGTGAGTGCATATGTGTTGAATGTCTCATGGATGGTCACCACCCTCAGCCCACAGATCTGGAGCAGCACCCCCAAAGAGGGGATTGGGGTGGGGCAGTCTGTAGACCTGGGACTGCCGGCCTTAGCTACTCTCTGCCCTCACATTCAGAGACAAGCGCTTGGAGAGTGGTGACAGGGTAAGGGCGGGCACCACCCTGGATGAGATCTGGCTCCATATCCTAGACCCCAAGGACTCAGACAAGGGCAAGTACACCCTGGAAATAACTGCTGGGAAGGAAATCCGGCAGCTCTCTGCAGATCTCTCAGGGCAAGGTGAGCCAACCACCTGTATGTCTGCCGAGAAACCTGTTCAGAAACCCTAGGGTGATGGTGTGGTGGTACATACCTGTAATCTCAGCACTTAAGGGTCAAAAGCAGAAGGATCATGAGTCAAAGGCAGCCTGGGCTATATAGCAAGACCCTTGAGGGAGGGGGAGAGAGAGAGAGAGAGAGAGAGAGAGAGAGAGAGAAGGGGAGGGGAGGAGAGGAAGGGAGATAAGGAAGGGAGGGAGGGGGAGAGAGAGAGAAGAGGGGAGGGGAGGGGAGGAAGGGGGACAAGGGAGGAAGGGAAGGAAAAAGGAAGGAAGGAAAATCCCGTGGGATTTGGGGGGACTCCCATTTCCCCAATCCTAGCCCTGCTCCAAGAGAATACAGGAATGTGGACAGTTGGCAGTAAGCCCTGTCCCTGGGGGTCACCTAGCAGAGGCACTGATGCTCCCCCTCCCCATTGCCCTTCTTGCAGCTTTTGATGATGCCTTGGCTGAACACCAGAGACTGAAGTAAGTTTCCCCTGGGGTGTAGCATGAACTGTGATGACAACCGCTCTGGGGACCCCCAGCCAGCCCCTTGTCACCCCCTCACCCCAACTGGGGCAGGACTGGCCTTGAACAAATGGAACCTCACCTTGTTCCCACTCCTGTCTTTCAGGGCCTTGGCCATCATTGAGAAGAGTAAGTCCCAGATGTTTCTGTTGCTTTCGTTCCTGAGTCTGGACACCCTTCCCCGGAGCTCAGGCCTCCTGGCAGCCTGCTGAAGTCCCAGCTTCCCTGGCAGGCTCTGTGTGGCTCTGGGGAGGTCTGGGCAGCGCCTGAGTGAAGACAGACAAGGAGCCTGGGGTTGGACATAGCTGGCGTGGGCCTGTGCAGAGCAGGCACATGGCACTGTTGGTGGGACACAAAGGCAGGAAACAGAGAAGAAAGAGACCAGACTGGGCTTCCTGAGCAGGTTGTGGGAAGGGGACAGCCTTAAAGCTGAGGCCTTCGGGGCAGGTCCAAGCCTAGAGGGATGTGGTACCACTTCTGAACTGTCAGGGAACCACTACCAAGTCTATGAGCTCATGCTTACCCCACCCATGAGGTCCGCCAGCCAGTCTGGCTCTCAGGGACTTCAATGAGGGAAAGAGTGCAGGAGCCCTGCCAGCCTGACCACAAGGAAAGAACCTAGACAGCTCTGAGAAACAGTAGCACTGAGACCTTCAGCCCTGGGATGTCTGTGCACCTCCTTGCATGGAGTACTGTCCCCGAGTGCCCCGGTTGACAGGAGGGGCAGGCCTGAGTTCGTAACCGCAGTCTGGACAATCAGGTGTAAAAACAGTCATGAAATGAGGAAGCCTTGCAGGGATCAGCCACCTCAGCGGACAGGGGACAGCTCAGGGCAAAGGAGGCTCTCACACCGCATCCAACCATGTGCCCAGCACGAACAACCCCTCCCACCCTGGCGTGCTATGTCTCTGGATAGGACACCCTCTCCAGGACCCCACAGAAGTTGAACCCGCCAACCTATGGTTGCCAGGTTTTGTGGAATCACTGAGTGGGGGAAGTGGTTACTTTCCCAAACTCTGGAGAGCTGATGAGAATTTCTGCCCATGACAGTGGCCTCCTCCAGGGCCTCCATCCCCAAAACGGGGTTCTGCTGCTTTCATCCCTGGACAGATACCATCTCAATAGGGCTCTTTGTACTTCTGGAATGCATAGTCTAGGCTGGCTGACCCCCCTTCTCTCCCATGGCCTCCATTGCAGTGTAAGCACACATTTGTCTTTCTGCCTAGTGAGTACAACCACACCCTCTTCCTGCCCAACCACACTGGCCGCCTCCTCCTTGGATCAGAGTCAGGGTGTTCCAGAAGCCCAGGCCCCGCTTTTCCTGCCCTCCTCTCAGTCCACTCCCTTAGTGGACTGGCCACACCATTAGGGAGATTTTGCCAGTTTAAGTTCAGAACAATCTCATTGACCTTCTTCCTGGTTCTTGAGAATAGGGACACTTCACTGTTATCTCCAGGTACCCCCACTCATAACAACCTCAAATCAATGGCAGAAACACACCAAGTTCCACAAATTCCACTTGTGAAGACAAGGAAGCATATTACACATTTTTAAAGACTCCCATCCAAAATAACAGAAATAGAGAGAAGAAAATGACCCTCAACTCAAGGCCAGGTGTGGTACTTCATGTCTATAATCCCAGCTACTCAGAAGGCAGAGATAGGAGCATCCTGGTCTCAGGCCAGCCTTGGCAAAAGTTATTGAGACCCCTATCAAAAAGGAGCAAGGTGTAGTGGTACATGCCTGTAATCCCTACTAAGCAGGAGGCAGAGGTAGGAGAACTACGGCCCGACACTGGCCCAGGCAAAAGTGTGAGACCCTATCAGAAAAATAAAGAAAAATGGAGTGGGGTGTGGCCAAGGTGGTAGAGCACCTGCCTAGCAAGCATGAGGCCCTGAGTTCAATTCCCAGTGTTGCCAAATAAATAAATAAAAACGGTCAGCTCCACAGAAACCTGCACAGGGAGCAGCTAGCAGGAGAACATTCACTACTGGGTCTCTCATTTCCCTTCCAGATCGTGCCAAGGTAGTGAGGGGACTGCCGGATGTGGCCACCATCATGGAAGATAAGGTACAGACCCTCCTGGCCACACCCAGGAGACACCCCCAAGTTCCCTCTGAGCAAGAAGTCCATCCCAGATCATGAGCAGTGTGATTCTGTGGATTTAAGAACCAGTGGTGGCCATTTGGCCAGAGAGGCTGGACCTGACCAATTGATCAAGTGACCACACCTCACTAAGCACTTGTATATAAAGGAAAGCCAACAAGCTCAGGTCAGACCTGGGTGGTGCTCAACCCAACTCCACCCCGTCTCTCTAGACAGCTCTGAGTATCACAGACCGTGTCTGTGACTTCAGTTTCTGCAGGAGTTCAGCTAGACAATGACAAAAAATCTTTTCTAGGGCCAGGATCATATAAGCCTAGTGCTTCCAAAACTCACAGCCACAAACCAGGTGTGGTGGTGCACACCTGTAATCCTAGTACTAAGGAGACTGAGGCAGGAGGATCATGAGTTCTAGGCTAGCCTGGGCTACACAGCAAAACTCCTGTCTCCAAAAAAAAAAAAGTTACAGCTACCATGTGTGTGCTTGCTTTGCATCAGGTGCTGTTCCAGAGTGGCTACATATTTTATCATCAAGGCAACCACAGGAAATAGGCTATTATTACTAGCCACACGTGATAACTGGGAAAACTGAGACCCAGAGTAGTCAAGGGACTTATCTAAAATTATGCAACCTGAAGGGGTACAGCTGAGATTTATACCCAATTCCAGGGCATGAATGTTTAATCATTACACTACAGTGCTGTGCACTAGAACTCGTTCAAGAACTTTCAAACTCAGCTCATAAATCTTTGTGCCAAAGCTGTATAATCTTACTCGTGTGGTAAAATCACAACGACATCTGGATTACAAAAAGCAATAAGGCAAAGTGCAGGCCATCCTGGGCCAGGAACTTGCTAGAGTGAGAATGGTCTAAAATTCTAACTAGTCCATATTCCTGTAGAAAGGTTGAGGATGGAGAATGTGAGGTTGAAATAAAATGTGTCTCCCTTTATGGGTTACAATAAAACACACATAATGAATTTGTTCCAAGAATCTGCCTGTATTAGGAGCTCTCAAAGGGTATGAAGGTGAATGCCAAGTTCAAGTTACAAAGAGATAAGACTTTTCTCTCCCTGTCCATTGAAACAGACCCTGTGCCTGACCTGTGTCATCTCAGGAGACCCCGCTCCTGAAATCTCTTGGTTAAAGAATGACCGGCCTGTCACCTTCCTTGACCGCTACCACATGGAGGTGAAGGGAACAGAGGTCACCATCACCATCAAGAAGGTCACCAGTGAGGACAGCGGGCGCTATGGTGTCTTCGTCAAGAACAAGTATGGCTCGGAGACGGGCCAGGTCACCATCAGTGTGTTCAAACACGGGGATGAACCCCAGGAACTAAAGAAGATGTGATGGGTACAGCCCATGAGATCCATACTGCATGGGCCAGCGGGGTCAACTGCCAGGACATAGCCTGGCTCCGGTCACAGGGTGGGGCAGAGAGAAGGGGACAGGGTGGAACCCAGTGCATGAGGGAGGGGGTGGAGTGGACACACCAAAGGGGAGAAGCAAGGATCTCATTGGGGTCCTGAGAGGCCTCCAGGGTGGCGGGCAGGCCCAGGACTTGGAATAGGAAACTCAGATGCAAGACTGAGTCTCTACTCAGCTCTACCTGAGCCCTGACTTTCTCATCTATCAAACGGGCATTCCTACCCAGTCTAGGGCTGGTTTGCCAGTGTTCTCAACCAGAGGCATCTTTGCTTTGCAGAGGGACAGTTGGCAGTGTTTATATTTTTGATGGTCACAACCGGAGGTATCTATTGGTATCTAGTCACATGAGGCCATGTATACTGCTAAATAAACACTGCAACCCCTGTATAAATTATCCAGCCCCGAATGTCAGTATTACCCAGGTTAATGAACCTGCCATAAACCAGTCAGCACAGTTCTCCTCTTTTAAGATCTGATTGTTTCCATTCTCACAAATTCAACAAACACTGGAAGTCCAGCATGTTCTGATTGCAAATGACACCGGGAATATAAAGATAAATGACACGCAGTTCCCGCCCATGAGAAGGACTCTGTCCAATAGGGAGGAAGACCTGGATGCAAATAACTCCAGGACAAGGCAGGAGATGATGAAGAGTATAAGACAGATCTAAGTAAAGTGACAGCAGTGGGCAGAGAAGAGAGACGGATGATTGTCACAGTTGAGGGAACTTCCCATACTGGGTAGAACTGGTGTTGGACCCTGCCAATGAGTCCAATTTGGCCATGGAGGTGGGAGAAAGACACGTCAGGAGCAGGCATGGTAGGAGCAAAGGGGAGAGGAGGGGTGAGGCTGCCTGGGTGACTCTGGATGCCAGGTGTGCAGCCCAGTGGGACAGATGCTGGTTGACCTTGCTTGGTGGATCTCGATACAGAGCTGGGCATTTTCCTGCCCTCCAGTTTCCTCCTTTTAAAAGATAAGATGGGGGTAGTATAAAATTATAGATGTTTGTGGTAAATTTTTAGAAAACCCTGGAAATTATAAAGGAAAAAATAAAAACCACCTGTACTCCCAACGCCAGTAGTTAGCGCCTGCCTCTGATTTCTGAAATGACTTCCAAATTAAAAGATCAAATCATCCCTCTGCCCACCAGCTACACACTCATGGGGGAATGGGGTGTGGCCTGTTAGCACTACCAGGCCACATTCTGGGCTCAGTGAGACCTCTGCTGGAGAGGAGGAGCGGGAAGGTACAGATTAGAATGTTGGGACCTGAAGTCTTAAAGGCAAACACCTCTGGGCTTAAAAGCCTTTCCTGCCACCCACTTGCTGTGGGAGCCTGCAAAACACTTTTCTTAGGCCACAGTTTCCCATCGATAAAACAAGACGCTGAAAGATAATTTTGAGCCCTTCCAGCTGACAGTTTTTAAATGACTTCCCATAACTCTAGTCTCCTTTGCCTTGCTGTCCCCAAGAAGATGGGACAAGACTCCACCCTAATACACTCTCCCACTTGCAGACTTGCAATCTTTCAATGATTTCTTTCCTGTGTTGGAACGTGCTGTGAGCGCCCCCTGTTGTTACAGGTTGTGTTTACACTCTAAGATGAAACTCTAGGCAGGACCTCATGGGGTTGGGGACGCTGGTTGCTTCATGATGTGACAAGCCAGTTTGGGAGCAAGAACTGGTCCTTGCTCAGCTGCATATTAATATAGTGTTTTCTTAATTCCAGGTGTAATAATCCCAATATCCTCAGCAAACCTAAGTCTGGTTCTAATATTAACTCTGTCTCTTCTGTGTGTTTTGCCTTTTTTATCTGCCTTGTAGGTTTTTATTGGTGAAAAGTACACATGATATACTGGGTAAAAGGAACTGTGATAGATGATGAATGGGCCTTTAATATTGTGGCTGTAAGGTGTCGGTGAGGGGACATGTTGTTTGCTCTGTGATTATCTCTCAGGCTTTTGTGAGGCGGTCCCCTGGACTGTGACCTCTACCCCTGCCTCTTTTTCTTTTACCGCCTACAGTGAGACAAGATGACTAGAGGAGATGCAGTTAGGTAACTTCCCTTCCCCCAACAGATCAGGCTCTGGTTAAATAGTATCTCCTAAGGACACCCTCTGGTAAGAAGACTAGAATGTTCTTGTGTGTTTCAAAATGTTTCATTTTCTCCTCCTCCTGCTGGAAGCCAGAGGGGATTTTTCTCTGATCTTCATTGTGAGAACTTGGTCCAGTTCCTGGAAATCAAACTCACAAAACTGAGGGATCCACTGACAACAGCGTCCCTCGAGTTTTTATCTCTTGGACTCATCTTCACCTCCAACAATTCATCAGCTGCAGCTCAGGATTCCCTACCCTAGCCCTGGTTCCTGCTGAGGCCTCTGCCTGTGGGTTTCTGCTCCAGGAAGTCGTGATTCTCTGAATTCACCTGTCCGTCTCTCCCGTCTGGGAAAAGAAGCATGCCCTGTGATTTCACTTCTCCGACAGTTTTGACTTCTCAGATTGTTTAGCTTTTAACCTATTGTTAGGGTGGAGTGATGACTTCTAAGCTCCGTATGTGCTGGACAGGAAACCAGAAGTCCCTGCTCTGCAGCACCCCAACAGTTCTCTCGGTGCAGTCTCCCAGACAGAGTCCCAGGGCACAGCTTCCTAGGACCAGGAGCCCCACGGCCCTCTCTTGCTCTGCTTTCTTCTCGCTCCTGCCTCACACAGCCCAGCCTTGGGGAACTTTGCCACTAGGGTCCTACCTAGGACTGTGGACAGGGCAGGACTTTGGGTGGGGGTGAGGGTACCTGAGATCTTTCACTGTTCCTCTCAGTATTTCCCACTCAATCCCAAGGAAATCTCAAGTGTCACCGGAACTGGGTAGGAGATGGGAACAGCTTTGTTACCAGCTATGAATCAACAACCTCCCCATGGGGTCTTTTCCACCTCCAGCTATTTGATATTTTTGAACCCAGAACAGGTGCCAGTGGTGTGCCATTGTCCAATAAAACCAGCCTCCTCAGCCTCATCTTACGCATACCTGACAGCTGGAAGCCTGGCCTTCACTCTCCTTCCCAACCTGTTCCAATGGCCTCCACCCTAACCTCTGCCTGCATCTGGCTTGCCGGGGTCTCCCTCTCTCTAATTGCCATTTGCCTCTTCTATTATTCTTTGTCTGGCTCATCCTGGATAGCAGCTCAGTTAGCCCAGCTTGATCCATGGTACCCTGTGTGGGACACAGAAAATCAAGAACTTTGCCTCAGAACCCATCAGCAACACATAATCCCATCATTCACACCAGAAACCCCCATGGACCTCCCAGCATGCTGGGTTTCCAGAGAGCCTGGGCCCAGGATACAGGTTGAAGGAAGGTTAGCCAGTCAGTAGGGTTCTCCCTCTGCCACACCACCAGCAGCTCCTCCCCCACACCAGCTATGCCACCTTTCACAACCCAAGCCTGTGTAATCCTCGCCCTACCGCATTCAAAGCCTTAGACAGGGAGGGCCTGGGAAGCAGGAGTCCTGACGGGAAATGTCTGGCCTGTGTAATTATTAACTCTACTCCCAGGCCTCAGCCACAGGCTCCTCTCTGATGCTTCCAATACTTAAAAAATTCCAAGTAGCTTTAAGCAACTTGAGTGACATTTCCATACCAAAAATAGTTTCAGAGGCAACACTCTCTAGATGTCTCTGGCTAGGGGAAGCGAGATATTTGATTTTTCAGCATTTGAGAAATTGCTGAGGCTGGAGGCATTTCAATGAACCAGTACCATGGGTTGAGGGCAAAACATATTGCATAGCCTGGGAGGAATGCACCCCTCCTCCCCTTGGCCTCCCAGAAACCCATGTGACCTGGGCTGATTTTTGTATCTCTCCTTCCTGTGCTAGCAGATCTAAAGAAAGAAATTCGGGCCACGCAAAAGGCTTTTGGTCCAATTATAGAAATGTTCATGGTGAAATGAGTCTTTGGGTTTTTGCTTTAAATTCTCTAGTTTTAGAAAAAGAAAATGGGAAGAGGATAAATGGGAGAGTCATACCATTGTTTTCTCTAGTTTTGTTCGAAATTTTTCACAATAAAAAATTTTAAGAAGTCCCATAGGAAACAAATTCTCAACTGTCTTTTCATCTGGACTCATTAGTTTTTTATATCTGGCAATTAATCAAGGGTATTAGATACAGGCAAGTGAACCAGGACTTCCTTTTCTGCAGTCAATTTATATGGCCTGTTATTCTCCAACTGCACTAATTACAAGTGAAGAATGGATGCTCTACAAGAAATAGTTATTAAAGTTGGGTATGATAGTACATGCCTGTAATCCCAGCTACTAGGGAGGAAGAGGCAGGAAGATTACAAGTTTGAGGCCAGCCTGGGCAAAGTTAACAAGACCATATTTCAAAGACAAAATAAAAACAAAAAAGCTGGAGCATAGCTCCCGTGGAAGAGCACATATCCATGCTCGCAGGTGTGTGTGTGTGTGTGTGTGTGTGTGTGTGTGTAGTACTAGAGTTTGAACTCAGAGCCTACAACTTGAGCCACCAGTATCCAGCGGTTGCAGGTTTTTAAAAAGCAAATGATTTGTGAACTCTACATTCCTTAAACACTGCCTCCATTGAACCTGTTATGTGTCAGGAACATACAGAATTAAGGCTGGAGCTAGGCTCTAGTGGCTCATGCCTATAACCCTAGCTACACAGGAGGTGGAGAGGCTCAAGTGGTAGAGCACCTGCCTAAGAAGTGTGAGACCCTGAGTTCAAATGCCAGTACTGCCCCACCCAAAAAATGCAACCTGGAGTCAACCATGCTCTGGTTTGAATGTGTCCCCCCAAAAATGTCCATGCGTTTGAAACTTAATCCCCAAATCCATACATTAACAGTGTTTAGATGTGGGGCCTTTTGGAAACAATTAGGGTTGGATGAGATCACGAGGGAGGGATCCCATAATGGCTCTGTTAGCCTTCTGTGACTCTGACAAAATACCTGAGTTATGAACTTATGAGGAGGAAAGGTGTGTTTGGCTCATGGTTTCAGTGGTTGCTTGGCCCTGTGCTCCCCACCACTGCCCTCTAGGTCTGTCTGACCTTGAACAGAAAACGTGGAAACTGTGAAAACGTTTTTAAGTGTGAATTGTCTCAGATAGTTTGTTATAGTAATGGAAACTTGATGAATACAATGGGCTTATGGATATTTTTTACTTTCTCTTTTCTATCTGTATCCATTTTTTTTTCTATTTCTAGTCAGTTTTTCACAAGCATTTATAGGTTCTATCAAAAAATACAAAAGATACTACTAAAAAATTGATCATGAGATCATGGGCTTTCATTTCTGATGGTATTTCCTATTGTCATTAAAAATGTGCAGAACACTGATGCTCATCACAGCACTGTCCACAACAGCCAGGCCATGGAAACAGCCCAGACTGCCCTACAACTGATGAAGGATCAAGAAAACGTGGTGCTCACATACACAATGGAGCTTTGTTCAGCCATAAAGAAGGATGAAACCAGGTTGTTTGCAGATAAATGTAGGGAATTGGAAGACATCATATTAAGTAAAGTTAGCCTGGTTCAGAAAGACAAAGGCCACATAATTCCTCTCATATGTGGAAGATAGATACAAAAGATAAGCATACGCAAAACAAACGTGATCATATACAAACTTATGTGTAGAGCATGTTTGTAACAGTGGTACTACTCTATGGAACTCAGGGGAGGAGGGAAAGGAAAAGAGAATAGCATCAGCAATATCAAAATGCATTACAGCTGTGTAGGTAGAGGACATACGATATGTATTGAAAGCTGGTGATAATGGGGGGTGTGAGGGAAGGGGTAAAGGAGAGTAATGGAAGGAGTTGAACTGATCAAAGCTAAGTATATTCACAGCTAAGACACATGGAGAAACCCCTTTGAACACTGACTTTGGAATTAAAAATGAAAGACAGACTGAAATAGGTACAGTGGGGGTGTACTTGTGGGAGACGGAAGGGTGAATGGAGGAGATGAAGGTGAGGGGATATGGTTGATGGGCTTCATATCATGAAATAGAAGGATGAAAACCTCTTGCAATTGCTTTAAGTGCTGAGGAGAC